TTATTCAGAGTCAACACTGCTTTTAGGACACAAACTATTAAAACTACTCCTTGGCCTAAACCAATAGTTTGGTATCTTTCATTCACTGCGTGCAAGGACTAACACAATGTTTTTTCAGTATTACATCAATAATTGGATCAATTGTTCCTGTCTTAGAAGAGTTGTTCCTGGGGATCCAAAATGGTCAGTCATGACACTGACCATCATTAAAATTAAGAGCAGATGTTAATGGGTCCTTCATAATCATATCACCTGGACATATTTCCAACACTACAACCTTTCATTTTGAACCCTGCCAACACATGGCAGACTGCAGTAGGAATTTCAGCCATAAAAATAGTGTACATAAATATAATAGAAGTTCTTCTACAGACTAGTAGCATTATCTCCTCATCTCTACGGTAACCATTCTTCCAGGTACTAGATGGTGAACGCCTGAGACTGCATTACACAGACTTACATAAGCAGCAGCATTCTCCTGTCAGATGACGGCTACATGATTTATGCGAACGAAAAACAGATTCAAACACACATTTACTTTTCTGGCAGCTATTGATAAAAAGTTGATATAACATGCCATTTTCCTTAAACAAACAAATTCTTGGAGGCTGAAAATAACATGGTTATTTTGTCTGTGGAGGCCACAATGTTGGCAATCCCGACAGGTGTCTAACCATTTGTTGTGTGCTGCAACACAAACACATAACCTCATACACAACTGGCTAGAAACTGACAGAAATATGAGCTTCCTGAAATAGTCCCCTCTTGCTGGCTACACCCCAAGCTCAACACCGGACGACAGCTTCACTGGGAAATTCCGACAAATGCATCAATGAAATACTGCATTGAGAGACACCACAAGACAGACGCCAATAATCTTAGCCGAACTCTCTTCACTTGAAGGCAGAATCGGCTGTTGACAAATTGGCCAACTAGCTTCAAAGAAAGCAGCCATTTTCTTGCACATAAAGTTAATTTTCTTTCGGCAAATGTTATTGACCACATGAGAACAAACACCAAGGGGAATGATGGGCAATTATCTGTTATATATCTCCCAACTATCAGGGAGGGAATATGCACCGTTTAAGGGAAGGAATATACATATCCCATGTCTATCCACTTTAAGGGAAGGAATATACATCATGTCATCCAATATACCTCTACCCACTATAAGGGAAGGAATATACATCATGTTATCCAATATACCTCTACCCACTTTAAGGGAAGGAATATACATCATGTCATCCAATATACCTCTACCCACTTTAAGGGAAGGAATATACATCATGTCATCCAATATACCTCTACCCACTATCCATCATGTTATCCAATATACCTCTACCCACTATAAGGAAGGAATATACATCATGTCATCCAATATACCTCTAATATACATCATGTTATCCAATATACCTCTACCCACTTTAAGGAAGGAATATACATCATGTCATCCAATATACCTCTACCCACTTTAAGGAAAGGAATATACATCATGTTATCCAATATACCTCTACCCACTATAAGGGAAGGAATATACATCATGTTATCCATCATGTCATCCAATATACCCACTACCATCTACCCACCCACTATGCATGTCATCCAATATACCTCTACCCACTATAAGGGAATCATGTTATCCAATATACCTCTACCCACTTTAAGGGAAGGAATATACATCATGTTTCCAATATATCCATATACATGTTCCTACTTTAAGGGAAGGAATATACATCATATTTTACCCCCCATGTTATCGAATATACATGTCCTTACTATATACATGTTCCTACTTTAAGGGAGGAATTATACATCATATTTCCCATGTTATCCCATACACATTTCATAATCAGTGAGGGATTTTACCCGATATAGCAACCAGCTTATCATGCTATTACATTACAATCTCACTAGGAAGAATATTTATTCACTATAACAATCATACGATCAATGATATATCACATGGAATGACAAGACAATAATTGAATTCTGAGATTTACAACCATTGACGTCTGTGTATCTGGTGTAAGACTTATTAACCCTAATGTTCTTACACATTTATGTGTAGAGGTTTTTATCTGCCTTCACAAGAACATACCATCAATCATGACACACTCAGGCAACAATTTCAAAGTTTGCTCATGTGCTATTTTCTTCTACATAAAACACGTCCAAGGCTTGTATCCACAGAGCGTCTTCTGGGGCTGTCTCCCTTGGCTTATATAACATAATATGATTCTGTTAAGAAGTAGAAAATACTTATTTACATTCTGACTGACCAAACCACCCAATTCTGCCTGTGATACATCCTGTCTGAACACTGGCATATAGTTGGCCTGTTGATCTCTGTATAGCAGCAACATAGTTGAGAGCAGTACAACAAACTAAACACTGTGAATTAGGGCTGCAATGAATCGGTTTGGTTCATCAAAAATCAAATCTGACACCTTAGTTTCAATTTTCGATAACCATTATCACTATTTTGATTCGATATTTGAATACCTATTTAAAGTATTTCCACACAGCCAGAACGTAAGTTTGATTCCAACTCGGCCAGTTTTGAGCGCTGTAATAAGGCGAAACATGATTGGTTGACGCCGGGCTAATTATCCAATGAGAATTGTTGTTAGTAGACATCGCCAAATTGACAATGGATTTCACGCTAAAAAGACAACTCTGAGAATCAAATGAAATCTGATGTTTTTACTTGTATAAAGAATCGAATCGAAAATGATCGAATCGGGGGTCCAATATCGAAAATGGAATCGAATCGAGGTCTGGGTGAATCGTTGCAGCCCTACTGTGAATAATATTTGTCCTGTAATATCACAAAATATATATCGCATACGTAAAGTGACCATAACTATTTGCTGTTTATAGTTGGACATGATGGTCCAGACTGATTATGGTTTTATGCTACTGCTGGAGTATTTCACCAAGAGGGGACACCAGGGTTTAACACCTTGCACCCATGTGGTCAACCCTTGACCTTTACTGTGACAAGGGGATGTTCCCCTACTGCAGGTAGCACGGTCCAGCACACCTCCATGGGATGGTGACCGAGGTGATGTAATAGTGAGTCGTTACTGTAATCACAATCATTAGCAATTATAGTGGGTGTCCCTGCCACATGTGGAAGAAACCTGGATGTGAACACTTCTGTAAACACTTGAGCAGAGAGTAAAGAAATTAAAGAGGATTTCTGGGATATGCTGTTTTAGAATGTTTATAATCTGTGGACCATATAACTCTTTTCACCCTTGACTTCCATGTTTGTTGTTGAATGCAACCAAGGAATAATACTGACTCTGGGATTCAAACTCATGGTGACAAATCCTGCATCACCTAAGGGCCACAACTCAGTAAATAATACTGGCACCTAAGAAGACGTTAGAGTACTTTTGACAATGGGACATGGTGACATGGGAAGAAAAATTCTTCAGATTTAAACAAGCACTTAAAATCCCCCAAAATGACATTTTCATAATGAATTATCGACAACCAGAACAAGTTCAATAGTACTTATAACTCCACTTGTGTGAATAAAGAGAAAATCAATAGTTAATCCTTGATACAGACCCTTAAACAGATCTGTAAATAATACAAGCACGTCTGCAATTGTTTGACATTTTGTTGACTTTCAAGCTTTTTAAATATATTTTCAAGTCCAGAGGCCAATTTAATGGACTCCTTTTATATGGACCTTTGGTAATGCACTAAAAAATCAGCATAAATCTCAACACTGCATGCAGTATAAGAATTAAATCAATTCTTGATTTTCTAAGGGATTTATGCTGATCAATATGTAAACTTGTACAAAGTTTCAGCATGTCTTTCAACACTCCCAACAGATAGTGCTATATTCTCTTTACGACACAGTAGCCCTCAAGGCAACATACGATGCAAGCATGTCTCAATACACACATCAATGTAATTATCATGTTACAGCTCAATAAACTGTAGCAGTGAGTTGATAAACAATCACTTCACAGTGATTATGCAACAAAAACTACAATGATCAATTGAGCATGGAAAGGGATCATCTCAAAACTGAAAACAATTAAACAAAATCCACACATATCACTGAATAACTATATCATATTAGATATCACCCTTTTCACCAATAAGCTATCTATGCATAAAAAAATAATAACTATGGGTTTCTGAGATAGAAATTTCTTGACTTAAGCCAGGGATAATGTACAACAAGTCTCCCCGGTTAAGCCAAATGTGGAATGAGAAGAAACAAAATTCGTTGGAATAAATATTTCTTTGTTATCTCATAAAATTTAATTAATTTGCATTTCTACCCATGGAAATTCATATAACATTATGATAACTATCGCCACATTATTCAGACAAAGCCATGTCCACTTTGACTTCTCTAATGTAAACAGGTTTATTTACAAATACGTTTTAACACATGTTAGTGGGGCTCACCAAACGCATGGTAAAATCATGCACACTGTTTGATACATGATATCACACGTAAAATTATGACGTGAAAATACACACTATCACATAGCATTCAAAAAGACCAGAGTTCCCCGGGTCAGCTGGCCTCAGCCAGGAACAGCGTTGGGCTGGGGATTTGGGGGACCTGACGTTTGTTTAGAGGAGAGGGTCAAATGTACAACTTGCTTCGCCGACCAACTTGGTTGAAGCGCAGACCAAAATATTCCAATATTCACAGATTTCTGCATCCAATATCTGAGAAAGTAACTTACCGAAGCAAATGGCTAGCAGCGACAAGGCTGCAGTAATAGCCTTCATCCTCAGTGCATCGAGCGGTACATAAGTTAGTTTCCACAGTACTCCGTGTTTACACTGAATGAGGTCAGTTGTTGCGGTAAGTCTAAAGCTTCTGTTATTTGCAGTGATTGACAGATGACCTCGCATGTGCTCGATGGTTTCCGTACATTTAACGGGACCGCAGTCGTCCAATCACAAAGCCTGTAACACGAAGCGTACAATGCTGTAGCTCGAGCGGAAATGACCGAAACTTGACGAGAGGTCAGGTGCGTGAATATTTCGGACTCCAATTTTAAGCCCTAGTTATCGATGTCACAAATGCGTTATCTCACTTTCCATGCAGAAAAACACATCGTGCAATGCATACTATTTCAGAAATAAGGTTTAAAAAATTGTAATGCGAATCGTGTAATGTCGCATAGCTCTGTGTGATATGGTTGCCCCATGAAAACTTCCGGTTTCGCTGCAAATGAAATACTTTCAATGTTAGCCTATTCATCTCGATTTACCTCGAAATAAGATGAAATTACGTCTGTTTGCAACGTCATCCGTCTCAACCTACACGAACAGAGTCTGTTTCCATGACTGTAGAGTGTCCATGCTGAACATTAATTGTGTACTTGATTCTTGAATCAAACAAATATTTCATGATTTGATTTACCACTGTCTGTAATGCGGTGAACAAAGATAACATTAACGTTCTGTGCGGAACTTCTATATTTTCGGCATTAATTTTCCATGCAATAAGGATTAGGAAATCGATAATTCCAACTGGAAGAGCAAAACATTGTCAGAAAAATGGCTATCAACGAAGATCGATTCTCCACGACAGCAGAACGATATCTAGGTAAGTTTTGAGGTATGCTGTAGACATTTATGCAGTATAGGTAGACATTTATGCAGTAGAGGTAGACATGCTTCTCTGTGCAAAACTCAGCTGCTGCAGGGGACAGTCCATTGACGTAGAAAGTCTATAAGCCTGACAACATCCATTTGCAGTATTGTTGTCACCTCATCCAGATGACATGTGTTAATAATGTTATTGTGTCACCATGTCTAGACAACACAGTTTATTGTTGTGTCACTACATCCAGACAACACAGGTTATCGGTCGTCACCAGGTCGAGACAACATGGGTTAATGTAGTGGTATTTGTTGGCAGTTTCCTGGACCAGACTTAATTATTTAGAGGCGGTCTTGATATGCCTAGAGTATTGCTGACCGGCGTTAAACTGACCAACTCAGTGTTTTCAGCAAAGCACAATGTGCTGACGTATCTGGAGGATGGAATCTCCCAGCTCCTGGAACATCGGGAAGACAACCCCAAAGTCAACGCCGTCAAGTTCATCAGTGATTAGTAAGTGACTCAGTTTCCAACACCGTCCGTAGCATCATGTAATGTAGCATAACAGGAATATATACAGTGAATGTTATTACAGGTCAGTTTACAACTAATTAGATACAGATGTATTACTGCAAAGAATTATAATGGCATTACAAAGTAGCATGGCATCACAGTCACAATGACAATGACAGGCGCTGTAGAATAGCAATAAAGTCAGTAACAATGACGCTCACCTGGCAGTGGTCCAGCGTCCCAAACAGGCGTTGGTTGACTATGCAGGGTCATATTGCTTTGCCACAAGAGCTGATCTTGATGTAATGTGAGAGCCCAAAGGCACCAGCCTACCCTGTCGAAATGAATTAACCAGCTCGCAACTGCCTTGTGCTGAATCTCAAGAAAAAACTTAACCAAAATAATGTAATGCAATTGTAACATAGCTCTACAAAGACTTACACTGCCATATCATCTCGTGTGAAAGTGTGTAGGATTGATAGCCTTATGTCATGTGATATAGTTTTGATTGTTGTTGTTTTTCAGCTTTGCAAGTCTGCGTGATGGCAACCACACCATGTTCCGCGAGTACGCCTTTGTTCGCTCCACGCCACACAATCGGGCTTCGTTTGTTAAACTTTTCTGGAAGTGCTACAAACAAATTGGCAAAAAGGGAGGTAGGATATGTCTTCATTCTAAATGTGTATCAAGCATCAGGAGATATCTGATTGTGACACACGGGGTCATATCATAGGATATTGTTCAGTTTGTCATTGTCGAGTGTGTGTTTCAGATCTGCTGAGTATCCAGGAGTACCACTCCCTACTGGGGCTACTGTTTGTCATTGTCGAGTGTGTGTTTCAGATCTGCTGAGTATCCAGGAGTACCACTCCCTACTGGGGCTACTGTTTGTCATTGTCGAGTGTGTGTTTCAGATCTGCTGAGTATCCAGGAGTACCACTCCCTACTGGGGCTACTGTGTTCAGACTTTCCATTCAGTATGGTGCAGAAGACTGCCAGGTACTCCCGACACACACACAGACACAAACTACACACAAACATGCATGTACATATACACACGCATGTAGGCACACACACACATACAAGATGAAGGTTTGATAATGGATATAATGTAGCTAATCCTCTAATCTCTCAACTAAACTCTGTACAACAAAGTAGCTTTATGTAAATAATGAAAACTAACATTCAATGTGTGTGATGGACAGAGCCCAAATTGTCATCTGGCAATATGCCCATACCTGGAGGTACACTCACACACAGGGTACATCAGAGCATATTCCCCTACAACTTATAACAGTGAAACATCAGTGAACGTCCTTGATACCTTGGTCAGTGTGCTCTCAGTGTCACCTGTAGTTGTGTGGGTTTTCTGTAACTGTGTCACATCTCGCCTTTCAGGATCATCTTGATTGACGACGCCCTCGACTGTCTCATCTGCTTCTCCGACTTCATCTACGCATTGCAGGTGCAGTTCTGTTATGAAGGTGAGATGCTTCGAAAAGTTCAGTATCCTCTGATACTCTGATAAAGTTCAGTATCCTGATACTCGAAAGTTCAAGATCCATGTTAATCACGATCCCAGTAGTAAGGGAGTGATGTTCATCTAAATGTGACTCTGATTGGCTGGCATCAATAAAGTAAAGGTGATAAATGAACTGTGGTGATATCTTGTGACATAAATGTAATTCAGTGTCATTTAACCAGTTCGGTTAGATGCCATTGGTTAGATGCCATCACTTATTTCATCACTGACGCTAACTTTGTAGAATTCTACATATAGCCGCTCAGTGGTTCTGATAGATACTGATGTTGAGGTTACCTCACAGATGGCTGTTACTATCAGTCTGTAGTCTGGGTCAAGTTGATGATTATGATGTGTATTTCTTCGTTTTCTTGACCAGGGGTATATTGGATCAAGAGCATGCAATGAAAACTCTGTGATATTTCCTTTATATGGTAAAACACTGGGTTTAAGATTAAAAGGGTTTAAATGATCAGAAACAAAGCTTCAGTATGTATTCATGCAAGGAACTCCTGGGTTTTCGTCCAGGAATGGTGGAAGTAGAACACCATCAAGGCATGTAAGCAAAGTCTCCAATGGAAATCTATGTCTATCTTGAAACTTCCCATAAAGGGGAACTGTAGTCATTATAGAATGGAGAACTATTCCCTTGGCTGACTGAGGATACACTCTGCTGCAGAGTTCCTGGAGAAGAGTGGGGAGATCTACCAGTCCATCCTCCAGACACAGCGAAGTCCCCGCGACCCGGTAGTGGTGCCCTCCGCCAGCGCCGGCACCAAGATCCTCCAGCAGAACCACCAGCCTGCCGACGGCATCGATGCCATGCAGTTCTTCCGATCACTGTACCCTCTCTGTGAGAGGGTCAGCTTCAGGTGAGACGGCCGAGTGGGTCATGCCTGGCTTATCCTGCTAACACGAATCTTCAAATGGGTTGAAATGTGTAGCCATGTGGGTCATGCCTTGCTTATTCCGCAGAACATCAGGTTCAAGTCTACACATGTGTTGATGTGTCTAGCCATGTGGGTCATGCCTTGCTTATTCCACAGAACACCAGGTTCAAGTCTACACATGGGTTGATGTGTGTAGCCATGTGGGTCATGCCTTGCTTGTCCTACAGAACACCAGGTTCAAGTCTACACATGGGTTGATGTGTCTAGCCATGTGGGTCATGCCTTGCTTATTCCACAAAACACCAGGTTCAAGTCTACACATGGGTTGATGTGTGTAGCCATGTGGGTCATGCCTTGCTTGTACTGCAGAACACCAGGTTCAAGTCTACACATGGGTTGATGTGTTCAGCCATGTATAAGTCATGCCTTGCTTGGGCTGCTGCACTAAACACCAGGTTCAAGTCTACACATGGGTTGATGTGTGTAGCCATGTGGGTCATGCCTTGCTTGTACTGCAGAACACCAGGTTCAAGTCTACACACATGGGTTGATGTGTGTAGCCATGTAGGTCATGCCTTGCCTGTCCCACAGAACTTATTCCACAAAACACCAGGTTCAAGTCTACACATGGGTTGATGTGTGTAGCCATGTGGGTCATGCCTTGCTTGTACTGCAGAACACCAGGTTCAAGTCTACACATGGGTTGATGTGTGTAGCCATGTGGGTCATGCCTTGCTTGTACTGCAGAACACCAGGTTCAAGTCTACACATGGGTTGATGTGTGTAGCCATGTGGGTCATGCCTTGCTTGTCCTACAGAACACCAGGTTCAAGTCTACACATGGGTTGATGTGTGTAGCCATGTGGGTCATGCCTTGCTTGTCCTACAGAACACCAGGTTCAAGTCTACACACATGTTGATGTGTGTGTAGCCATGTGGGTCATGCCTTGCTTGTCCTACAGAACACCAGGTTCAAGTCTACACATGGGTTGATGTGTGTAGCCATGTGGGTCATGCCTTGCTTGTACTACAGAACACCAGGTTCAAGTCTACACATGGGTTGATGTGTGTAGCCATGTGGGTTATGCCTTGCTTGTACTGCAGAACACCAGGTTCAAGTCTACACATGGGTTGATGTGTGTAGCCATGTGGGTCATGCCTTGCTTGTACTGCAGAACACCAGGTTCAAGTCTACACATGGGTTGATGTGTGTAGCCATGTGGGTCATGCCTTGCTTGTCCTGCAGAACACCAGGTTCAAGTCTACACATGTGATGTTGATGTGTGTAGCCATGTGGGTCATGCCTTGCTTGTACCTGCAGAACACCAGGTTCAAGTCTACACATGGGTTGATGTGTGTAGCCATGTGGGTCATGCCTTGCTTATTCCACAGAACACCAGGTTCAAGTCTACACATGGGTTGATGTGTGTAGCCATGTGGGTCATGCCTTGCTTGTACTGCAGAACACCAGGTTCAAGTCTACACATGGGTTGATGTGTGTAGCCATGTGGGTCATGCCTTGCTTGTACTGCAGAACACCAGGTTCAAGTCTACACATGGGTTGATGTGTGTAGCCATGTGGGTCATGCCTTGCTTGTACTGCAGAACACCAGGTTCAAGTCTACACATGGGTTGATGTGTGTAGCCATGTGGGTCATGCCTTGCTTGTACTGCAGAACACCAGGTTCAAGTCTACATGGGTTGGGTGTGTAGCCATGTGGGTCATGCCTTGCTTGTACTGCAGAACACCAGGTTCAAGTCTACACATGGGTTGATGTGTGTAGCCATGTGGGTCATGCCTTGCTTGTACTGCAGAACACCAGGTTCAAGTCTACACATGGGTTGATGATGTGTGTAGCCATGTGGGTCATGCCTTGCTTGTACTGCAGAACACCAGGTTCAAGTCTACACATGGGTTGATGTGTATGTGTAGCCATGTGGGTCATGCCTTGCTTGTACTGCAGAACACCAGGTTCAAGTCTACACATGGGTTGATGTGTGTAGCCATGTGGGTCATGCCTTGCTTGTACTGCAGAACACCAGGTTCAAGTCTACACATGGGTTGATGTGTGTAGCCATGTGGGTCATGCCTTGCTTGTACCTGCAGAACACCAGGTTCAAGTCTACACATGGGTTGATGTGTGTGTAGCCATGTGGGTCATGCCTTGCTTGTACTGCAGAACACCAGGTTCAAGTCTACACATGGGTTGATGTGTGTAGCCATGTGGGTCATGCCTTGCTTGTACTGCAGAACACCAGGTTCAAGTCTACACATGGGTTGATGTGTGTAGCCATGTGGGTCATGCCTTGCTTGTACTGCAGAACACCAGGTTCAAGTCTACACATGGGTTGATGTGTGTAGCCATGTGGGTCATGCCTTGCTTGTACTGCAGAACACCAGGTTCAAGTCTACACATGGGTTGATGTGTCTAGCCATGTGGGTCATGCCTTGCTTGTACTACAGAACACCAGGTTCAAGTCTACACATGGGTTGATGTGTGTAGCCATGTGGGTCATGCCTTGCTTGTACTGCAGAACACCAGGTTCAAGTCTACACATGGGTTGATGTGTGTAGCCATGTGGGTCATGCCTTGCTTGTACTGCAGAACACCAGGTTCAAGTCTACACATGGGTTGATGTGTCTAGCCATGTGGGTCATGCCTTGCTTGTACTGCAGAACACCAGGTTCAAGTCTACACATGGGTTGATGTGTGTAGCCATGTGGGTTATGCCTTGCTTGTCCTACAGAACACCAGGTTCAAGTCTACACATGGGTAGATGTGTGTAGCCATGTGGGTCATGCCTTGCTTGTACTGCAGAACACCAGGTTCAAGTCTACACATGGGTTGATGTGTGTAGCCATGTGGGTCATGCCTTGCTTGTACTGCAGAACACCAGGTTCAAGTCTACACATGGGTTGATGTGTGTAGCCATGTGGGTCATGCCTTGCTTGTACTGCAGAACACCAGGTTCAAGTCTACACATGGGTTGATGTGTGTAGCCATGTGGGTTATGCCTTGCTTGTCCTACAGAACACCAGGTTCAAGTCTACACATGGGTTGATGTGTGTAGCCATGTGGGTCATGCCTTGCTTGTACTGCAGAACACCAGGTTCAAGTCTACACATGGGTTGATGTGTGTAGCCATGTGGGTCGTGCCTTGCTTGTACTACAGAACACCAGGTTCAAGTCTACACATGGGTTGATGTGTGTAGCCATGTGGGTCGTGCCTTGCTTGTACTACAGAACACTAGGTTCAAGTCTACTAATGTCAAATGCATATTGTTTGTGTTTCCCTCCATAATATGATGTGAATATGAGGTGTATTAACCAAGGGATTGTTATGGGACTGTGATATGATGATTACTAGCCAATGTTTCTCCACAGCACACCACCTGTCTCGGCGCTGAAGGAGATTCTCTTCACGGTTCCCCGGGTGTCCTTCTATGGCTTTCTAATGGCCATTGCCAAGAGCGAGTCCATCAACGAGCACATAGGTGAGACACTATCCAGGCTTCTGTACGTCATCTGTATCTGATCTATATCTGATCCTGTAACTGTGTGATGTTCCTGTAGGTTTGTGATCTATCTGATCCTGTATTTGTGATCTATCTGATCCTGTATCTGTGATCATGTCTCTGATCCTGTAACTGTGTGATGTTCCTGTAGGTTTGTGATCTATCTGATCCTGTATTTGTGATCTATCTGATCCTGTATCTGTGATCATGTCTCTGATCCTGTATGTTCCTGTAGGTTTGTGATCTATCTCTGATCCTGATCATCTATCATCTCTCTGATCCTGTAACTGTCCTCCTGTAGGTTTGTGATCTATCTGATCCTGTATTTGTTCCGCAGGTCGACTGCCACCTAAGACAGCGCTACTGGACACCGGGGAGGCGGAGATCTCATCGTAAGCATCTGTTGTAGTGGCACCTCTCAGCCAGACACTGTGGATGTGGCACTGTGTGAATCTCGTTGATTGATAACACTTTTATAATGGTTTTGTTTTTATGATTCCCTAACCAATGATTGGTGCTCCAGGAGAATCTACTCCCACTTCTCAGGCCACTAATGATAACGTGTATGTAAACCATTGGGCATTTGTACTTGCACCAAGGATACTTTTATGAACATATGACATACTATTCAGTTGAGTGGGTGAGTGTTTCCAGGTTTTGATATATTTTACATATTTTAAGCCACTTTACAAAGGATATTTGGCATATCAGTGAGATTCTGGCTTTCCAACCATGTCAACAGCTTCCCCTTGGCCCCGGATACAACATAGCTGATCGCACATGTCAATATCCACCCCTTAGTCCCTGAAACAGCAGATCTCACTGGAATCTGAAATTTGTGTCCTTGCCGCTGTCACCAACTAGAGGCAACCTTGAACGTTTTTTGGAGGTCAAGGTCATTTCGAAGGTCATTGTTGAAGTAGCTCTGCCTGCATGAGCACTTCACCTTAATCAAGGTTTCTTGAATGATTGGTATGTTGTATATGGTTTCACACCAATGACTCACACCAATATTAGGTCTCTGTGAACACAACAAGTGTAAAGCATTTGCCCATGTTAAATGTAAAATCTATTGCCCATCACCTGTTGAAGGTTAAAGGTCAGATCTATTAAGTAATGACATCCTTGATGTTCTATCTCAAATTTCATATACATTTTTACCAAGTTTGTTGATATATGTTTGTGATACCTGAATTTTGGGAGGGATTATTTGTGTGTAAAATACTGAATTACCTAGAAGGGGGTGCAATATACATGGGTGCACATAATACTCAAGAAAATAACTTATATGTAAATCCAGTTTGTTTAAAGGGATCACTGGTGGAAAATGAAACATACTTAAATCTTTTCACAGTTTCATGTTGATAACCGGTAATGTACATTATTCTACTTGTCGTGCGACCTACTTCTACCTACAGGCATTTTGTCACAGATAGAGTGAACAATCATGGGGTCTGTTTCATGCAACACAAGCGTATTTTATGTTCAGTTTTCTGAACTCATTTCTCCTTTACCTCATCAGTGTGTACATTGAACAGTTAGATGACAAGTCACGGGACATTCCTTCTTGAATTGTATATATTATGAATAAAAGCATGTTTTCTTATTTTTGAAATTTTTGCATGTGTTCTTTCTTTGAGGTAACTCTTATATTTGTACTAATTACAACTAACCATACGTTCAATGCCCTTTAACAATTTTATTTCAATGAAGTTATTTATTTCATTTACACTTTGTTGTTTTATGTGCAAGTTTTCTAACTAGTTTATACCTTGTCTAGCAGTTGGTGATCTGACATTTAATTCCATGTTACCCTCAATGTGGAATGCATACTGTAGATGAATATACACATCTGTTACAGTCAATGTGAGATATATGCTGTATATACACATCTGTTACAGTCAATGTGGGATATATGCTGTATATATACACATCTGTTACAGTCAATGTGGATATATGCTGTATATATACACATCTGTTACAGTCAATGTGGGATATATGCTGTATATATACACATCTGTTACAGTCAATGTGGGATATATGCTGTATATATACACATCTGTTACAGTCAATGTGGGATATATGCTGTATATACACATCTGTTACAGTCAATGTGGGATATATGCTGTATATATACACATCTGTTACAGTCAGTGTGGGGTATATGCTGTATATATACACCTCTGGTACAATACATGTGGGATATATGCTGTATATATACACATCTGTTACAGTCAATGTGGGATATATGCTGTATATATACACATCTGTTACAGTCAATGTGGGATATATGCTGTATATATACACATCTGTTACAATCAATGTGGGATATATGCTGTATATATACACATCTGTTACAGGCCATGTGGGATATATGCTGTATATATACACATCTGTTACAGGCCATGTGGGATATATGTTTGAGATCAAGGCCAGGGATACATGTACACATCTGAATGTACAGAGATGACGGTTTTCATGTTTATTTACAGTCAGTGGCTGTCTTTAGCATGTGTTCCTACATATGTGCTATAACCATCGTCTTACAAACGTGATATACTTGTCTATGTGGGATATATCCTGTATACATGTATATGGTGCTATACTTCATGTTACAGTCTCTGTGGGATCTGTATATATATACACATGTTATCGTATGTAACTATATACTGTGTCTGTATGTAGACACTGGTTGTTTAACAATGTCGTGTTTCTCCCTCCGTGCTGCAGTCGGATGCCTGTGTATGATCTGTATGTGATGAACAAGTAGCGCCCCCTGGTGAATAGGTATAATTGGTGTTGTCTTTTCTAGATGTCCTCGCTTGTGTCAGTGTTGTGTCATGTTGTCATGTGTCATCTCAATAGTGCAGATCTCTATACATTGTGCTGCTCAACACTTGCTAAGGATCGGAGAAAACTGCTGATTTGTAACAGATCAGAGAGGGTGCCCAGTACCTCATGCTTGTCTCCGTGTAGGCATGTTGGATCAGAGTGGGTCCCCAGTACCTCGTGCATGTCTGCTTGTCTCACTGTAGGCATGAGGGATAAGATTAGGTCCCCAGTACCTCATGCTTGTCTCACTGTAGGCATGAGGGATAAGATTAGGTCCCCAGTACCTCATGCTTGTCTGCTTGTCTCACTGTAGGCATGAGGGATAAGATTAGGTCCCCAGTACCTCATGCTTGTCTCACTGTAGGCATGAGGGATAAGATTAGGTTCCCAGTACCTCATGCTTGTCTCACTGTAGGCATGAGGGATAAGATTAGGTCCCCAGTACCTCATGCTTGTCTGCTTGTCTCACTGTAGGCATGAGGGATAAGATTAGGTTCCCAGTACCTCATGCTTGTCTCACTGTAGGCATGAGGGATAAGATTAGGTCCCCAGTACCTCATGCTTGTCTCACTGTAGGCATGAGGGATAAGATTAGGTCCCCAGTACCTCATGCTTGTCTCACTGTAGGCATGAGGGATAAGATTAGGTCCCCAGTACCTCATGCTTGTCTGCTTGTCTCACTGTAGGCATGAGGGATAAGATTAGGTTCCCAGTACCTCATGCTTGTCTGCTTGTCTCACTGTAGGCATGAGGGATAAGATTAGGTCCCCAGTACCTCATGCTTGTCTCACTGTAGGCATGAGGGATAAGATTAGGTCCCCAGTACCTCATGGCTTGTCTAAGATTGTCTCACTGTAGGCATGAGGGAGGGATAAGATTAGGTCCCCAGTACCTCATGCTTGTCTCTCACTGTAGGCATGAGGGATAAGATTAGGTTCCCAGTACCTCATGCTTGTCTCACTGTAGACATGAGGGATAAGATTAGGTCCCCAGTACCTCATGCTTGTCTGCTTGTCTCACTGTAGGCATGAGGGATAAGATTAGGTCCCCAGTACCTCATGCTTGTCTCACTGTAGGCATGAGGGATAAGATTAGGTCCCCAGTACCCCAGTACCTCATGCTTGTCTGCTTGTCTCACTGTAGGCATGAGGGATAAGATTAGGTCCCCAGTACCTCATGCTTGTCTGCTTGTCTCACTGTAGGCATGAGGGATAAGATTAGGTCCCCAGTACCTCATGCTTGTCTCTGTAGGCATGAGGGATAAGATCTCACTGTAGGCATGCTCACTGATAAGATTAGGTCCCCAGTACCTCATGCTTGTCTGCTTGTCTCACTGTAGGCATGAGGGATAAGATTAGGTCCCCAGTACCTCATGCTTGTCTGTTTGTCTCCTGTAGGCATGAGGGATAAGATTAGGTCCCCAGTACCTCATGCTTGTCTGCTTGTCTCACTGTAGGCATGAGGGATAAGATTAGGTCCCCAGTACCTCATGCTTGTCTGCTTGTCTCTGTGTAGGCATGAGGTATCCAAATTGGTCCAAGTCTACCATGTAGGGGGTCTGGGCAATGTAGGGCATCTGGACCATGATGGGGGTCTAGACCATATAGGCATCTGGACCACGTAGGGCATGTGGACCATGTAGAGCATCTGTACCATTAGGGGATCTGGATCATATAGGGCATTTGGACCATGTAGGGGGTCTGGACCATGTAGGGCATTTGGACCATGTAGGGGGTCTGGACCATGCAGGGCATTTGGACCATGTAGGGGATCTGGACTATGTAGGGCATCTGGACCATGTAGGGGTCTGGACCATGTAAGGGTCTGTACCATGTAGGGCAACTGGACCATGTAGGGGGTTTGGATCATGTAGGGCATCTTGGCCATGTAGGGGATGGTGTAGGTGATCTGGACCATGAAAGGGGTACCATATAGGGGACTGGATTCTATGGGGACCATGTAGGCATTGGGTGGTATTTTGATCCATATTTGAGCGTCAGAATGACTCCATACCCAGTCTCAGTTGATAACAGTTGAGCTATATAAACTGTAACTTGATAAACACAGCAAATGAGGACAAAGCACAAGTGGATGTTGTCTCCCCCAAGCATTAGCTGCTCTTGTTGTTTTCCATGGGGTAAGTCTGATGTGTAGATATTTGTAGCTGTTTTCTAGTGAGCTTACATCCAAGCACTAACATGTCACCATAGCTGTAGTTACTTAGGTTAACAAGCCGGACCAGATGACCAAGTCTTGTGGTGTTTGGATGATTTTTGTGACAGTATTTGATCTGATCACTGCTTAGTCTAAGTCCCTGCAAGAGTCCCAGGAGTAGATTCTGCAGGGTTGTTAGTCGAAAATAAGTTAGAATCTAGAACTAATTCATGTGTAATGATTAACAGTTTTCCTAAGCTACACTGTGGTGTCAAACCAAACATGTCTATCTCTAGAAGATAATTAGTCTAGTCATTGTTTTACTAATCAGCAGCAAAAGTATATTTTTAAGAACTGTTAGGAAATTTGTAGATTTCAAAGATTTTATTATGATAATTTCAGATTAGTGAAGGGTTCTGTGTTGATCTTGTAATTTGTTTACCTCCTCTGCATGCAGTTTGATCCTTTGCATTTCACGTTCAGCATCATGAACCCATCTCTCCTTCCCACACTGCATTTCACGTTCAACATCATGAACCCATCTCTCCATCCCACACTGCATTTCACGTTCAGCATCATGAACCCATCTCTCCATCCCACACTGCATTTCACGTTCAGCATCATGAACCCATCTCTCCCACACTGCATTTCACGTTCAGCATCATGAACCCATCTCTCCCACACTGCATTTCACGTTCAGCATCATGAACCCATCTCTCCATCCCACACTGCATTTCACGTTCAGCGTCATGAACCCATCTCTCCCACACTGCATTTCACGTTCAGCATCATGAACCCATCTCTCCCACACTGCATTTCACGTTGAGCATCATGAACCCATCTCTCCCACACTGCATTTCACGTTCAGCATCATGAACCCATCTCTCCCACACTGCATTTCACGTTGCATCATTCACACTGCATTTCACGTTCAGCATCATGAACCCATCTCTCCACGTCATCCAGCATCATGAACCCACTGCAGCAAGCTTTCATGAACTCATCTCTCCCACACTGCATTTCACGTTCAGCATCATGAACCCATCTCGCCATCCCACACAGCGGCAACTTTCAACAAGATGTAGATAAGCAACAGCAACATCCTTATTACACTTTGCTCTTGATTTGATAAATACAGGTGCTCCCTACTGCTCCCTACTGCTCGGGGCGGTCGTGTAGCCTAGTAGTTCATGCCTAAGAGTCGTGTTTGATTCCCACTTTGGTACAATAGGTGAAGTCACCTCTGTGTTTCATGTGTGTTAGAGACACTAGGTCACTGATATTACTCCATAGACATCAGAATCAATGAAGAATGTGTGGCCTTGTTAGACCTAGCCAGTCCCTACTTATATAGGTTCAGCACAGCTGTATAACATAGCACTGTAGGGGCCCTTCCCAAACATAGACCAGCACTGTAGATACCAGTTTCTTTAACACAGCCCAGCATTATAAGGGCATTTCCCAAACATATACTAGGGTCCCAATCCAAAAGCGTTTGTAAAGTTCCGAGCTATTACTTGTCGTAGGCTACGAATGCTCTATGGATTGGGCCCTTGCACTATAGGGGCCTCTCCTAAACATAGACCAGCACTGTAGGGGCCTCTCCAAAAATAAACATAGCATGAAATATAAGTTTTCTTAAGGTCTGCATTCAGATAGCTCTTGTCTCAAATCCAGGAAATTATTATGGAAATGTCACATGATTTTAATAGTCCGTATCTAACTGTTTTCAGAATCCCTCCAATCAAGACTCCCACCAGTGTTTCAAACAAAGGTAACAAATCCCGGTCGTCTGGGGCCGTGAGTCACCGTGAATCAGGCTCAAGGGCATCATACAGCTCCTCCACGTCATCCAATCACAGGTCAAGGTCAACCATTGGCCTGGTCAAACACCAGAAACGCTCAACGGGAGACATCGCTGTGGCTGACACAAGTTCTGAGACTGATTCATCATCGGACTCATCCGACACCAACTAGATGACGATCCATCAGTCAGTGTACGAGACAAACTTAGCGCTACAACTATCATAAGTCTGTGTTAAGGTATGGGCGCTACCATCTGTCAGTACGAAGACAAATATAGCTACAACTATCCTAAGTCTGTGTTAAGGTATGGGCGTTATCCTGTCAGTGTATGGGTGTACAAGACAAATATAGCGCTACGACTATCCTAAGTCTGTGTTAAGGTATGGGCGTTACCGTCTGTCAGTGTACAAGACAAATATAGCGCTACGACTATCCTAAGTCTGTGTTAAGGTATGGGCGTTACCGTCTGTCAGTGTACAAGACAAATATAGCGCTACGACTATCATAAGTCTGTGTTAAGGTATGGGCGTTACCGTCTGTCAGTGTACGAGACAAATATAGCTTACGACTATCATAAGTCTGTGTTAAGGTATGGGCGTTACCGTCTGTCAGTGTAATGTCAGTGTACTATCTAAGACAAATATAGCTACACGACTATCCTAAGTCTGTGTTAAGGTATGGGCGTTACCGTCTGTCAGTGTCAGACAAATGTACAAGACAAATATAGCTACTACTATCATAAGTCTGTGTTAAGGTATAAGGTATGCTACCGTATCCTGTCAGTGTGTTACACAAATACAAGACAAACTTAGCCACGACTATCTATCCTAAGTCTGTGTTAAGGTATGGGCGCTACCGTCTGTCAGTGTACAAGACAAATATAGCGCTACAACTATCATAAGTCTGTGTTAAGGTATGGGCGTTACCGTCTGTCAGTGTACAAGACAAATATAGCGCTACGACTATCCTAAGTCTGTGTTAAGGTATGGGCGTTACCGTCTGTCAGTGTAGAGACAAACTTAGCGCTACGACTATCCTAAGTCTGTGTTAAGGTATGGGCGTTACCGTCTGTCAGTGTAGAAGACAAACTTAGCGCTACGACTATCTTAGTCTGTGTTTAGGTATGGGCGTTACCGTCTGTCAGTGTAGAAGACAAATATAGCCCTACGACTATCTTAGTCTGTGTTAAGGTATGGGCGTTACCGTCTGTCAGTGTAGAAGACAAACTTAGCCCTACGACTATCTTAGTCTGTGTTAAGGTATGGGAGTTACTGTCACATTACGGCTAAGGTTGCTTTGTGGTACATTGGAGTTACATTCCACTGTGGTGACAGTGTACCCATTTCTCAAAAATACAGGACATGTACTGTCAAGCACAGGTCCTCAGTTCTTGAGACTTCCAGGGTATCATTGGCAACGGTTGCTACAAGGGGATAAGCTGACCGGAGTGATGCTGTGTTGTTAAGTTCGTTTGTTGGTGAATGGTTTTGTGTTGAATGTCATGTCTTGGGTTTTCTGAAAAACTCAATTGTGATATTGCTTATCCATGTATAATATATCTTCATTGACAAGAAAGTGGTTTTGTATTTTCTGTGATAGTCTATCTGCATAAAAGTGATGAATATCTGAATTTGTTTATGATCATCAGTACCCAGGTTTCTGCAGAAATAAGCCTGACAAATAAATGGCTGGTATTCAGGCAGCTGTTTGGGAAACATTTAACTGACTTCAGGGAGTTTGTTTTCATTTGTGCTAAACGACTAGATTTGGAACATGGTAATATACCTTGCATGTGTTGGTTTGTCAATATATTGAATGGCTCAGTTTATACTGTGTGGTAAGAGATCCATGTTACCAAGTCACCTGTGAAGATCCGTGTTTCCCAAGTGGTCCACCTGTGAAGATCCATGGAGAAATTGGTCCACAGGTTGTCAGAAGCAACAAACAGGAGAAGGTGGTCTGAATCACTGACATGGTTGGTGCCTGACATCATATCCCAGTTGAGTGGGTGACACTCATGATGTGAATCACAAGGTTGTCTGGTCCAGGCTGCCGTTATGTAGCCCGAATATGGCGGAGTGCAGTGTGAAACAAACAGTACACAGTTGTCTGTTATGTTGTTCAGTAGACATTGTGGCCTCTCTGGCCGCTCAATCCTCATAAGTCATCCTAGACTTACACAACACAGACTCAAGGTTGTATACTTCGTATTTATTCTTAAAGGCAACAGCAGGCAGGCATTTGGCTAGGAGGGAAATATTGTAGTACATCAAACTCTTGAGATGGGTTACAATTTGACATGCAAGGGCATGCACAATAACACGGCCTGCCAGTCAGGTCACGAGTGATCTATTATATGTACACAGTGGAATAAACTGCAGAAGGCTATGCAATGGCTTCAGAAAAATTGTAGCTAATAGTAATATGTAGAAAACTGAATGACTACTGTCTACATGACAGTGCAACTCTTGTAAACAATAAACAGCTGCTTCATTAAATACCAGACCTACTTCCCTCAACACATCTTCACCTTGTCATAGTCAGCTCATCACACAGATCATACACACATTCACACCAATAAACTATACATATATATATACAGAATCTCAAAAAAGATTGATTTCATTTCATAAAACAAAACTTATCAAAATAGCTACATTGTAGTGTGAGACAAGGTGTACCCTACACAGAGCCTTCGGGTGAGTGAATATTGCTTCACAGTGTTGCAGCTATTCACACTACTTCTGTTGTTGACTGCACCCAATTCTCAAGGTGCTACATCAGTATTTACACAAGGAATGAACAGGTATTTCTTACAACTGGACTTGTCCCACTAAAGAGATTTGTAGAGAGATCTGTGAAGTCTGAGCAACTCCAGGTGGAAATGAGACATGTTAACACACCTTGTGGTGTGCTGTTATGCCTGAGGTGACCACACATCCCATCCAGTAAATATGTCAATGTGTGGGTGATACTACTGGCAAGATATATAGACGTAGTTGAGTATCTGTTAAACTAGTGCAGGAAATGAGAGATGGGACAACCAGGCCTGGTAAGCTGGGCACCTGGTCCGTGATAGAATGAGAGGTGACATCTACAGGATATTGCAATCTGCCCATCACCTTACTGATACAAATGTTTCTACGATGATAGAGACAGATAGTCAGGTGATACACATACAACAGTGACATGATACAGGTGTGATACAATGAAGGGGAATGATACATAAGCAATAAGTTAATGTTGATGGATGTCGGGGTTCTGATGTGACTCTGCTAGTGCTGCCACCTGCCACGCCCACCGAGACTGGACATGGACTTGCTCCTCATCCGGGACCTGTCAACAGACAGAAGAACATCATCACACAGTGGGCTTCACGTTCCCTTGAACACTTCCAGTTATATCTCAACATGTTGGCTTCATGTGAGTCTGACGTGATGCAGATCTATCAACCCTATGGTGAAATCCCATGAACACTGATAGACCAAAGATCAGTATGAACATTCAACAACAGTGCAACCTGCATGCAGTATTTTGACTCAAAAGAGCTATGTTCCTGATTCTGGTATCTGAGGAGATAATGGTTACAGTGCAAGGGATTGCGAGAAATGGTTTAATAATGAAAATAAAGAGGTTTTGCAACATGGCTGCTGTGGTAGCCATATTTAGAATCAAACCTCTTTTGATGGGAACTACATGTATATGTAAAGTTTTAGCTTTATTGAACCAGGGGTTTCTGAAGAGATGGGGATAGAGCATCCTCGATAATCTACAGGGAATATGTTCCGATAAATCTCCACTATACCCTGGATGCATCTACGGCTTGGCCCGATAATTTCATTACCTCCCTTTGCTGGCTCCGCATTCTCACAGTAGCCAATCAGATAAGCCGCCATTACAACTTGCAGCTTGCCATTGTCAACAAAGATAGCCGTCGCAGCCGCAAAAGTTTGTTCGCAGTGCGACTCAGGTGTGGGGGGAAAACATACAGACAAATTGACAGGTCTGAAACCTTAAAAAAATATATGCAAGAACTCCTTCTACCTCTTTCAGAGTACCTCTGCCAATATATTATTGTGTTGCCGAGTTTAATCGGTTGGATAATTTAAAAACCGAAAGTGAGTTATGATTGGTACGCTCAACTTCCCAGCGTAGACACCTGATTGGATAAAAAGCCAACCAAGGGAGGTAATAAAATCATCGAGCCAAGCCGTAAATGCATCCAAGGTATAGTGGAGATTTATCGGAACGTATACCCTTGAGATTATGGACGATGGGGATAGAGTGGACATCTGACAAACAGGCCATGATGTTAGCTCATTAGATGTCACTCAAGATAGAAAAATCACAATGTCCTGCAAAAAAAGGATAGGTGTTACTTACAGTGACTTGTTGGCTGTAGTGGACTGTGTGTGGGTGTCTTGGGCTGCAACTCTCCGAGGGGGCGCAGTGGTTGGATGGGGGGCTTCATCCTTCACACGGCCGAACAGATGACGACTCCTTTGGGCGGCAGCCTTTGTGGGCCTCATGTAGCTTGGTTTAGATGGTCCTGTAGAAACACAATGATAATCTGACATGTAGCTTGGTTTAGATGGTCCTGTAGAAACACAGGGATAATCTGACATGTAGCTTGGTTTAGATGGTCCTGTAGAAACACAATGATAATCTGACATGTAGCTTGGTTTAGATGGTCCTGTAGAAACACAATGATAATCTGACATGTAGCTTGGTTTAGATGGTCCTGTAGAAACACAATGATAATCTGACATGTAGCTTGGTTTAGATGGTCCTGTAGAAACACAATGATAATCTGACATGTAGCTTGGTTTAGATGGTCCTGTAGAAACACAATGATAATCTGACATGTAGCTTGGTTTAGATGGTCCTGTAGAAACACAATGATAATCTGACATGTAGCTTGGTTTAGATGGTCCTGTAGAAACACAGGGATAATCTGACATGTAGCTTGGTTTAGATGGCCCTGTAGAAACACAGGATAATCTACATGTAGCTTGTTTAGATGGCCCTGTAGAAACACAGGGATAATCTGACATGTAGCTTGGTTTAGATGGCCCTGTAGAAACACAGGGATAATCTGACATGTAGCTTGGTTTAGATGGCCCTGTAGAAACACAGGGATAATCTGACATGTAGCTTGGTTTAGATGGCCCTGTAGAAACACAGGGATAATCTGACATGTAGCTTGGTTTAGATGGCCCTGTAGAAACACAGGGATAATCTGACATGTAGCTTGGTTTAGATGGCCCTGTAGAAACACAGGGATGATCTGACATGTAGTTTGGCATGGACTGTCCTGTAGAAACACAGGGATGATCTGACGCTGATGAGACTATATATAATCACTAGCTAGTTGTTCATGCAAGTCCAGTACCTCCCTCCTACTTACTTGGGGCAGACCGGTTGGCCACTGAGGGCAGACCAAACTGACTGAGGTTCCTAGCTGTTTCCTCAGACTTGTGGGTCGCCTTGTAAACCCCACTGTTGGGGGCGATGTAGCCTGGCACACTCCTGCAACTGTGGGAACAAATCGAGGGAATCAATATCAGGTCTGAATGTCTAGAGCCTACTTCATTTTATTGTTGGAATGTTATAATTAAGTTGATCCTTATAGATAGATAGTAGATGATCCTTACTGTCATTTTTGTCATTAATCAAATGAATCCTCTTGTGCGGTGACACGTGTATTGAAGACAATATAGCTCACCTGGCAATTGTCTGGCACAGAGACACAGGTGTGTTAATAATAATAAGAAGAAGACCTGGTCATCAATATCCCCCTCCACAGTGTTCTGTTCCTGTTTGATTCCTGTTTTTTAACTCCACCACAACATTCATGTTCTAGAAACAACTACAATGTACCACATTTGGTTTCCCTATCTATAACGGTTACTGAGAAAATCTGCACTAAGTCAAGAAACGCATGCAAGGGCAATAAACAATTTGTAACATGGTTTCTGTTTTCAAACTTCATCAATGTATTTGCATCCTGAAAATATATGCCACATTTTGTTTCCCCATCTATAACGGATTCTGAGAAAATCTGGCCCCAATGGGGATACTGTGCACTAAGTCAAGAAACGCATGAAAAGGGCCATAACTCTGTAACAATTTGTAACATGGTTTTCAGTCCATCAAGGCATTCATGTCCTGAAAACATATACCCTATCTATAACGGTTTCATAGGCGGATCCAGAGGGGGGGTGCAGGGGTGCGCACCCCCCCTTTTGTCCTGAAGATTATTAAATGACCATTGAAACTCGGACGAAAATGAAGTGTGCACCTCCCTTTTCTCAATAGTGTGCACCCCCCCTTTCTCAAAAAGCTGTATCCGCCCCTGGGTTTCTGAGAAAATCTGTCCCCATCATCTCAGATGGACGGAAGAACAGATGGAGCTCAAACCAATATCGCCCTCCCACTTCGTGGCGGGGGGATAATAAACAGGACATTTGTATAGCGCTGATCTCCACACTTCATGGGCATGCTCTAAGCGCATACTACAGTTCAAGTCAGTTTTTTAACATCTCCCAAAGAGGTCTTGAGATGAGCTTTAAAACAACAAATAACATAGCTCACCTGTCAATTGTCTAGTAAAGAGATACAGGTGTATTAACGAGAACATAGCTCACTTGGCAATTGTATGGTACAGAGACACATTAGCATTGACTCACCTGGCAGTTGGCAGGTATGGGGATGACACCAGTGTGTTGCTGTCCAGGGTCTTCAGCTGGAGTCTGACAGGTGAAGGAGTCTTCAGCACTTCAGCATAACTCTTCATCTCCGGCCTCTCTGGTGTCTGTTGGCACTCTCCACCAAATGTGATGGACCGGACCACACTGTTCTTCCTGTGATCACTGTTTTCCTTGTCCTCGTGTTGGCCTGGCGTACTCTTGGTCACTGTGCTGGAACCACTGAGACAAACACCCTGGGATTTGGTGATCGTGGCAGAACCATGGAGATTTGTCTGACATTTTGTTATCGTGCTTGACCCTTTCAGATTTAAAGGGTTATTCTTTGTGACCGTGTTGCACTGCATTGAGCTCTGTGTTTGTACAATAGCACCAAGCTGAGTTTCTGATGAATCTGAGGGTTGAGAACTCAGATAGGCCTGCACAGATGGAGGAACTGGGATGGGGGATGCACAGAGAGTGGGGACAGGGGAGGGTTTCCGTGGGAGACACGATGTCCTCCGGAAGGGGCTGCTCTGGTCCAGAGAGTCCACAGTCTGCCTGACCACAGTACTACGGCTCAGAGGGCTCTGACACACATACTCAAAGTCAATCTTTGGCACATATGATTGCGAGCTAGACACCTGACTAGGTTTAGAAGAAGAAACGGCTTCTGATTTTGCAGCACACAGATCTGAAGGCACACGGCTGGGTATTTGTGATGTTTCCAGTGTGAATGTTCCATCAATGATGTCAGAGCTGACAGACTCAGCTGATGCAATGGAGGAACCTGACACAGACTGTCCTTCAGTTGAACCCGGGTTCCGGGCAAAAGTATCATTCAGTTGTTGCCACTGTCCAGCCGCTGATGGACGTGAACTAATTGTTTGATCTGCATTCAGAGATGAACTGCCATCTGTATGTAGAGTAGCAAACTTCTTACAGGCAGGAGTGTGACCAGCATTGACAGACTGTGATGACACGCTGGGGTCTGTGCTGGGGTCTCCCTCTGTTATCGGATGTGAAGGTAGAGAGCCAGGATGTCCTTCCACCACCCGACCTGCTGATTCAGCTGCTGCTGCTGCAGTGGACTTGCCAGACATCACCCTCTGGGCCCCTCCTGGAACACATTGAGAGAAGGATGTAACAACAGTTGTTTTATATAGGACATGCTCACTTCCTCAGATTAACTGGGGACCCACACACTGACACTGTTTAGACATAGCAGCCTGTATACGTCACCTAGACACACAGGTACATTAACCCACCAGTGTTTGCCAGTTCCAACTTCCCTGGGTCCCCCGATGTGTGTCTCTGTCTCAGGTGACTGCCAGAAGAATCTGAAACAAGAAGATGTAAGAGTGAGTGAGTGAGTATGGTTTTACGCCGTTTTTAGCAATATTCCAGCAATATCACGGCGGGGGACACCAGAAGATGTAAGAATACAACAGATATGAGGCTGAAGCATCTACAGTATTAACACACAACTCATGATGTGAGAAGTTTGGAGCTCTGTTTAAAACCCTATAGCAACATTGCTCCTACAATGTAACAAAGAGGACTTTGGACTCACCTCCATCTAACACCGATCTGAGTAGTGGGAGTGAGATGATGTCGTTGATGGGGACACTGGTGCCATCGCTGGGCATCTCATCATCCCACGTCACCTCTCGACCATCCACGGACTGTGATATTACATCAAACTCCTCCAAGAGGTCAGTTGTGGCAAGGTTGTGTCCCTTCAGTATATAATGTTGCTTGCGCACAAGAGCCAGCAGGTTGGTCACCAGTCTAGATGGGAGAGACATAACAATGTGACAAACATTATCACAGATTGATGGTGGGTGGGTGGACGGATGATGGGTGGGTGGGTAGGACGGATGATGGGTGGTGGATGGATGATGGGTGGGGTGGGTAGATGGATGAAGGGTGGGTGGATGGATGATGGGTGGATGGATGATGGGTGGGTGGTGAGTGGATGGATGATGGGTGGGTGGTGAGTGGATGGATGATGGGTGGGTGGGTGGGTGGTGAGTGGATGGATGATGGGTGGGTGGGTTGGTGGTGAGTGGATGGATGATGTGTGGGTGGTTGGATGGATGAAGGGTGGGTGGATGGATGATGGGTGGGTGGGTGGTGAGTGGAAGGATGATGGGTGGGTGGGTGGTGATGGCTGGGTGGTGGATGGATGATGGGTGGGTGGTTGGATGGATGATGGCTGGGTGGATGGATGATGGGTAGGCGGATGGATGATGGGTGGGCAGATGGATGATGGGTAGGTGGCTGAGGGATGGATGGGTGGATAAATGATGGGTGAGTGGATGGATAATGGGTCTGTGGATGGATGATAGGTGAGTGGGTGGGTAGAGGGATGATGGGTGGATGGATGATGGGTGGGTGGGTGAGTGGATGGATGGATGGATGGATGAAGGGTGGATGGCTGATGGATGGATGATGAGTGGGTGGGTGGCTGATGGATGGATGATGGGTGGTAGGGTGCGTAGATGAATGATGGGTGGGTGGATGAATGTTTGATGGGTGGGTGGAGGATGATGGGTGGGTGGCTGAACGATGGATGATTGGTGGGTGGGTGGATGGTTAATGGGTGGGTGGGTGGGTGGGTGGATGGATGATGGATGGGTGAATGGATGATGGATGGATGATGATGGATGGGTGGCTGGCTGGCTGGGCTAGATGATGGGTGGGTGGGTAGATGGATGATTGATTGGTGGGTGGGTGGATGATTGGTGGGTGGGTGGATGGATGATGGGTGGGTAGATGGATGATTGATTGGTGGGTGGGTGGATGGATGATGGATGGATGGATGGATGATGGATGGATGGAATGATGAATGGGGTGGGGTGTGGGTGTTTGGATATGGATTGGGTGTGGGGGTGTGGGTGGATGGATGGTGGATGGATGGATGAAGTTGTGCGACTTCTCATTCCATATCACCACAGGGGTGATATACTTTAAGACCAAACAATGAAAAGTAGTACCAGTAATCATTGAAACGGAATAATTTATTGAAAAACTGTAATTCCCAAGACCATTACAGAACACCCTCATCGTGCTTCCAAGAACATTGTGAGTGTACACATACTGGTCAGTGGTGGTTGTCTCCTTCTCCTGGGAGCGTATCAGCTTCTGCAGGTGCTTGGTGTGATGTCTGCTGTCCCTCACCTCCACCTCCAGGTTGTGCATCCTCAGACTCACACACAGCAGCTGAACACAGCAGAACATTATGTAGAACACTGTCACACAGCAGAACATTATGTTGAACACGAGCACACAGCAGAACATTACGCAGAACACGAGCACACAGAACATTATGCAGAACACTGTCACACAGCAGAACATTATGCAGAACACTGTCACAGCAGAACATTATATAGAACACTGTCACATGGCAGAACATTATGCAGAACACTGTCACAGCAGAACATTATATAGAACACTCACACAGCACATTATGCAGAACAGAGACATTATGCAGAACACTGTCACAGCAGAACATTATATAGAACACTGTCACACAGCAGAACATTATGCAGAACACTGTCACATGGCAGAACATTATGTTGAACACTGTCACACAGCAGAACATTATGCAGAACACTGTCACAGCAGAACATTATATAGAACACTGTCACACAGCAGAACATTATGCAGAACACTGTCACATGGCAGAACATTATATAGAACACTGTCACACAGCAGAACATTATGCAGAACACTGGGTAGGTAGATGGGTGAGCAACATGGGGACCTACCTCTGGCATGGTGTTGTCTCCTCCAGCCAGGCACATCTCTGAGTGGACTCTGTTCAGCCAGTCTTGGTTGGCAGCCAGCTTCACTTCAGCTGCATCTCGTTTCTTGCTCACTGCCTCAAGTTTACCCTGGAGGGACTTGAGACTGCGCTCCACTCGTTCACACACCTGCAACACACAGGTATACATTCAACCATCAGCAACACCTTCAAGAGTACATTCATCAATCAGCAACACACTCAGGTGCACAATCAACCTACAGCAACATGACAACCATCAGGAACACCTTCAGGTGTACATTCAACCATGAGCAATACGACAACCATCAGCAACACCTTCAGGTGCACAATCAACCTACAGAAACATATACAATCATCAGCAAACACCTTCAGGTATACATTCAACTATGAGCAACACGACAACCATCAGCAACACCTTCAGGTGTACATTCATCAACCAGCTACACCTTTAGGTGCACAATCAACCTACAGCAACATATACAATCATCAACAAATGCCTTCATGTATACATTCAACTATGAGTAACACGACAACCATCAGCAACACCTTCAGGTGTACATTCATCAACCAGCTACACCTTCAGGTGCACAATCAACCTACAGAAACATATACAATCATCAGCAAACACCTTCAGTTGTACATTCAACCATGAGCAACACGACAACCATCAGCAACACCTTCTGGTGTACATTCATCAACCAGCTACACCTTCAGGTGCACAATCAATCTACAGAAACATATACAATCATCAGCAAACACCTTCAGTTGTACATTCAACCATGAGCAACACAACAACCATCAGCAACACCTTCTGGTGTACATTCATCAACCAGCTACACCTTCAGGTGCACAATCAACCTACAGAAACATATACAATCATCAACAAACACCTTCAGTTGTACATTCAACCATGAGCAACACGACACCATCAGCAACACCTTCTGGTGTACATTCATCAACCAGCTACACCTTCAGGTGCACAATCAACCTACAGAAACATATACAATCATCAGCAAACACCTTCAGTTGTACATTCAACCATGAGGAACACAACAACCATCAGCAACACCTTCTGGTGTACATTCATCAACCATCTACACCTTCAGGTGCACAATCAACCTACAGAAACATATACAATCATCAGCAAACACCTTCAGTTGTACATTCAACCATGAGCAACACGACAACCATCAGCAACACCTTCTGGTGTACATTCATCAACCAGCTACACCTTCAGGTGCACAATCAACCTACAGAAACATATACAATCATCAGCAAACACCTTCAGTTGTACATTCAACCATGAGCAACACGACAACCATCAGCAACACCTTCAGGTGTACATTCATCAACCAGCTAAACCTTCAGGTGCACAATCAACCTACAGCAACATATACAATCATCAGCAAACACCTTCAGGTGTACAATCAACCATGAGCAACACGACAACCATCAGCAACACCTTAAGGTGTACATACAACTATGAGCAACACAACCATCAGCAACACCTTCAGGTGTACATTCAACTATGAGCAACACGACAACCATCAGCAACACCTTCAGGTGTACATTCAACCATCAGCAACACGACAACCATCAGCAACACCTTCAGGTGTACACATCAGGTGAAATGTTGCATGCCACCAGGATCCAGTGAATGAATGAGTGAATGTTATTTACCCTGAAGTCTCGATCAGTGCATCAGGTGCACTGACTTGTGCTATGAGGCAGTGTTATATACCCTGTGCAACACTGTTTCAACTTTTGTACATTGTACTTCCACAATACTCTCTGAGGAACAGGATTCTAGAATAAGCTTGTTGTAGCAATCTCCAGATCATTCTGTCTAAATCCAGTCTAAATATAGTACAAAATTGTCCCTTACTGAATCTACAGTTTTGTAGCATCTATTTCTTAGATATTTAACAAAGTTAACTCTTCCCTATCATCTCACATCACATCTCAGGCCACAAGAGGTCCAACATTTTGTATGAGATCAATCTACACCCTGGGATACACTGCCTTGACCTAATTTCAGAATTTGGATTACCATTACTCAGTAACTGTAATGTAAATATAACCATCATCTACTTTATTGTTATCATCACTTCTCTTGTGTTGTATTAGCCATACCTTTGTATTGATTTGTGAACTTTGTTTCTTTCAGAATACAAATGTTAATTACAGCACATTTCTTTGTTGTTTTTACATCTAGTTCTTTTACAGATTGATTCCTGGTTAACTTTTTAGTTTCAACCTGGGGATCAACACATAGCACATGGTATCAACACATAGCACATGGTATCAACACATAGCACATGGTATCAACAAAATGACCAGGTCTGACCATGCATGGGACAACCATAGTTTACTGTTTTACATGTCCTTGGTACCGAGTGACAACCACATCCCTTCAGTGTACAACCACCCACCTGGCCCTGTGAAGCACTGGAGATGATGCGCAGTCGATGAAGACATCTCTGTTTGCGTCCGATCTTCCACAGCAAGTCCCGATATACACACTCCACCTGTAGTTGCTCACGTCGCACGTCCAGCCGAGCCTCGAAGATGTTCTCCAGGATTGCACTCAGTCTGTTTGAGGGATAAGGTACAGCTCAACATTGGAAACCAAATAGTTCTGTTGTTGGTGTTCTGAATTCATACCTTCAGCAAAGAATTCACTTCATCGAGCCACCACTTTACAACTACCTGGACTTACCATCATGTATGGATCATGATCTGCACAAACAATAGACTGTACAGATCACAGCTGTAAAACAATAGACTGTACAGATCACAGCTGTAAAGCAACAGACTGTACAGATCACAGCTGTAAAACAATAGACTGTACAGATCACAGCTGTAAAACAATAGACTGTACAGATCACAGCTGTAAAACAATAGACTGTACAGATCACAGCTGTAAAACAATAGACTGTACAGATCACAGCTGTTAAACAATAGACTGTACAGATCACAGCTGTAAAACAATAGACTGTACAGATCACAGCTGTAAAACAATAGACTGTACAGATCACAGCTGTAAAACAATAGACTGTACAGATCACAGCTGTAAAACAATAGACTGTACAGATCACAGCTGTAAAACAATAGACTGTACAGATCACAGCTGTAAAACAATAGACTGTACAGATCACAGCTGTAAAACGATAGACTGTACAGATCACAGCTGTAAAACAATAGACTGTACAGATCACAGCTGTAAAACAATAGACTGTACAAATCACCAGGTGTACACCAATCAGCTTTACATACAATGAGATGCACAGAACAGTTGTACACCTATAAGCTCAGTTACAAGCTGTGTGTAACAAAACCATATGGGCACAATAAACTGTATACTCAGTTACTTGTTTGTTTTCCAGTAGACGTTAAGTGTAGGTAATTCTGCCAATTCTTCTATTTCTCATCTTCCATCCTATTGTTAGGATCATCACTTTAGGATGACGATAGATAGCCTTTGAGAGTTTTGTAAATGTAGTCCAAAAAGAAAGTGATAAGTACCTGATATGTACTAGGGGTGTCGCGATACGCGAATGTATCGATGCATCGATACATTTTTACTGACGATACGATACGCAATACATGCTTGCGTGTATCGATTCCTATTTTAAAACTTTATCGATTCAAATGTTTATGCTATATCCATCTCCTTCAAAGTATTGATAGTAAAATTATACGAGACCGCTCCGATAAATAGATGTAGCTAGCTTTACTTAAAAAATAGGTTGGAAACTAACAGCTTTTGTGATTGGCTAGACTATTTTGATGGACCAATCAGCGAGCGCGTACGTTGCCGGTAAGGTAATGCTATGAAAAGGCGCGAAAATTATGTATTGCGATACGTATCGTACCGTGACCTTAAAATCGTGATACGTATCGTATCGTGAGATTGGTGTATCGTGACACCCCTAATATGTACAATGGATATTTGCAAGTACACCTGATCCCAACTTTACCAATGAAAAATAAGAGTGGAACCAACTAAATGTTCACCTGTGTTCCTCATTGACAGCTGACTGTCGCCGTGACGACCCAATCTTCCCTTCATCATACAGCTGTAGCCTTGACTTCAACTCCCCGATCTGTGAGTAGCAGACAGATAACATGAGTATAACACAACACAAGAGTTGTCATACTGTGTCAGACCATACATACTGCACACGGTCATTGGAGATATTTGTGATATAGATGTCAGTATCTGCTTTCGATGCAAGGGTATATTCTCATGGACTGTATGTTAATGACAAAATCACCTTGTCTTCTGCTCATCACAGTCAGCTGCCCAGGAAAACCTATTTGCTCTTCATTTCTGGGCATGGAATGGTGGACTGATTGACAAAATGAATTGCTTAATTTCAGCAACAGAGAACATATTTCAGCAATCATCCTTGAATTTGATTCAGGAGTTCAGGGCCTCGTTTCATCTCAGCAACAGAGAACATACTTCAGCAATCATCCTTACGAGAAAGTTTGATTCAGGAGTCCAGACTGTGGACCTTCACTTTGGTGAACACATGATTGTGGCACTGACAAACCAAGGATCATAGCAATGACAGTCAGCGGATCCTGCTACACTAAAAGGAGGCTACTCTACATTGATGCAAGTATTGGCTACTCTCACCTCATTACGCAGGTCCTCCACGATCTGGCCATACCGGGACACGTGGAAATCAACATTTAGGATGTTCTTCTTCAGCTGGGGAACAGACAGACAGACAACTGATGATTACAATGTGCAGTATATAATGTGCAGTAGACAATGTGCAGTAGACAATGTGCAATAAACCATGTGTACAGAGTGCTGCAATATACTTTGAGAAAGGTGTCCTGTCCTCGGGGATCATTTAAAGGCATGAACAAGTGGCATGAGCTTAACCATAATCCCACCACCCCCAATTGGCATCAACAACTGGTCACTCTAAGAACATGTACTGGATGTATATTGTCCAGGTGGTCAACTCACCATGGCACGGATGTGCTTGGCCCTGTCGGCGTACTTCAGGGTGTTGTAAGTGTCCTCATACGACATGCTGGAAGGACTGACAAAACAGAAGCAGAATGTAAGCAAGATGCCTCATCTATCTTCCCCCTGTCACATTCTGAACTCTCAGCTGATCCTAACATTCATATGTATGTTTTCACTGAACAGTAATAGATACGGCTACATGAAATGTTCCAATGTTGCACATGTTAAACACAATCTATCAGTGTTAGCCTCATGACAGTACTGAAGGACCAGAGTTATGTCATAATATCAAAGCTGGACCAGGGGGTCTGCTCTCCCTGGGACTAGTGCAAGGGTGTTCTGCCTACCTGACTGCTGCAATCATGACAGTCCGACAGTTGCCTCCCAGGGAGTCTTTCAGGAGTCGGGTCAACTTGCTGTCTCGGTAAGGAATGTGGCCTTTATTCTGGAAGAAATGAGTCACTGGTGTAAATTAGGTGTACGTAAGGTTTAATTATACCTGTTATAAAGAGGTTAACTGATTGAAGTTCAATGGGTTTTGACAAGTGGAGGAACCCAGTTCACTTAAAGTATGAATCCACCAGCTGCTGTGGGGGCAGTGGGGTCGTCTAGTGGTTAATGTGTTCGCTCTGTCCCCGCGCCCAACCCAACAAAAGAAGACCCAGGTTCAATTTCCCCATGGGTACAATGTGTGAAGCCCATTTCTGGTTTCCCCCCGTGATATTGCTGGAATATTGCTAAAAGCGGCGTAAAACCAAACTCACTCACTCACTCACTCAGACTACTAATGAATCATCATATCAATGATATATCTTGCAGCCAGTGACACCTGTAGGACTGACCTTGTTCTCAGCGAGAGCGTTGATGACATTCCCTAGTGCCAGCAGAGATCTGTTGATGTTAGCTCCCTCTCGGAATCTTGCCCCTCGATTTTTTGTGACCGTTGCTCTCTCCGACCCTGCCAAGTCAACCAGACACATCTTGGCAACCTTCACCTCAGTAGATATGTTGGCTGTGCGATCTTTTTGTCGAACAAAAACCTGCACGCAGAAGATTGGGAAAGATTAGAACAAAAATCCCATCTAACATAGAATGTTCAAGTGGATAGAATGTGAAAGTTATAAGATTGTTTCTGAGGCACACCTGGTGTAATCACTGTCATTTTTGACATATCCAACTCTGTCAAAGTGGCATATCACCATCCACAGGGGGCAGTATGATGATGGTGACACGGGCTTGTAATGCTAAAAACTGCCATCAAGGCATCACTGACGGGGTCTTAGTACTATATAAAAGGAAAGGGGTATAACGAGGTCGACACACCAAGTTCGTTTTCAGGGTTATATACACTAGAGGTGTTCCAACCAATTGAAATAATCGAAGATTGGTCGCAGTGACCAAACCACCAAGCAATCGATCTCATTTTCTAATAATCGAACGCAAAAGATTTTGGAACTACTGTTTTAGTCTTTCAAACATTTGACGATAGAACATATCTTCGAAGTTGTCAGGGCCTGAAAATATTTTTTCACTAACTGAAAAGTCATGACTGAATATTTCTTAAAGACTCAAGGAAGTTTATGTTCATGATATATTAGTCATCACTTTAAAGTAGCAAATTGCATCATGTTATACATGCAATAACAACCTGGATAGGAAAATATGAAAAATGACGCTAACAATTTTTTTTGATGAATGTTTGTGGGTAATGAAGCAATCATCAGTTGTGAGATTTCAACCATTTCCCAACACTAATATAGTGATCATTGTTGAATTCATCCTGAAATGAACTTGGTGTGGCTTGATATCACTGGTATGCTACACTGCACCACACTTTATTATCTTTAGTATTTACAAACAGTCCATCTTGAGTACACTGTCACCTGGAAGACGGCATGAGACCGTGATGACTCTGCGTTAGCGTCAGTTGGGTGCTGGGATCTGTTCTTGTTGCCAAACTGGAGCATGTACAGCAGCTCCTCCGCGTTCTTCGGCTGAAAGCAGATCACAGAATATTGTCACAATAGGGAACTGTCACATGTGTCACATTACAAGCATATTGTCACACAACAGGGAACTGTCACATGTGTCACATTACAAGCATATTGTCACACAACAGGGAACTGTCACATGTGTCACATTACAAGCATATTGTCACACAACAGGGAACTGTCACATGTGTCACATTACAAGCATATTGTTCACATGTGTCACATTACAAGCATATTGTCACACAACAGGGAACTGTCACATGTGTCACATTACAAGCATATTGTCACACAACAGGGAACAGTCACATGTGTCACATCACCAGCATATTGTCTGACTGACTGAGTTTAGTTTTACGCCACTTTTAGCAATATTCCAGCAATATCACGGCGGGGGACACCAGAAATGGGCTTCACACATTGTGCCCATGTGGGGAATCGAACCCGGGTTTTCAGCGTGACAAGCAAACGCTTTAACCACTAGGCATTTCACCAGCATATTGTCACAACAGGGAACTGTCACATGTGTCACATCACCAGCATATTGCCACAACAGGGAACTGTCACATGTGTCACATCACCAGCATATTGTCACAACAGGGAACAGTCACATGTCACATCACCAGCATATTGTCACAACAGGGAACAGTCACATGTCACATCACCAGCATATTGTCACAACAGGGAACAGTCACATGTGTCACATCACCAGCATATTGTCAAGCATATTGTCACAACAGGGAACTGTCACATGTGTCACATCACAAGCATATTGTCACAACATGGAACTGTCACATGTCACATCACCAGCATATTGTCACAACATGGAACTGTCACATGTCACATCACCAGCATATTGTCACAACATGGAACTGTCACATGTGTCACATCACCAGCATATTGTCACAACATGGAACTGTCACATGTGTCACATCACAAGCATATTGTCACAACATGGAACTGTCACATGTGTCACATCACAACAGCATATTGTCACAACATGGAACTGTCACATGTCACATCACCAGCATATTGTCACAACATGGAACTGTCACATGTCACATCACCAGCATATTGTCACAACATGGAACTGTCACATGTCACATCACAAGTATATTGTCATAACATGGAACTGTCACATGTGTCACATCACCAGCATATTGTCACAACAGGGAACTGGTCAACATATTGTCACAACATGTCACTGTCATGTCACATCACCAGCATATTGCCACAACAGGGAACTGTCACATGTGTCACATCACATGCCAGCATATTGTCACAACATGGAACTGTCACATGTGTCACATCACCAGCATATTGTCACAACAGGAACTGTCACATGTCACATCACCAGCATATTGTCACAACAGGGAACTGTCACATGTGTCACATCACCAGCATATTGTCACAACATGGAACTGTCACATGTGTCACATCACCATATTGTCACAACATGGAACTGTCACATGTCATTGTCACAACATGGAACTGTCACATGTCACATCACCAGCATATTGTCACAACAGGGAACTGTCACATGTGTCACATCACCAGCATATTGCCACAACAAGGAACTGTCACATGTGTCACATCACCAGCATATTGTCACAACAATGGAACTGTCACATGTCACATCACCAGCATATTGTCACAACAGGGAACTGTCACATGTCACATCACCAGCATATTGCCACAACAGGGAACTGTCACATGTTTCACATCACCAGCATATTGTCACAACAGTGAACTGTCACATGTGTCACATCACAAGCATATTGTCACAACAGGGAACAGTCACACGTCACATCACCAGCATATTGTCACAACATGGAACAGTCACATGTCACATCACCAGGATATTGCCACAACAGGGAACTGTCACATATCACATCACTAGCATATTGCCACAACAGGGAACTGTCACATGTGTCACATCAAAAGCATATTGTCATAACAAGGAACTGTCACATGCCACCTCACCAGCATATTGCCACAACAGGGAACTGTCACATGTCACATCACCAGCATATTGTCACAACAGGGAACTGTCACATGTCACATCACAAGCATATTGTCACAACAGGGAACTGTCACATGTGTCACATCACCAGCATATTGTCACAATAGGGAACTGTCACATGTGTCTTACATCACCAGCATACTGTCACAACATGGAACAGTCACATGTCACATCACCAGCATATTGTCACAACAGGGAACTGTCACATTTGTCAGATCACCAGCATATTGTCACAACAGTGAACTGTCACATGTGTCACATCACAAGCATATTGTCACAACAGGGAACTGTCACATGTGTCACATCACAAGCATATTGTCACAACAGGGAACTGTCACATGTGTCACATCACCAGCATATTGTCACAACAGGGAACTGTCACATGTGTCACATCACCAGCATATTGTCACAACAGGGAACTGTCACATGTGTCACATCACAAGCATATTGTCACAACAGGGAACTGTCACATGTGTCACATCACCAAGCATATTGTCACAACAGGGAACAGTCACATGTCACATCACCAGCATATTGTCACAACAGGGAACTGTCACATTTGTCACATCACCAGCATATTGTCACAACAGGGAACTGTCACATTTGTCAGATCACCAGCATATTGTCACAACAGGGAACTGTCACATGTGTCACATCACAAGCATACTGTCACAACATGGAACAGTCACATGTCACACCACCAGCATATTGTCACAACAGGGAACTGTCACATTTGTCAGATCACCAGCATATTGTCACAACAGTGAACTGTCACATGTGTCACATCACAAGCATGTTGTCACAACAGGGAACTGTCACATGTGTCACATCACAAGCATGTTGTCACAACAGGGAACTGTCACATGTGTCAGATCACCAGCATATTGTCACAACAGGGAACTGTCACATGTGTCAGATCACCAGCATATTGTCACAACAGGGAACTGTCACATGTGTCACATCACAAGCATATTGTCACAACAGGGAACTGTCACATTTGTCAGATCACCAGCATATTGTCACAACAGGGAACTGTCACATGTGTCACATCACCTACAAATTGCCATACGTGTTTCACAGAATGAAACACAATGCGCATCTAAACAACAGCAAACTCACAAATGTTTCATATAAACAGCAAGCTGTCAAACATTTGACACAGAAGGGAACTGTTCAAGTGTCACATCATGGGAAATATTACACGTGTCACATTACCATGATAACTATTGTACACACATGTGCGGCAACATGGCAACTAACACATGTCACATCAAGGTTACATCACACATTACATCACAATAACTGACACGTGCCACATCATCATGGTTACAGGCAGCTATCACATAATATGAACAATGGAACAACCATCACACCACTCACATCACAAGAAGTATTACCTTGTGCAGCGACAGTCCCGGCACAATTACCCCACTCTTAGGATCCTCCCTGATCGGCAGACTCCCTCGGGGCAGCAGCAGGTCTTGGATCTGCTCATTGTACACCTGTAGGAAGACAGTATGTGCTGAGTTCACATCTACTGTAACATGGTAACATGCTGCAGCAACATCACCATCCGCAGGAATAAAAAGTATATACGTTGAAACAACCCCTGAAGGAATACAGCGCATGTGTTTGTTCAGTCACTGAAGGAAGGTAGTATATATAATATCCTTCCTTGACACCTTCAGGAACATAGTAGATTCTGGATCAAAACCGGATAGAATATAGTAGAGTGAGTGAGTGAGTATGGTTTTAAACCGCTTTTAGCAATATTCCAGCAATATCACGACGGGGAACACCACAAATGGGCTTCACATATGTACCGATGTGGGAATCGATCCCAGATCTTTGGTGTGACAAGCCAACCCTTTAACCACTAGGCTACCCCACCGCCCCTGAATATAGTAGATGTAAAACATACATGTAACATGGACAGAAGCAGGGCTTAGATCTTCGAAGCTCTCTTAGCGCTACAATAGTCATAAGTCACTAAGTGCCATACATTAACATTACTAACGAATATCTTAGCTCTAAGAGAGCTTTGAAAATCTAGGCCCGGGAAGATAGAATATGTTGCATCAACACCTATTAAAATGGCATATGTACATCAAGATCTACAGGAATACATTAAGCTCAATCTCAAGAAAAGGGCACAAGCTGTAAATACAAGGAAAAGCTGGTTAATAGTCTCTTGCTGGAAGGCACAGAACTTGTCCTCAAGCAGGTGCTCAAAATACATATCCTAAAGTCCAGTCAATATCCAGTTCCATACCTCAAGATAGGAGATGGCCACATCACATGTCTTCTCATCCTTGAGGTTGGCAATCCTCTCATACAAGTCAATCATTGTGTGGTACATGACCCCGGGATGGGTCTCACTCCCCAGCATGGTGTGTGTCTTACCAGCCCCTGTAGCCCCATAGGCAAACACTGAAACACACCAACATACATGACACCAGGGTGGTACATGACACCAGGGTGTGGTACATGACACCAGGGTGGTACATGACCCCGGGATGGGTCTCACTCCCCAGCATGGTGTGTGTCTTACCAGCCCCTGTTGCCCCATAGGCAAACACTGAAACACACCAACATACATGACACCAGGGTGGTACATGACACCAGGGTGTGGTACATGACCCCGGGATGGGTCTCACTCCCCAGGGTGTGTACTCAGCATGGCAAACACACTGAAACACACCAACATACATGACACCAGGGTGGTACATGACACCAGGGTGTGGTACATGACCCCGGGATGGGTCTCACTCCCCAGCATGGTGTGTGTCTTACCAGCCCCTGTAGCCCCATAGGCAAACACTGAAACACACCAACATCAGAGTCATCAGACCCACCACTCATAACAAACACAGAAACATACTGGAAACTTCTCCTCTCAAGAAGACTCATGGACCCCACAGTATGTAATATTGGCTCATCTATGTGCTGGACATATTTATGGGATATTCACAATCAGCAGGACGATTAGAATTTGAAAGTATAGCAATGCTGGCCAAGACATCTACCTGAACAGTTGTAACCCTCCAGGAGGCCGTCCAGGATCCCCTTTGTTGTGTGCTCGTACACCTCCGCATTGGTTGCACATGGTCCAAAGACAAAGTCAAAGGCAAATTTTAGATCTTTATTCCGGCGTTTCCGGATATCTCTTGGTTGCCTGCGGAATCCACGCACAGGTGAGTTGCTCTCCTTGGGATCAAAGGCCAACACATGTTCATTCATGTCCCGAACAACCACATCAAATGGTCCAGCCTTCTCTGCGACATTTTCTGGCCTAACTCTCACGACAACCTTGACATTGCTGGACTTTGTGCCACTACTATTAGCTCCTGCCATACTTGAGTTATTCCGAGGCCGACCCACTGTCATCTTTATTTGTGTCCTCTATGGCTGCAAACTGAAGATGACCTCGATGAAAAAATATGTCTCCTTTTCTTTAATAAGACTGTACAAGTCCTGATTGCAGATTCTAAGCCTCATTACCTTTCGGTATGGACTTACTAATGAAACAAATAATACGTCAAAAATGCAAATTCAACTTATAAAGTATTTATAAAATATATAACATTATTAAATGATGAAAAAACAGCGACGAAATCTGATACCTTTCGTATGGACTTCAAACGTTTCACTATAAAGTTTCCCCAGACTTTTCTGGGGAAAACGTTTACTTTTCAACAGCTGGGCTGCGCTCATAGCATGTGCGCAGTGAAATAGGTTCGCGCAGCTTGGAAGCGGGTTGTCCGGTGAATACTCGGTGAAGGCTTTGGTGTGAGCTATTTTTCTAATGTTTTGTTGATATCTCATAGGCGCGAGCTTTTTATATGTTATGACACTAAATTAACTGTTTATATAATTTCATTTGTCTATTTCACCACACGTTCTTCTTACCGAGTCACTTTCTCAGTTCGATACTTAAAAGCAATGTCATTATTTAGCGTTGACAGAATTTCTAACTGTGATATAGATATGTCGTTGTCACAGACAAAACTCAATGTCTTGTTTTATTGACACCTGTGTGTCTGCCTGCCTGTCTGCTAATGACAATATTCAATACACAACTGCTATCACTGACCACATGCAATTTGAACTCAACACCAATCAGGCTATACACCATAAACAAAATGCATTGATTTATGGCCCGAGTTCGGTCTCTGTCACATTATGTAATTACACAGACAGGCAGGTGTGATACTTGAACACATGACATGTTATGATGTCTGTTGATTGCAAAATGTTATACACAAAAAATGAGCATGTATTTACAAACCCCAACATCTCTATATATACACACACACAATGACCCGTGAGAGCATCTGCTAATGAACCAGCCGTTACACTTGAGTGCACACCCACCCGCTCTGACTGGGTTCGGTATCCCGGCTGCTTCGTTTCTTGGGAAGTAAACCGAAGTACACAATATTGCACTTTTGATTTGCGATTGTACGCTTATAATTTTGTTTATATGTTTTTTCATAACCAGAAATGTATATTATATGTCATGAATGAGTGATAATTGTGTTTTAATTATGTTTGATTTTTTGGTTGCATGTGACCTTTAACAAAACCTAACAACAATGGTACACTTACAGAATACCGGATACATACCAACCATATTGTTTAATGTCACGTCACCCTCACCCTCACCCTCACCCTCACCCTCACCCTCACCCTCACCCTCACCCTAACCCTAACCCTAACCCTAACCCTTACCCTTACCCTAAACCTTACCCTAAACCTTACCCTTAACCTTGCCCTAACCCTAACCCAAACCCTAAAACTTAGCCTAAACCTTGCCCTAACCCAAAAACCCTAAAACTTGGCCTAACCCTAACCCTAACCCTAAACCTTACCCTAAACCTTACCCTTAACCTAACCCAAACCCTAAAACTTAGCCTAAACCTTGCCCTAACCCAAACCCTAACCCTAAAACTTGGCCTAAACCTTGGCCTAAACCTTGCCCTAACCCTAACCCTAAACCTAAACCTTACCCTAACCCTAGGGTTAGGAAGGTATCCGGTATTCTGTAATCTTACCACAACAATTACTAGAGAACTAGATAACTAAAAGCCCCCAAATTAATTACAATATATAGGGTCGAACCACTTAGCGTTACCTCTGTTAATCTGCCAAAAGAAAGAATATGGGGGAACGGAAGGAACTCTTTCCAATATAAGGTAGCAAAGTGATAAATAGAGAAAAAACAATGGAAAAACAACGTAAGGTACATTTCATGATAAACATGATAAAACATTGTTCTCTCATATGATATCATAACCCACATGAATTTCACATATCACCTATTGTTTGAGAAGTTGATCATCGTGACACAGGAGAATTAGGTTAAGTAGCTGATGGACAGTTGTTAAATTACTACAATAACATTTATAATCCTCTCCTAATCCTCTCCGAAAAGTAAAGATGAAACGCGAAGTAGGCACTCGGTCGTGACAATAAACGTGATAAATATTTACACTGACAATTCGTAATTTATAGCAATCACGACTAACACACATGTATTGTGATCACAGTTTTGCAATGCATACTCATAAAGACGAATATCTTGAAACAACGTGTATTGTTTTTGGTATTTGCGGCAAATTACCAAGCTGCTCCTCGAGATTGATGCCTATGCTATGGTTACCAGCTGGGAACATATTAACGGTATAAGAACTATTGATAGTATTGATCACTCATGGCAGTTTGCAAACTATTTGGGTTTGCAACAGCTATGAGATGTTGTTTATGCTCTTTGCAATATACAGCATCCTCTTTGGAATATGTCAGCATACCGTACGTAACACCTGCAGAATGAGTCCATTTCATTCATTGATAGATCACTGAACCAAGATTTCGTCTTTTTCATGATTCTGAACGATCACTACTGTTTTCACAACAATCACATGATAACAACAAAATATGCCGGGTATGCCCTCTATACAGAGTTGATAAGCATACGTATAAAACATAACAATAACTTACATGATGTAGGGTAAATACGTCAACATTTCAGTTTGAAATACCCACTTTCAATAGAAGAAGCCATTTCATTGGTCGGGAAAAAATCAGCGCCATCTGCTGGGCGTTTTCGAAAAACCAAGAGTTGCGTCCCTTTGTTGGCCTCACTGTCTTTCAAATCTTTACCAAAAGTTTGTGAGTTAGGACTTTATTCCCGATAGTTAAATTTACCGCACTTACACTTTATATCAGCAAATATGTGAAAGTAATGTTACTTTGTTGTTGTTATGTTGTGTTTAGTATTGAAACTGAAAGATAGACTATATTAATATTGAAAGAAATAAAAGACTGTTTGTGTTAGCACCCTCTTATAGCCGGCAACGTGAAAAGTTTATACCCACAAAGGATTTTTATATCCTTCTAAATCTAAGTTTAATATCTTTATGTTAACCCACGATTGTACCCCACACTTAAGAATCTAGCAATGTATATCTATCTTGCAATGTCATTCCGTGCAATACTAAACTTGAATGTCATCTACAACTCTTATCTATGACATGTACACAAACGTATGTAGTTTTAGGCCAATGACCTACAGCAACGAAATAACGAATTTAATTTAATTCAATTTAATTCCATTGAACGTATATGTGATCTCTCCTTCTGGATTATTGAACCTCGTGTTCCACGGGAGAGACCATATATGCTAGGAAACGCTCAGGAGGAGACTAACAACTGGTCTCTGAAATGAACATATTTTACTGGAAAAAAAATTCAGAGTAAAAAAAAAAATATATAATGAAAAGGAGCCCTGAGACTTTCTTCAGCTGTGGAAATCTAGACTTGCCACATTTTGTAGACTTGCGTGGGCTTTCTTGGATATATTTGCTTCAGGGTCTGTACGAGAGACTAGCTCAGGAGCTAAACACGGTCACTCATCAACGTTGACCACTGATCGAGTAGGGGTTGGCTCCCAGGTGCCTTGAGCCGGGATTGCACTGACCACCAACACACAATACTTTCTTCACGAAGAAAGCTGCATTTATCATCCAAAACTGTGTTCCACAGTAGATATCGCTTGTGTGAGATCAGACGATATCTCCTAGGAGATATCGTTTTGACAGTAGATTTTGTACAATGCCCTGACAATGCTATGACGTCATGAACTTGTTGACGTCACAATGTTATGACATCGCTGCACTGCAAATCTAATGGCAGTACTGTGTTCAGAGATGTACATTTTTCATTGAAAACTAATGAAGAGTGATTTTTTATGATAAATAGAATCTCACCCCCTTGTCTTCTGATATCAAATATATCAACACTCGTTGATAAAAGTAAACATATCCTCGGCAAGCCTCGGATATTTGTTACTTTATCAACTCGTGGTGATATATTTGATATCAAAAGACACTCGGGTGAGATTCTCTATGTATAACAATACTTATAATAATGATTATAGTCCATATATAATGCAGACATTATTGCCCCGGTCAATGAGTGAGAGTCCACTACACCTCTAGTCGCTAGAAGGTAGACAGTCGACCAATTCATCGCACTGACCACCAACACACAATACTTTCTTCACGAAGAAAGCTGAATGTATAACAATACTTATAAAAATGATTATAGTCCATATATAATGCAGACATTATTACCCCGGTCAGTGAGTGAGAGTCCACTACACCTCTAGCTACCCGTGAGAGGCAGCGTCGCTAGAAGGTAGACAGTCGACCAATTCATCGCACTGGGTACCCATTCACTGCTCGGTGAACAGAGTCTATTTTGAACAAAGTCACTTATCGATGGTGAAACAATGTACACGTGTGCTTCGTTGTGGGGCAGAACTGAAGTCCAAGAAACTCTCAAGCTGCCAAACACGGTCACCCACCCAAGGACTGTCCGTGACCAACGTTGGTCAACTTCGCTGACCACACACCACCACACAATACTTATAAAGCAACAGAACTAGCCTTTCCAACAGTCATGAAAATAAAATAACCCAAAGCGCACTTTCGAACGAATATCTAATTTGAATGCGTAATTTAGGAATGACTAAGAGGGAGTCAAATATGTAAAAGTTTGTGATTGTGATATGAAACTTTAAAGAAAGCAAATCGTATGTGGACACTCCCGTTTATGTCCACAAACCTGGGTTTCACCGTTATGCGGAATCAGTCTACATCATAAAATGGCCATACACCTGCGTTGAGTGAGACTATAAGCTTTTTAGCAATGTTCCAGCAACAGGACACCAGAAATGGTCTACACACATTGTACCCTTGTGGGGATTCAAACCCGGGACTTCGGCGTGACGACTGAACGCTTTACTCTCTTGTTTCGGCTGTCCCACCTGTATCTCTTGTGTCCATGGTTTTATGAAAATGGGTCACATAGGTGTGTCTCCATAAAGGACCTTTTGAATTACAGTTCACTTAATAAAACTTACCTTTATAAATTTACACAGAAAGATTGTCAATCTGTACAACAATTTGTAAATTTGATGTCCTCAACAAATAATAATGTTATTTATAATGTATGTCATTATCTGGAGAAAGTCCAAAGATTAAGGAAAAATAAATATACTACTTTATTACTTCGCACATTGGTCAAACATTCTGTAAAGACTGTACTTTGGGCCTTCGGCTTTTTACTGAAATAAATCTGTCTGTCTGTCTGTCTGTCTGTCTGTCTGTCTGTCTGTCTGTCTCTCTCTCTCTCTCTCTCTCTCTCTGTCTCTCTCTCTCTCTCTCTCTTGCTGAAAGAAACTAATCTCTCTCTCTCTCTCTCTCTCTCTCTACTATGTCTCAAAACGTTGACTATTGATACTGAAAGAACGGGTATACTGAATACAAAAAGACAACCCTACCAATGTCAGTGTCAAGGTAAGTAGGCCACAGTTGAGTATTTCCACCATGCAGTCTTCGGAGCTAGATTCCCAGACAAGATAAACATGTTTCTCAGTTATATGTCTCACATATCTTGACATGTAAGTATTTCATCAGTGTTTCTGTTATACGGGTTCATGTTTTTAACAGCCTAGAGTTATACCGAACTGTAGGCGTTAGGGGGAAATAAGAACATACCTCTTAGAGAGTATGTCACATACTTCACACGTCATTGTTAGACAGTATCATGCCATATTTATATCTCGAGAAAGAGAATTGCAGTAATAAACATCCGGATAAAGATAACTGTTTCACCATGTTTCAGCAAGACATGTGTTGCCATGATTGTGGTGTGACCAACTCGCTGTGGTGTGACCAACTGATTGTGCGACTCAATGTTTTGTTTGGCTTATCATCAATATTAGTATTGCGTTACAAGTGTTTCCACAGGTGAAACATGGAGCTTGTGCATTCCAACATGCATGCACGCGGATGAGTGGAATAAAACGTCAAAGGAAGCCTTTTAACAGGTATGTGTAGGCTGAATATATATATAATTATATATATATAATTTAATACATATCCACAGTTATAATAGCAACGATGTTTCAGTGGTGTCGTCCCGGGAAGGCTAAAATTTATTTTTCAGATGTCCCGGGAAGGCTAAAATGTATATTTGCACTCTGTCTAATTCGGACCAGCTTCCCGGAGAGCTAATTAGGGAGTACTGCCAAAGCTAAAGATTCGGTGCCCTTCGAAGAACATAAATCATGAAATGTTACATGATTATGATTCATATATTAAATCTATCACATTTCACAATGTCTGAAAACACTTATTAAATTTCAATTTATCATACATGTATCGGAGAGCTAATTAGGGAGTACTGCCAAAGCTAAGATTCGGTGCCGGGAAGCATAAAATCCATGTCGGGAGTAGATTCTTCGCTTGCTTAGAACTTTATTTAAGTGGCGTTTGTATTTCAGATGCAATTAATTATTTATAACATTAGAATAATAGTCACTAGGCATAATCCATGAGTAGATAGATGTCTTTTCCAAACATTGTTATAATTTTCTTCGCTTGTTTAGAACTTTATTTAAGTGGCGTTTGTATTTCAGGAGTATTTAACTAGAAGAAAACATTAGAGCACAATAATTATTGGGAAGCTTAATCCATGTCGGGAGTAGATAAATTTCCTTTCAAAACATTGCTAGAATGTTACATTTATATTAAAGTTGCAAACTGACACCGAACCATCATTCACATATTCGTAATGGCAGATGCGCAGGTGAGAGTTAACTTCATCGAGTCAGTTCGTGGAGGAAGGTCACTTTATTTTGAAAGAAACAAGTTTCGCCTGAACCGACAGAAGGGAGATACAGGTTACTGGAAGTGTACAGAGGCTGGGTGTTCAGCACGTCTCGTGACAAGTGGAGACAGACCACAGTCATCCGGATCCGAACTTCATCTTCGAAGTGGATGCTCTCAAGGCCAAGTTAATACATCGCGCCAAGACCGAGGTGATGCCCATCACTCAGATCTACGACGACGAGATTGCCGGCCTGAGGCCCAGGGACACCTGTTTCCTCTAGTATTCTGCTTGCTGCCGAACAGGACGGAGGGACCCTACATCAGGACCCTGGAGTATCTACAAGAGCTGGCACACACTGATGGTCTTTACCTGGCGCCCACCACAGTTCAACTGGACTTTGAGAGAGCTGCCCACAATGCCATCCGGAACGTGTTCCCGAACTCCAACACCAGAGGCTGTTTCTTCCACTACACACAGTGAACAACATCATCGGGACATTACAGACCACGTGTCTGAGCTACTGAAATTGTCGGGTTGCTGAAGGGGTCGTTGTCGGCACAGGTACAACAGATATGTACCCTGCAGGTATACAAACTGACAACATCCAGGAAAAGCAAGAAGGCAATATTTGTCAATGGAAATTGATTCAGTGCATGCAACCAGTTCGTTAAACTTGACATTAAGTTCTGACAAACCATGTTTATTCAATTCTCTCAAAACCTCTGACCAGCAACAGTGTACCTGTTTGAGAAATATAGCTGTTTTTCTTTCTTTCTTTCTTGGAGGCCAGGGGCGGATACAGCTTTTTGAGAAAGGGAGGGTGCACATCAACCATTTTCATGGGTCATTTAATAAACTTTCAGGACAAAAGGGGGGTGCGCACCCCTGCATTTATCTTTTAAAATGTACATTTGTTCATATTGTTTGTTGGGTTTTATAATAATTGTATATAATTTTGTTTAACATTTTGCTATTTTTTAGAAGGGATGTCGCCCATGTATTCCTCATAGACTATATCAAGAGCTATAAATATACACTTGATATCTTCAGTGTCTACATTTTTACAGCCTGAAATATAATATAATTTCAAATGTCTATAATAATTTGATTTTAACACAAAATGCTACACTGAATGCATGAAACAAACTCACGGTTAGCAAACCAACTCGTTCACTTCCTGTGCGTAACAATGTCCAGGCGTACACGTTCCTACGGTGTGTTTCGGTTGTCAATAATGGAATCTATGACCACACTTGCTACATGATACTGCGTAGAACGGTGCTTATGCTGTTAATCACCGACTTGTGTGGTTGTTTCTTTATGTTTACACGTATAAATATACATTTTGAGAAGGTTATACAAATGGTTTAACAGAAGGCTTTGATTGGGGTCTCCAAGTAAAATAATTGATTTTGATATTTTTAATTTCGTCTTGGTTGTTTCTTCAAACCATATTCGGAACTGTGTTATCAGATTTTGAGTTTTCCTCCAATCATAGACAAGATGTTCAGGTGTTTCTGGTTCCTCAGTCCAGAAAAAGCAGTGACTGCTGTCAGATATCTCTATATTAGGAAGGAAGGTTTGTGTTGTTAAAATGCGATGAAGAATTTTGTACTGAAAATTTCTTGTCTTATCATCAACGCAACAGTTGTTGATAATAAAAAAACATTTTGACATAAAATCTGTTGAGATTTGCATGTCTAGTTTGGATTCCCATATATTTGTAATGTTGTCTAATGTGGCTCTAACCTTATCACATAATGTTTGGTAGATGAACTTACTGTCTTTTGACGATATTAATCGTTTCAACATGTCACTTTTGCTTTCTTTATCAATTATATATGTAAGGTCATTTTTCAACTTGTTTGTAAATTCCTTTGGAAGAGCTTTTAGTAATTTAAAATAACGCAAATATGTTCCAGTAAGGTTATATTTTTCTTTGAGCGTGTTGAAATCAATTAGGACTCCTGCATCTGTGTAAAGGTCATTTATGTTTTCCTGGCCACTGTCATGCCATTTAAGGAAATCTTTAAAATCATGTAGTTTTATAAAAGTTAAAATGGGAAGTTTCACGAATTCATTGATGGTTGTTACTTTTTCATTTGCTATATGGCTGTAGCTGAAAATGACATTTTGCCAAAATATATTTTTCAATACTTTACTTATACATTGTAATTGTTTTTCTGGAAGTTGAAGATTGCTGTGTTTCCATATGGGCGAAGAATTTCATTCACTAAAGATTGCCATGGGCCGTCCTATGATAAGAATCGTTTGATCCAAATTATTTTCATATATTTATCAAACATTTCCACGTTCACCATTTTCAGTCCACCGTTTTCGTATTCGTTTATAACCATTATTCTCTTTATTTTATCCCTTTTACCAGACCATACAAATTGATAGAACAGAGAGTTTAGTCTTTTGAAGGATTCTTTGTCTGGACTTGGAAGAGAACTGAAGAGATGTGTGAATAGTGGTAATATTTGTGATTTAAGAATAGTGATTTTGCCTCTAAGAGTGAGACATCTCTTTGCCCGCGAGAAAATAGCTTTTCTTGCTTTTTCAAATTGTATAGTAAAGTTCATCATCGCAGTTAGATTTGTATCAAAAATAATACCTAAGATCTTGAAAGGTTCTTTCGACCACTGCATAGGGATATGTGGGCAGAGTTGTTCATTGCTATGTTTTTTATCCTATCCATATTGCTCTAGTTTTATCACAATTTATTTTAATCCTGAGCATACAGCAAAGTTTTTCAGTATAGATACTAGTTCAGCAAGACTAGTTTCTGTTCCATCCAGAGTAAAATTTGCATCGTCCGCATACTGGAATATTGTATACGTTACACCATTTATGTCAATACCTTTTATGTTTTTATTTTTTTTAATTGCATTTGAAAGTAATTCAGCGCACACGAGAAACAAATATGGCGACAACGGATCCCCTTGTCTGCAGCCTCTACCAAGATTGAAATAATCTGATATGTGGCCAGCATTAATAGTAGCACTGCAGATATTTGATTGGAATAGTTTGACCCATTTTCGAAAAGAGGGCCCGAAGTTAAAGGATTCTAATGCTTTATTCTATAAAATTCCATTCAATAGTATCAAATGCTTTTTCAAAATCGACAAGAACCAGAAGGCCGGGTATTTTATTTAATTCACAATAGTTTAGCAGATCGTATAGGATTCTCGTGTTTTCTCCAATGAATCTACCTTTCAAAAAGCCTGTTTGGGTATTACTTATTATGTCTGGTAGTACTTTTTCATTCTATATGCAATAGCGCTTGAGGCAATCTTGTAATCTACATTCAATAGACTTATTGGGCGCCAATGTTTTAAATAATGTCGATCACGTCCTTCTTTAGGAAAGCATGTTATTATACCCTGCCGTTGAAATTTCGATAGACTACTATTTTCAAAAGCATATTTAATTGATTTCCATAAAAGGATACCTATATCCTTCCAAAAGAATTTATAGAACTCTGCAGTGAAACCATCGGAGCCAGGGTTTTTCCCATTTTTCATATGTTTTAAGGCTTGAAGGCATTCATTAAGAGAAATATCGCCTTCACAAGTTTCTTGCTTTTCAAAAGTCAAGCTAACGCCCGATTCTGCAAAGATGTCAAGGTCTTTTTTCCTATTGACATCCTGTTTTCTTGAATACAGACTTTGACAGAAGTGTGCCGTTTCATGCACTATTTCATTTCTACTGGTCAATGTTTTATTATTTTCATCGATTAATTCACACATATTTTTGATTATAAAGTGTCTTTTTTCTAGGTTAAGAAAATACTCAGCGTTTTCTCTCCTTTATCGTACCATTTTGCTTTGCTTCTGAAAACAATACCCTTTATTTTCTCCGTTCTAATTCAGTTTTGTGCTCAGTAAGGATACTTAATTCATGTTCATTTAGATTTCGATAATTTGACTCATAGTTGTATATATTTTTTTTCCAAATTTTTTCCCCGCTTTTTTCGTTCTTTTGCAGTTTTAATTGAATAAGAAATAGTTTCACTTCTAATTCTCATTTTTAAGAGCTCAAAAAGGTTTTGATCATTTATAGAAATTTGTCTGGACATTGTATCTTTACTCTCTTTGAAATGCAAAATTCGTTTATTATGTCGCTGATAGTATCATTAACTATTTTATATAATTCGTGTCATATAGAAGGGAGTTATTGAATTTCCAATATACAGGACCTCTCTCAATAGGCTGAAGAGAGAGTTCTCATGATATACATGAATGATCTGATTTGTAACTAATACCTACTGATGAAGATTTGGTCAAGGAGACCGGTCAAGGACATAGCATGTATATTGCATTTTATCAGGGTGGAGTATCCTCCAGCGATCGACTAAATCTAAATTTTCTTTCATTTCCTGTATTGCGTTATTGGATATAGGGTTATTTCTTTGTTTATAGTATTGGTATCCTTAGCAGTCTTGAACCACGTTCCAGTCACCGGGCATACATATAATACCGGGTAGCTGTATTATAATCTCGACTAAAGATTTAAAAATGCCGGGAGTGTCGGTATTCGGACCGTAGATATTGTAATTGAAAATCGAATGTTTTCAACTGTCATATCAAGTATTATATATCGAATGTTTTCAACTGCCATATCAAGTATTATATATCGACCGTTTTCAACTGCCATATCAAGTATTATTTATCGACCGTTTTCAACTGCCATATCAAGTATTATATATCGAATGTTTTCAACTGCCATATCAAGTATTATATATCGACCGTTTTCAACTGTCATATCAAGTATTATATATCGAATGTTTTCAACTGCCATATCAAGTATTATATATCGAATGTTTTCAACTGCCATATCAAGTATTATATATCGGATGTTTTCAACTGTAATATCAAGTATTATATATCGGATGTTTTCAACTGTAATATCAAGTATTATATATAGACCGTTTTCATCACTTATGATATCATGGATATCATACTCAAAATTATTTTTTATAAGTATCGCAAACCCCGAGCTATTAGTTGTTCCATGCGCGAAATAGCAACGATAGCCCCATGCAGGTGGTTTCGTCTTTACATTCCTTTCCTTTTATATAGTACTAGGGCAGGGTCTATATACCTATATGTCTTTCCAATGCTGTTTTTAAGCGAGACACCCTCCTGTGTTTGTCACCAAACGCCAACGGTTCTCACAATAACTCAAGTGTCGGGTCCTCATTTATAGGCGGCTAATTCCAATATCCTGTTATGAATATGTTAACTCAATGGTCCAGGCTCTTCCTTGACTTGAGGTTACAGGAGCGATTTGTGAAATTAACTGAGGTGGACATCTTCAGAGGTTTCAAAAACATCGATATTGGACTATTGGATCATAGCTGGTTCTTGAGTTTGTTGTGAGTTTGTTGAGTGAGTGAGTGAGTGAGTTTGTTGAGTGAGTGAGTGAGTGAGTGAGTGAGTGAGTGAGTGAGTGAACGAACCTACCTGGTCTAACACTACTATAAACAATGTTTCAGCTACACAGAAAACTGTCTCAGCTGTTTCCCAGAGTCTACTGTTATGCAGTTCTTGTATTTGATGAATGTCGCAGATACAACCAAGGAACATAGATGTCTGAAAGAAACGAACAAATCTCTGGACAAAGAATTGCATCGTTTCATAAAGCAGTCCAAACCAGTACTAAAACGACCGACCAGCAGATCCTGCCCATCTAATGTCTTCATCTCAGGACACTGTGAGGCCTGTCCTTTCCTCAAAATCTGTGTTTTGTTATGCTTTCACCACTCTTCCACTCAACCTTTCACACATTTCTCACAGGCAATAAATCAGTAACAATAGACATGATGATATTTAGAATCAATTTTATTCTAGCAAGTTCTTCATCTTTTGAAACAAGCTCCTTTGAAAACGTCTTCTGTACAATAATGTTTACAAGTAATTGGAATATAATCAATATTTTTCTATAAAAATACAATACACCTCAGCAAAAACAGTAATAAAATGCTATTCTATAGAATGGTAAAACGTGTCTTGTATATGTTAAACAGTTACAATCAGCAAGTGTGTTAGACAGCCCTAGATGTAGTGTACACACTAACCAGATATCTGTACAGTACAGATGATCATATCACAGACGTGTTAGTATGGGTAGATGATCTACAAGTGGATGATTTGTATATTCTATCAATGTTAATTCATAAATATATAAACCTATAGGTGTAAAGTAAACAAAATCATATCACAGATAAATACAATCTTTAACACGGACGGAACTGGACAGACCATTAAAACAATTTCTGTCACACAGATCTCGGGTAAACATGAAGAATGGTAGGACATGTACAACACTGACAATATAAATACAAAATAATCATGAAATATGTTATATCATGTACCAGCTAGAATGTTTCCTGTTGGTACTTAAACATGGTGGTAAAATGGACCCTGTGATATTGAAATAGAGTGGGTGAAGTTGATATGCACTGTGTACAGGCCAAGTGAAGCACAGCCACCATAAAGCAAGTACACTGTTTATATGGTATCTGCCCAGTCTGCTTGTAACACCACATTCTGCCACAGAGCATCTCTACTTACTGTTCATATACTGGCACAACAAACCACAGTCTTGTTCCAGTCTGCTACAAGACAGATGGCAACAATCACCAACAACCAGTATCAAGGCAGCAGTGCTGTTACCACACTCAATAAAAATACTTTCTCACATAAGATTCTGCAAAATCCAAGTAAATACATAAAACCTCTATAGAGATCACTAAGCAGCTGACCAATGAAATACCAGGCACATGTTACATGTAACTGTCTCCCACCCATGGGTATATAACATCAGTTATAACATAACTACATAGGTGATATTATATCATATATTCAAATCTGGGTACAATTGACTAGAAAGCGCTGGCTATATAACTTGACAACAGTCTACCAGCCACTCCACTAGCATGAGACAGATGAACTACAGGTCAAGGCCATGGGCAGGAAACTCCAAGCGAGGAAATAATTCTTTAGAAGCTGGTCACTGGGTATGGGTGTACATACCATACTGAGAGAATAACTAAGAGGAGTATGGGACAACTTATCTCCAAGGTTAGCTTCCAAGCTGTGGCATCAGTGCTTAGGATATTACTGGAACAAAACAGGGGGTCATTCACCTGGATATTACCATCAGGTTTCTTGTGGCAAGAAATGCTCACTTGAGCTGAGACTACAGTATATGACAACTGCAGCTTGTGTGGCCCCAACACACCACTATCTGATATCTGATGTCTATCCTGAAACTTATCTACAGCACTGTCATCAGCCTTGTATTAAATAACTACTATCTACAGATCAAACTTGGGCATATAATGAAGAAAGTTGCATATTTTAACAATTGCAGGTGAAAACAAATCCACACAGATCTCTACAACCTAAGTATCTCTTTATCTTTTAAGCTATGCCTCCTAGTAGAATTCTAGAATATACACATCAATCTGGCATAGACTGTAGCACCTCTGGCTGTTCCATGGAATTAATGAGCTACGAAGCAGCCTTCACAAACACCTGTGCTGTTGTTGCTGTTGCTGCTGCAGAGGTGTGCCTGCTCCGTCCCTGGTTCCACGTTCTGCCCTACTAGGGAGCTTCTAAGGGCAATGCCAACTCTGGAGGACCAAACGGATCCACCTGAAGATAAACCACACAGAGCTGTGAGGAAGCAATTGACATAAAAGTGATCCAAATGACTCACTATATACAGATCTTTTCAGGGTTTTCACAGTGATGCTTCAATATTGCCAGGCCATCTGGACCAAAAGGCACACATATCATGAGGTTGAATTCAGCATTGGTCAGAGTCACACTAGGTAATACATGCCAACAAACAACAGAAGCTCCCAAGTAAATCAAAATATCTTCAAAATCAACTTTACATTGTTAATGTATTTCAATGAAAACATGAGACTGACAATAATATGGCAGCTTACATCAACTTTAGGATTCCCCTTAGCGTCAACTCTGACATCTGTGGCAGATGGACCATACGCTCCGTGTGCTCGCCCCCAACTGGCCTTCACCTCAACATCCAACATCTGGACTCTCGGCTTCTTGAAGGCCTTCCCTGTGGAGGCGCACAGCAACTGGTCCCGCTCGATGTCCTCGTACGTCTCAATCTAAACACAGAGCATGTGTGACATCTGTCAATATATCCTTTAAACATAGAACATGTGTCACATCTGTCAATATATCCTTTAAACATAGAACATGTGCCACATCTGTCAATATATGCTTTAAACATAGAACATGTGCCACATCTGTCAATATATCCTTTAAACATAGAACATGTGTGACATCTGTCAATATATCCTTTAAACACAGAACATGTGCCACATCTGTCAATATATCCTTTAAACATAGAACATGTGTGACATCTGTCAATATATCCTTTAAACACAGAACATGTGCCACATCTGTCAATATATCCTTTAAACATAGAACGTTGGTGACATCTGTCAATATATGCTTTAAACATAGAACATGTGTGACATCTGTCAATATATCCTTTAAACATAGAACATGTGTGACATCTGTCAATATATCCTTTAAACATAGAACATGTTCGACATCTGTCAATATATGCTTTAAACATAGAACATATGTGACATCTGTCAATATACCATTTAAACATAGAACATATGCCACATCTGTCAATATATCCTTTAAACATAGAACATGTGTGACATCTGTCAATATATCCTTTAAACATAGAACATGTGTGACATCTGTCAATATATCCTTTAAACATAGAACATGTGTGACATCTGTCAATATATGCTTTAAACATAGAACATGTGTGACATCTGTCAATATATCCTTTAAACATAGAACATGTGTGACATCTGTCAATATATCCTTTAAACATAGAACATGTGTGACATCTGTCAATATATCCTTTAAACATAGAACATGTGTGACATCTGTCAATATATCCTTTAAACATAGAACATGTGTGACATCTGTCAATATATCCTTTAAACATAGAACATGTGTCACATCTGTCAATATATCCTTTAAACATAGAACATGTGTGACATCTGTCAATATATGCTTTAAACATAGAACATGTTTCACATCTGTCAATATATCCTTTAAACACAGAACATGTGTGACATCTGTCAATATATCCTTTAAACATAGAACATGTGTGACATATGTCAATATATCCTTTAAACACAGAACATGTGTGACATATGTCAATATATGCTTTAAACATAGAACATGTTTCACATCTGTCAATATACCATTTAAACATAGAACATGTTTCACATCTGTCAATATATCCTTTAAACATAGAACATATGTCAAATCTGTCAATATATCCTTTAAACATAGAACCTCTGTCAATCACCATTTAAACATAGAACATGTGTGTAATATGGAGCAAATATCTGCTTAGTGGTAAATGTGTTAACTCATCACACCAAAGACCTGGGTTCAATTTCTCAAGTTGGCTCAAAGTATGAAGCCCATTTCTGATGTCCCCTGTCGTGATACTGCTGGAATATTGCTAAGAGCTGCTTGAAGCTAAACTCACTCACTCACTACATATACAGGAGGTGTATATGGAATATTGCTAAGAGCTGCGTGAAGCTAAACTCACTCACTCACTCACTACATATACAGGAGGTGTATATGGAATATTGCTAAGAGCTGCGTGAAGCTAAACTCACTCACTCACTACATATACAGGAGGTGTATATGGAATATTGCTAAGAGCTGCGTGAAGCTAAACTCACTCACTCACTACATATACAGGAGGTGTATATGGAATATTGCTAAGAGCTGCGTGAAGCTAAACTCACTCACTCACTCACTACATATACAGGAGGTGTATATGGAATATTGCTAAGAGCCGCGTGAAGCTAAACTCACTCACTCACTACATATACAGGAGGTGTATATGGAATATTGCTAAGAGCTGCGTGAAGCTAAACTCACTCACTCACTACATATACAGGAGGTGTATATGGAATATTGCTAAGAGCTGTGTGAAGCTAAACTCACTCACTCACTACATATACAGGAGGTGTATATGGAAAATATATCTACAGACGAGAGGGAGTGTTAATCTACTGACCATCTTTCCATCGGAAGTGAAGAACATCTGGGCCTTCTTCCATAGTGTCAGTTTGCTGGTGGCCGCCTCCAGGAGTTGGTCCAGTGTCTCCCCCCAGATGTACACCGCCCGCTCCAGACTCTCGCCGTTTGGGAATACTTGAACTCGTTTCTACACAGAGTACAGAATCTTTACACAACTGGTTTACATCTAATGACCTTCCTGATGAAACATACTAGTATTTGCTGCCTTGACCATTTGTTAGTTTATAATAATTACCTTATTACAAATTCTACTTAAAGTTATTATCAAGTCTATACGGAAAGGGAAGTAATTGTAACTGTAAGAGATCACTTGGACATTCACATTTTAGTTTCATTTTCACCCTGCCCCAAGATTTAGTGAAGAAAGTTTGTAAAACATGATATCTGTCAACGGCCTGGATCATGTCTCCGCCATTGCTGCTGGTCTCACCATGTTGGGCTGGAGGTACAATCTCCCCTTCAGGTTGACGTTGGCCAGTCCCAGTCTCTGGTTGGCCTTGATCTCTCCCAGGTGGGTCTGCAGGTAACACAGTGTCACACTTATTACACAGTGTCACACTTATTACACAGTGTCACACTTATTACACAGTGTCACTTATTACACAGCATCACACTTATTACACAGTGTCACACTTATTACACAGCATCACACTTATTACACAGCATCACACTTATTACACAGTGTCACACTTATTACACAGTGTCACACTTATTACACAGTGTCACATTTATTACACAGTGTCACACTTATTACACAGCATCACACTTATTACACAGTGTCACACTTATTACACAGTGTCACACTTCTATTACACAGCATCACAGTGTCTTATTACACAGCGTCACAATTACACAGTGTCACACTTATTACACAGTGTCACACTTATTACACAGTCACACATTATTACACAGATGCTTGATTACGCATTACACAGTGTCACATTACACAGTAAAAACTGAACAGTACACAGTTAACTCTGGACGTATTGCTGTCATTCAGCATCATAGCATTGTGACATCATAAGCATTGTGACACAGTGTCACACTTATTACACAGTGTCACAGCTCACTTATTACACAGCTGTCACACTTATTACACAGTGTTACACAGCTTCACTTATTACACAGTGTCACATCTTTATTACATATTACACACTTGTTACAGGCAGGTTAACAGTTACTGTTCAGTTTTTACCTGATGATGGGGCCAGAACAACACAGCCCTGAAACGTTGTACTCAAGAATAAAAAGAAGATGTAACCCAGAAAAAATCTCTATGTTCATTAGCCATCACATAGCTTCACAAAACAACTGTACACAACCATATCTTGTAACACAAACATGCAAAAGTGTTTAGATTATTCTTAATCAAAAAGTTTCGTTTTGTTAAACATTCCAGCTACTATACACTTAAGAGATAATTCCAGCTGGACATTAGTTATATTTAGTTAAATAACAAATGACAAGATGACCTGAATTTCTAAAAGTAACCTGGTGATAACAGTGAGATTGCTGAAGATATTATTATTATCATTAGATAATAGTCAGTGGAAGTATACCTACCTCCAGTTTGTGGACCGTGTCATGCTTAACCTGCTCCTGGGGGGTCAACTCTTGCCATTGTCCCTGGATGACAACAGGCTGGGAGGTGCTGAGCGTGGACTTGTACTCCCCAGGGTTCAACTCCTCCATACGACGACCTGCAGACAGACACCAGTCAACAGTCATCATCAATCAACATTCACCACCAGTCAACATTCACCATCAGTCAACATTCACCATCAGTCAACATTCACCATCAGTCAACATTCACCATCAGTCAACATTCACTATCAGTCAACATTCACCATCAGTCAACATTCACTATCAATCAACATTCACCATCAGTCAACATTCACCACCAGTCAACATTCACCATCAGTCAACATTCACCCATCAGTCAACATTCACCATCAGTCAACATTCACTATCAATCAACATTCACCACCAGTCAACATTCACTATCAGTCAACATTCACCATCAGTCAACATTCACCCATCAGTCAACATTCACTATCAATCAACATTCACCATCAGTCAACATTCACCACCAGTCAACATTCACCCATCAGTCAACATTCACCACCAGTCAACATTCACCATCAGTCAACAACATTCACCACCACCAGTCAACATTCACCCATCAGTCAACATTCACCATCAGTCAACATTCACCAGTCAACATTCAACATTCACCATTCATCAGTCAACATTCACCACCAGTCAACATTCACCCATCAGTCAACATTCACCACCAGTCAACATTCACCATCAGTCAACATTCACCATCAGTCAACATTCACAATCAGTCAATATTCACCACCAGTCAACATTCACCATCAATCAACATTCACCTATCAGTCAACATTCGCCACCAGTCAACATTCACCACCAATCAACATTCACCACCAGTCAACATTCACCACCAGTCAACATTCACCCACCAGTCAACATTCACCCACGCTTGTGAACATGGCAGAGTTGCAAGGAATAACTGCCGGGTGAGAGTATGTTACTGGGAGTTTCACTGTCATGTGATGACAAAGAGGATTGTAGTCCTGTGAGACAACATGCTCTGATAGACGGTATATTATGGTACAGTTTAGATTGGCACATCCTTTCATAGTCCAGACGTTTATACACCCACCTTTCATCTGACGCAGCACATGTTTCTCTATGTCCAGATCGAGAGACACTTGTCCACGGAAGGCTCGCTTCTTCCTACGATTGATATCCTTAGACTCAACCACTTCTGGAGGAACGAAGTTCTTGCCACCGGAGACCCACAGCTCGATGGGGTATCTGAGAATGGTCTCAAGCTGGCAGTGGCACCCAACCAACCCACTGAGCAGCTCCTCCCTCTTCCTCGGCTCCAACTTCCTTTTTCCCTCCTCTCCTGGGAGTCCAGTTCTGTGACACAACAGGGGAATGACTACATCATGGCAGAAAGTCTCAATGCTCTAAAATATCGTCAGATGCATCTTGTCATACCAACCAACCCTTGACCTTGGCCACTTAAACACCTATCTCAATTATTCCCTTGGCCTAGCTTCTGACTAACATTTCCACAGTCTCCTTGCCTCAACACCCCACAAAACCCCACCTGTAATCCCCTCCCTGACATCCCTCCCAGCCCACTCCACAGCTACACCCCCACTACCCCCTCCCTGACATCCCTCCCAGCCCACTCCACAGCTATGACCTCACTATCCCCTCCTGAACCTACCTGTCTTCTCCTCCCGAACACTGTGTTCCTCAGCAACGTCTCCTGCCCCTCTCTCCTCCACATCTCCACCACCACGCTCGTCCTCATCAAACTGCTCCATGTTGTGCATGGCCCGAGTGAGCTGGGAGTGGACCTCCTGGGAGGCCTGGTCCTGGAGTGCCATCCTGTTGTCTCCACCCTCATGGATCAGGTTCACTGCTACAACCCATATGACATGTTGTGATTCACCAACTAGACTATATATCTGAAGGACCATTTGTATTACAGAGCACATAACTTAACATATCACATCTGATACTGGTAGCATGATATATCTTAGTATCAGTTTCATTTGGTTCCTTCATATAACCAAGATATATCTTAGTATCAGTTTCATTTGGTTCCTTGATATAACCAAGATAAACTGAAAGCTTTATTGTCTTTCAAATGTGAAAATGTAAATGTTCTACTGATTGGGAAGACGTAAAGTAAGAGTTCTGACATGTAAAGTAAGTGTTCTGACACGTAAAGTAAGAGTTCAGTACATGATACTCACACTGCTCACTGTCGCTGTTCTCCATCATGACAATCTTCTCAATACGGTCGGCCATGACAGCCTTGTAGTTCTCCACGGCCCAGTCAACCAGGTCGTCCATGTCAAGGATGAGCACTCCATCCTCTGTGTAGAGCCGTGTTGCTGGCTTGCTCAGCCCAAGCTGGTGGGTGCACTGGTTCAGTACCTGGGGACACAGGCATCACGGGAGTAAAACATCCACTTCAATCTGTGGAGCGACCTACAACCATTACACCATACTGTGTGTGACCTCTGAACCTACGTTGTGAGATCTCCCTCCACTGCCTGACCTTGACCTTACCTGTATGCTGTCTGACCTCAGACCCTAACTACCCCTGCAAGCTGTGACCCCTGACCTGACCTGACCCTGGACGCTGTGTGATCTATGACCCAACCTATCCCCCAAGCTGTGACCCTTGACCTGACTCAACCTACCCCCTGTATGCTGGATCCGTAGACCTTCTCGCCTGCCCTCATCCTGCCTTCTCCATTCTTGTACACGAGCAGCTTGACTGTCCAAATAATGTAATTTTGGAGTAAAATTGATATTTTATACTTATCCTGACTCATGCCTCTTTTGCTTGTCTTCTTCTTCTTGCTAACATAGTGGAACACTTGTATCTCCCCTAATTGAAGCTCCCTTCAATTTAAAATCACTAATTAGTATTCACCACGAAGTTACCTCCTTTCCACAAGCTGAACGAGGGCCACCCTCTACCCATGTGCCTCACTCTCCTCATATACTGATTCAACATTTGAATTTACAGGGAAATCCAAAGTGCTATTTGGGGAGGATGGGAGGCTGACCTCATGAGTCAGGATAAGTATAAAATATCAATTTTACTCCAAAATTACATATTTTTCCTTATCCTGACTCATGCTCTTTTGCTTGTAGCATCCTACGGAACGGAGGTGGGAATATCTAATACTTTGGATTTTTAATAATTAGTGATTTGAACTGTGATGATTGTAATAACCCTATGGGAACTTCATAAAGGCACTGAACTGATGAATTCCTGCTGCTAACTTATCAGCTGCCATATAAAAGGTTATTACCATGTACTTATTATGATAAAGTATATATAACATTAATACAATGCTTAAGACTAATAGACTTAAGCTTGTTAATATGCTAGTATAAACTCCTTAGAGTTTGTTAGCTAAAATACTTTAAGATATAACATAGTACTAAGCTTAAGATATGATTAAACTTAAGCTAATTATATAATAGCAAAAACTCTGTAGAGTTTGTTAGCTAATATATTTTTATAATATGAGTATAGTACTGTGCTTAAGCTATAATTAACTTAAGCTACATATATAATAGCCAAACTCTGTAGAGTTTGTTAGCTAATATATTTTTATAATATGAGTATAGTACTGTGCTTAAGCTATAACTAACTTAAGCTACATATATAATAGCCAAACTCTGTAGAGTTTGTTAGCTAATATATATTTATAATATTAGTATAGTACTGAGCTTAAGATATAATTAACTTAAGCTACATATATATAGCAAAACTCTGTAGGGTTTTGTTAGCTAATATATTTTACAATATGAGTATAGTAGTGTGCTTAAGATATAATTAACTTAAGCTACATATATAATAGCAAAACTCCAGAGTTTGTTAGCTAATATATTTTACAATATGAGTATAGTAGTGTGCTTAAGATATAATGAACTTAAGCTACATATATAATAGCAGAACTCCGTGAGAGTTTGTTAGCTAATATATTTTACAATATGAGTATAGTATTGTGCTTAAGATATTATTAACTTAAGCTACATATATAATAGCCAAAAACTCTGTAGAGTTTATTAGCTAATATGTTTATAGTGTAACCATAGTACTAAGCTTAAGATAAGATTAGACTTAAGCTAAATGTATATAGCAAAATAAACTCCTTAGAGTTTATTAACTAATATACTTTTTATGTTAAAAACATAGTACTGAGCTTAAGTTATGATGAAACTTAAGCTATATATATATAATAAACAAAACTCCGTCGAAGTTTTGTTAGCTAATACCTTTATAATGTAAACATACTGCTTAAGATATGATGAAAACTTAAGCTAATTGTATAATAGCTAAAACAACCCTTTAGAGTTTGTTAGCTATGATATAAACCTAGTATTGAGCTTATGAAGGAAAACTTAAGCTACATATATAATAGCAAGAACTCCGTTAGAGTTTGTTAGCTAATACATGTTATAATGTAACCATAAAGCTTAAAATATGATGAAACTTAAGCTTAAATATATAATAGCAAAACCCTCTTTTAGAGTTTTGATAGCTAATATACCTATATGATATAAACATAGTACTGCGCTTAAGATATGAATAAGCTTAAGTTACATATATAATAGCTAAAACTCTGTAGAGTTTGTTAGCTAATACATGTTATAATATAACCATATTGCTTAGAAATATGATGATACTTAAGCCAAATAGCAAAAACTCTTTAGAGTTTGTTAGCTAATCTACTTTATATGATATAAACATAGTACTAAGCTTAAGATATGAATAAGCTTAAGCTACCTATATAATAGCAAAACTCCTTAGAGTTTGTTAGCCAATATATTTTAATAATATGAGTATAGTACTATGCTTAAGGTATAATTAGCTTAAGTTACCTATATAATAGTAAAACTCAGAGAGTTTGTTAGCTTAATTAACTTAAGCTATGTATAAAATAGCCAAAAACTCTGTAGAGTTTGTTAGCTAATGCATTTATCATGTAACCATAGTATTACTCTTAAGATATGAATAACTTAAGGTAAATATATATAATAACAAACTCTGTAGAGTTGTTAACTTATATATTGTATGATGTAATAATCATAGTACTGTGATGATAAAAGGAACTTAAGTAAATTATATATAGCATGAAGCTATTTAGTATTGTTATAAGATAAGTAAAAATCTGTTAGATTGACTTATCTTCTCCGAGGAACTGTCAGCTGTTGTGCGAGGACCATGGGATCGAATTGGTGTATACCTGAGACGTCCTCGGTGGTGATATCTCTCAGATAATGGTTTGCAACCACCATATCGGATTTCCAGAAATAAACCCTCCATTATTTCAATCACATTTGTGTAGGACAATTGTAGAAGTTAGCGCTATAATATCATGAGTATTAAGCTCATGGAGGGTCGGAATAGGTCCATCCACAAGATATGCACGTAGTATGACAGTTCTGATCCAAATGGAGATATAGTACATGAGACTTCACTCTGCGTAAGTTGATGATAGAGGAAATAATCTGTTGCATTTTTCCTCCTGTTTGGTTTGGTGGAGATAAATTTACAGTGCTCTTTGCTGGCCATCTTGATAGAATCATCGTATCATAGGGTCCAAGTATGTCATCCAGGCGTGTTCATAAACCTCACTTGTGAGGTGTTGGAGCCCTATATTCATATCCCCAGGTTTGGCGTGAAATTTCCGCTTATTCTCCAAACAGAAGTTTAGTAGGTTTACTAACCATCTAGTTGTGTTAGTCGCTTGATGAAATTCAGCTGTAGTCTGGAAACGCTGTGGATTTAGATCCACTTGTATCTTCGCCTAGGTAATTCGCTGCGAAGTCCTTGGACGATGTAGGTGCACAACCAGGTGTGTCTGTCCTCGCTGAACTTTTATGTAAAATCGCCTCGACTGCCGATCCCTCGCCTTAACTTGACAGGGAGGTCTCTAACTTGAAGAAAGGCAGTCTAATCATGAATGTTCAGGTTAACTGGACTGTAATGAGGCTTGCTCGTTCACTGATATATAGTTGTCACTTGTGACGTAAGTCTTGAACTGTGAATAGAGATCGACCTCTGTGTAGGTCGTTGTCCCTCGCCGGTCCAATCAGAACAAGGCATTTTGATTCTGTATAATACCCGCTGTGATGTCACCGGTGTAGCGGAAAAAACCCACCTTGAATAAATTCTTGTCGCCGTTGATATTAGCATAAACGCCGGTCTTCCCCGTAGCTTCCTCGGTTATCCGAGTGACCACGTTGTTTCGAGGGTTAATGGTAACCGCTAGCGAAACCTCCGTGCGAAATATCTCGCCTGTAATTTTATGCTGGGTAGGTTATTTTCCTGGTTGTCGCGGAAAGTAATTCCAGTTTTGAATATAATTCCGACTTCCTTATATATATAGGTATAAACAACTTGCAAGTTGTGAGCTTGTAGACTGTATACATGAATGTATCGTCATAATTGTAGAATTAACGTTGAACTTGTTGTACATATTTCTTCTCAGAAACTTTGACGATTAAGAGTTATACTCGCTGTAACAAGGCTGCTGTTCAATTTCGATATTGAATTGTCTGCAGATATGCGTAATGGTCACGCATGTAGATAATCGTATCGTCGTCCGGGATTGTATATTAGCAATTTATACCGGAATAGTTGATTTCTGTGAAGATCTATGAAATGTCGCTGACTAATAATACAGCCGACGTTCTGTGTTGTAAATAGCCTGAGCAATTATCTTCGCCAGCAGACTTATAGATCGGCATCTGGCATACAGTTGATAATCAACTTATGCGGCGCCTTGAACGGACTGACGAAAGTAGCTATATATGACGAAAGTGGCTAGTATATGGAAACCTTGAGGAGACTTCCTCGGTGAACGCGGAGACTTCAAGTTCTCAAGTATCCCTTCTAGATCTTCTGGGTGAAGTAGACTTGGAGTTTACTTAGCCTTCGCGACCATCGCGAAGGTGTCGAGTCAAAGCCCGATTAGTATATATATATATATATAATATATATATGAGCGCTTGCTTCGTGAACAGCCTCTGTGTTTAACAGGATGTGGGATAAGCGGCGCTGCCTAAGTAGGGCCGCATGGATCATCTTATCATATTCAGAAGTCGCGGTAACGAAGTCTGGTGATAAGTGTCTAATTGATCGTTCTAGATCTATTTAGGCCAGCTTAACATACGCCTCGTCCATGGATTCAACAGAACCAATATACGATTGTAGTTCCTATACTTGATATCGATGATCAACTTGTCTATGGGTTGATCTTCTCGAGACTTGTGAGGGAACGTTGATAGTTTCGCCAAGCTCTTGTATAGTCCCTCGATGTCCTTCTAGATGATGATGATCTGGATTCAGGTGTCCTCGGCGATGCCTTCGCCGGCTTCCTCTAAGTCCGGTCCGGGGAACGACGATATGACCTTCCTTGAAGGCTTCCGTGATGTCTGATGGTCCGAGTCCACAACTAGAGATGAAACCGCATAAGGTGATGATCTATCCTGCCTTCGCTAAGTCCTTCGAAGGCTGTACATCTAGGTTTTCCCCTTCGCTGGCGGCTGTACATCTAGGTCCTTTCCGCCTTCGCCAAGGCTGTACATCTAGGTCCTTCCGTCAAGGTGGTCCGTGACTTCCTTCTCGCTGGCAAGGTGACATCGCCCTGGCTGCTACGCTGACGGGGGTGCCTCTGGGGTGCTGTTCACGCTTGGAGCCTTTCGCCGGCGTTCGGACCCTGCTACCGCGAGATATTGGTCCTCCATGATGTTCATAATTTGTCGCGATCATGTCTTCTGGGATGGTCTGCGGCGAGGTCGCCGGTGCTTTATCTGCGGTGTTAATGGAGGGGTCCACCGAAAAATCGTCCCCACATCAGTGTAGAGGCATCAGGCTGCATGGTGATCTCTGCTGATGTCGTTGTAGCTGTCCCCGTCGCTTCTTGTGGCGTGACGTCCGGGATGATGATCAGCTGATCATCGTGAGAGGTCCAGGTCATCGGCTGGAACAATCTCTCGCTTGAGAAAGTCCTAGTAGACTTCGTTGATTTTCCCTCAGAGGTCGACGCTGCCCTGGGTGTCGCGACGCCTGGCTGAGTGTTGGTAATGATGGGACCCTCAGGACGATCATATCGCATATCTGGCGCTGGTACATCAGGCTGCATGCTGATCTGTGCCGACATCGGTCAATCTTTGATGTACATCCGGTATGATGACCGGCTGATCATCATACAGGCCCAAAACTTCGATGGGAACGGTCTCCGGTTGTTGAGATGTAGAAAAACCCTCTAGTCTTCTGCCGCGACGATGGGATGTCTGGGGAAGCAGGATGCTTCTTGGAGATGGCGGACTCGTCCCACACCTCTCCACCACTCTAGCGAACACCACACGGAGGGGAGTCGGCCAACAGCAGTAGACTGGCGAGGGGTTCCGTATCAGTCATACTAGACTCTGCATACGCCACCTATCTGCAATGCGTAAGCCAAACGAAAGTAAATATTAATAAAAAGGTAGAATTGGATAAATTAGTACCGCAACTGCAATGTGAATATAATAAACATGGCGCCGTTACATCATATTAAAGGCGGATCAGCAGCAGCATAAAAAGCGTAATCTGCAATAGTACAGAATTTTCATCAACGTAATCCACTGAAACAAACACGCAGCGTCCCCGTGAATAAACTGTAGAAAACGACTAAATATCAATATATAATCGTTGAAGGATACTAGCTAAACCTCTATAGATGTCTATACGAGGTAACTAACTAAATATAATTCAAAGGATATAGTGTGTCGGGAGACACAGGCGCTCTCACGTCCAGCTCACTGGGCGAAGAAGGAGAGAGTGAGGCACATGGGTAGAGGTGGCGCCCTCGTTCCCACGCTTGTGGAAAGGAGGTAACTCGTGGTGAATACTAATTAGTGATTTTAAATTGAAGGGAGCTTCAATTAGGGAGATACAAGTGTTCCACTATGTTCGCAAGAAGAAGAAGACAAGCAAAAAGAGCATGAGTCAGGATAAGGAAAAATAAGCTAAATTTGAATACATTTTTGGGACTTGTCTCATATTATAGTCAGAAGGGTGTCTGCAAAATTGTCACATGTATTAAATGTAATGTTACATATAAAGGGTGTGTCTCAGCAAAATATCATAGATAGCATGAAGACCAATTAACAAGTGGTCTCCTTCCCTCTAAATAATAAATGGTCAGTCCCTAAACTGATAATCCTGACATCTGCAACTCGACACAAAGCTGTCATACATGGACAGTGTCGTTTGGACCTGATAGCTGGAGAAACCCTTGTCTCTATAGATGATAACTTCCCACTCTGATGAAATACTAATAGGATGTTTTATATATAAAAGACTGCCCATACCTTGTCCCATGGCTCAGGCGAATGGTTTGTTGTTGGGCAGTCTCTGCAGCTTGAAGCGCCCTCTCATGGCCCTGGCACAAGACAGACACACCCGAATGTCTCGGTTCTTCCTGTCATGTACCTCCGCAATGTAGCCCTGTAACCAAACACCTTCAGGCTCAGTCAGAGAACAACCTCAATGTAGCCCTGTAACCAAACACCTTCAGGCTCAGTCAGAGAACAACCTCAATGTAGCCCTGTAACCAAACACCTTCAGGCTCAGTCATAGAACAACCTCAATGTAGCCCTGTAACCAAACACCTTCAGGCTCAGTCATAGAACAACCTCAATGTAGCCCTGTAACCAAACACCTTCAGTCAGAGAACAACCTCAATGTAGCCCTGTAACCAAACACCTTCAGGCTCAGTCAGAGAACAACCTCAATGTAGCCCTGTAACCAAACACCTTCAGCCTCAGTCAGAGAACAACCTCAATGTAGCCCTGTAACCAAACACCTTCAGGCTCAGTCAGAGAACAACCTCAATGTAGCCCTGTAACCAAACACCTTCAGTCAGAGAACAACCTCAATGTAGCCCTGTAACCAAACACCTTCAGGCTCAGTCAGAGAACCTCAATGTAGCCCTGTAACCAAACACCTTCAGCCTCAGTCAGAGAACAACCTCAATGTAGCCCTGTAACCAAACACCTTCAGTCTCAGTCAGAGAACAACCTCAATGTAGCCCTGTAACCAAACACCTTCAGCCTCAGTCAGAGAACAACCTCAATGTAGCCCTGTAACCAAACACCTTCAGCCTCAGTCAGAGAACAACCTCAATGTAGCCCTGTAACCAAACACCTTCAGGCTCAGTCAGAGAACCTCAATGTAGCCCTGTAACCAAACACCTTCAGGCTCAGTCAGAGAACCTCAATGTAGCCCTGTAACCAAACACCTTCAGGCTCAGTCAGAGAACCTCAATGTAGCCCTGTAACCAAACACCTTCAGGCTCAGTCAGAGAACCTCAATGTAGCCCTGTAACCAAACACCTTCAGGCTCAGTCATAGAACAACCTCAATGTAGCCCTGTAACCAAACACCTTCAGGCTCAGTCAGAGAACAACCTCAATGTAGCCCTGTAACCAAACACCTTCAGGCTCAGTCATAGAACAACCTCAATGTAGCCCTGTAACCAAACACCTTCAGGCTCAGTCAGAGAACCTCAATGTAGCCCTGTAACCAAACACCTTCAGTCTCAGTCAGAGAACAACCTCAATCTAGCCCTGTAACCAAACACCTTCAGTCAGAGAACCTCAATGTAGCCCTGTAACCAAACACCTTCAGGCTCAGTCACAGAACAACCTCAATGTAGCCCTGTAACCAAACACCTTCAGGCTCAGAGAACAACCTCAATGTAGCCCTGTAACCAAACACCTTCAGGCTCAGAGAACAACCTCAATGTAGCCCTGTAACCAAACACCTTCAGGCTCAGTCACAGAACAACCTCAATGTAGCCCTGTAACCAAACACCTTCAGTCACAGAACAACCTCAATGTAGCCCTGTAACCAAACACCTCCAGTCAGAGAACAACCGCAATGTAGCCCTGTAACCAAACACCTTCAGGCTCAGAGAACAACCTCAATGTAGCCCTGTAACCAAACACCTTCAGGCTCAGTCAGAGAACAACCTCAATGTAGCCCTGTAACCAAACACCTTCAGGCTCAGTCAGAGAACAACCTCAATGTAGCCCTGTAACCAAACACCTTCAGTCTCAGTCAGAGAACAACCGCAATGTAGCCCTGTAACCAAACACCTTCAGGCTCAGTCAGAGAACAACCTCAATGTAGCCCTGTAACCAAACACCTTCAGGCTCAGTCAGAGAACAACCTCAATCTAGCCCTGTAACCAAACACCTTCAGGCTCAGTCAGAGAACAACCTCAATGTAGCCCTGTAACCAAACACCTTCAGGCTCAGAGAACAACCTCAATGTAGCCCTGTAACCAAACACCTTCAGGCTCAGTCAGAGAACAACCTCAATGTAGCCCTGTAACCAAACACCTTCAGTCTCAGTCAGAGAACAACCTCAATGTAGCCCTGTAACCAAACACCTTCAGGCTCAGTCAGAAACAACCTCAATGTAGCCCTGTAACCAAACACCTTCAGGCTCAGTCAGAGAACAACCTCAATGTAGCCCTGTAACCAAACACCTTCAGTCTCAGTCAGAGAACAACCTCAATGTAGCCCTGTAACCAAACACCTTCAGGCTCAGTCAGAGAACAACCTCAATGTAGCCCTGTAACCAAACACCTTCAGGCTCAGTCAGAGAACAACCTCAATGTAGCCCTGTAACCAAACACCTTCAGGCTCAGTCAGAGAACAACCTCAATGTAGCCCCTGTAACCAAACACCTTCAGTCTCAGTCAGAGAACAACCTCAATGTAGCCCTGTAACCAAACACCTTCAGGCTCAGTCAGAGAACAACCTCAATGTAGCCCTGTAACCAAACACCTTCAGGCTCAGTCAGAGAACAACCTCAATGTAGCCCTGTAACCAAACACCTTCAGGCTCAGTCAGAGAACAACCTCAATGTAGCCCTGTAACCAAACACCTTCAGGCTCAGTCAGAGAACAACCTCAATGTAGCCCTGTAACCAAACACCTTCAGGCTCAGTCAGAGAACAACCTCAATGTAGCCCTGTAACCAAACACCTTCAGGCTCAGTCAGAGAACAACCTCAATGTAGCCCTGTAACCAAACACTTTCAGGCTCAGTCAGAGAACAACCTCAAGAGCTCATTTTGTTCAGTGTCGCATACGGAATAGTTTCTCAGTTGAACAATTCAACATCTCGGTAAAGGCGTGTAGACAATTCCTTAATTATTCATAGTTACTACACATGAGTATAACTTTATCAGATGCCTGTGTTCAGCAGCATGCTCAAAATAGGGGATATATATAATGACGGTGTAACAGGTTGGGGGTGGGGAACGTGGTAGTCAGGATAACGGTGTAAAGGGATGGGGGTGGGGAACGTGGTAGTCAGGATAACGGTGTATACGGGTTGGGGGTGGGAACGTGGTAGTCAGGATAACGGTGTAACGGGTTGGGGGTGGGGAACGTGGTAGTCAGGATATATATAATGATCGGTGTAACAGGATGGGGTGGGGAACATGGTAGTCAGGATATAATGACGATGTAACGGGTTGGGGTGGGGAGCGTGGTAGTCAGGATATATATAATGACGGTAACAGGATGGGGGTGGGGAACGTGGTAGTCAGGATACAATGACGATGTAACGGGTTGGGGGTGGGGAACATGGTAGTCAGGATATATATAATGACGGTGTAACGGGATGGGGTGGGGAACGTGGTAGTCAGGATATATATAATGACGGTGTAACGGGATGGGGGTGGGGAACGTGGTAGTCAGGATATAATGACGATGTAACGGGTTGGGGTTGGGGAACGTGGTACTCAGGATATATATAATGACGGTGTAACGGGTTGGGGGTGGGGAACGTGGTAGTCAGGATATATATAATCACAGAATGAAATCATGGCTCCCTATGAATCAAGGGTGTTTATATTTTAAAATGGACATTTTACACAATGGCGTGAGGATGTATGTAGCTATAAGTAGCATTCAAGCAATATCATGGAGGAGGCCAGAAATGGTGTTGGAGTACCAAACAAACACCCTGTGCATGTGACTCACCGGTTGATCAATGACGGCAGCATGGGATACGGAAGATGTGCAGACGTCAGCCCTGTTGGCAGCCGTTATCTCTGAAACCAACACGGAACACACATATATTTGTCAGGAGCATGGAGGAGTCACTTACTTCTTACACTCAGTTAAAACATACCTGCAGTACTCGCTACTCACGTCTGTTATGAAAAGTTTCATCTTGGAGAGATCCATGACATTGTCAGTAAATGATTCAACCAACCTTTATCGTACTGATCAGCGTAGAAGGCGTATATAAAGCCTGTCTCTGCATCATAACGCCACCGCTGGTGAGCCTTGCCGTACTGGTTGAGTCGGCGAGCCTGGAGCGTGACTGCACACCCTGTGAAGGTCAAGGGACGGTTGTCGCCATGGACGTTGGGCATAGCGATGGTCAGCGCCAACTGCTGGTTGAACTTGGAGCAAATCTCACTGGCGAATAGAGATATAAGACAGAAAAAATGAGACGGGATGCATGAGACTTGTACTTGAGACAGTGTGATAATCTGTTGTGAGATGAGACCGATGAGATTTATATTTGGAGTGAATCTCACTTGACATAGAGATGTAACATGACAATTGTGGGGAATGTCAGCTCGGTATGGTGATGAAAGACAGATGAGTTTTGTACTGAGAGTGAACGTCTTGGTACAGTGATGTATCCATCCCCTTTATTCCAGGACTTGGCAAACTATCTGAGATGTTCTAATTACCTTCGTTACAAATGTTTTTGCTGCTACTTTGTTTTTCAGTATCTTTTTTCCTTTATTGTGTAACATAACACTCTATTTTCCAGCTAAATATCACCAATCTGTAAATAATTCAATCTGGACCAGACAAGCCAGTGATTAACAGCATGAGCATCGATCTACCAACTGGGATACGATGACATGTGTCAACCAGGTCAACTTTCTAGCCTGACCACCCGGTCCTGTTAGTCGACCTTTACGACAAGCAAGGGTTGTTTAAGATTACTTCTAACTTGGATCCTCATGAATTCTGTTACTTTCTAATAGATCTAGTTGCCTACCCGTTTTCCTTCATGACCCAGCGCTGGTTGATGTCATCCGGCCGTCGCTTCTGCAGGTACACATCGATAACCCGGCCCTCTTGTTCGTGGACGCCAAGCACCAGGCTGTGATTGGCTGCACATGCAACGAAGCCGTCCTCGTACACAAACCGCTGTAACGTGTCCCGGGGAACACGTGGCGACGGGCGTGGTCTGTTGTGGATGGAGAAGACATCAAAATGTGCTACTTGTTTGCATGTTGTTTAATGTCACTCTATCTGACAGACAAGAAGTTGTTATCCGTAAAGTTGTACGCTTCATTATTGACTCACCAACTTCTACAATACTGATCAGACAATTAATCCATGCACTTGGGATATAATGAGAAAGAACAGTTTGCGAGCCCGACCGAGAAGTCGGCGAGCCCGACCACCTAATTAGTTGCCTCTTGTTACAAACCCAGGATTGCTGAAGACCAGTTACAACCCGTGGTTTGTATGGGGGAAAACATCCTAAGTTTGATCTTTCAGTCTAATGCATTCAGCTAAAGTGATCTGAGAAGAAGACTAGCAAAACACCTGGAGACCTGGGCCTCCTTTCACAAAGCACCAAGGTGATCGTAAGTCACTAACGGAACCTTAGTGCAATGTTAAAGAATGGGAGTTAAGGTTAACCTTAGTAAAGGTTGCTTCATGAAAGGAGCTCCTGATCTGTGCTGGAATCCCTACAGAAACACAAGCATGCTCCAGAATCGCCACAGAGCCATTCCTCACCGATATTTCTCGTACAGGTCCTTGTTGGAATACTTGACAGCCTCTGGGTCGTTGTCTTCAAAACTGTTGCCGACATTCATCAGTCTTTCCCATGGCCAGCGGAGAGTGTCCAGGCGTTTCTCTGACTTCAAGTGGGCTCGGTGGTGGGCGTTGCTGTAACAGAAGGGCTGACATACATCACAGCAGCTCAACAAATGAATCAACTTTGCACAATGTTTCAAACTCATGGAAACTGGTGCTGGGGCAAAACATGAATAGGAGAAGGCTATTCCCATTTTCAAAATCTGAAAAGGTTTTAGTCACTGATATGTAATTTGACAGGAAATAGAATGAAGGATGTAATTTTTAGAGTAAAATTGATATTTTATACTTATCCTGACTCATGCTCTTTTGCTTGTCTTCTTCTTCTTGCGAACATAGTGGAACACTTGTATCTCCTTATTTGAAGCTCCCTTCAAAATAAAATCACTAATTGGTACTCACCACGAAGTTGCTCCCTTTGTCTCCCCTGGCGGGAAAGGGTGTCGCCACCCTCTGGCCATGTGCTCCACTCTCCTGATTTAGCTTGAGCCCAACACTTGAATTTACAGGGAAATCCAAAGTGTTATGTGGGGAGGATGGGAGGAGTTACCTCATGAGTCAGGATAAGTATAAAATATCAATTTTACTCTAAAATTACATATTTTTTCCTTATCCTGACTCATGCTCTTTTGCTTGTAGCATCCTAATGAACGGAGGTGGGTAACAGAATACTTTGGATTTATAATTAGTGATTTTGTATAGATATACTGTAATATCTCCTACACGGGAACTTCATGCCTTAGATTTAGGATGTTTCCTGTATAAAGAAAACCATAGGTTATATAAAGCCATTAAAGGGGAATTACATTATGAATATATTGAACAATACATATAAATTATATATATATATATATAGGTGACTCTGATAGAGGCACTGAAATTGACTATATCCAAGTATATGCTTAAGGTAGAATACTTAAGCTGAACATATATACATAGCCCTAAAACTCCTTAGAGTTATAAGCTTAGATGAGTATGTATAAAAATACATATTAATCTTGTGAGGCTAATATTTTAACGCCACGAGGGACTGTCAGTTGCTGAGCTTAGGACCAGTGGTCCCAATGGTGAATGCCAGAGACATCTTCTGTAGTGATGTCTCTTAGGTAGTGATTAGCAAATACCATGTTAGATTTCCAATAGCATCCTTCCATAATCGTGTTCAAGGAACAGTTACCGTAGGGCTGAGGGGTAGAGGCCAGTGCCCTGATCTCATGTGGATTTGATGCTGTTGGTGGGTCCAAGCCTGCGTTGCCTTGTAGGCACGGAGAATGACAGTCCTTATCCAAATAGATATTGTAGGTCCGTGACACTTCTGTTTGATTCAGAGGGCTTATAATGGGATGAATAAACGCTTTGAGAAATCTTCTCCTTGTTTTGGATCGTCAGTAAATAAACTTTGAGCTCTTACCGACACACAGTGATAGGTCTTGTGTATCTTGTGATCCGAGAATAGAGGATAGCCGGGATGTGGAATAATCTGTCTGGTTGACCTGGCAGTTGATTCTTTGCAATGAAATCCCATCTTAATCCGAGGTGCTTCTTGTGTTATGATTGTCATCAAACTGTATCCCTCTCGTGAATCCAGAGCGTGAATTTCAGACATTCTTGCTGCTGTGGCTAGCTTATAGCAGAAACAATGTTTTCTGTGAGAGAAATTCAAAGTTTGTCGACATTCAAGGGTTCATAAACCTCACTCGTGAGGTGTTGTAACACTACATTCAGATCCCAAGCTGGGGCGTGGAACTTCCGCTTTTGGTCCTCCAATCGAAAGCCCGTAGTAAGGCCAGTAACTTTGGAGATCTTGTCAATTTGACACCCGCTCTCATGGTGATTACAGAGCTGCCGCAAGATATGTTGATATCGCTGAACCTTTTAAATGTTTGTTTTGGCGTGAGGTAACACAAATAGTCTGCCACTTGAGGTTGTGAAGCCTCTCTTGCTGTAAACCCTTTCTTTGTTGCATAATTTTCAAACTGTGCCACTTGTCGTCGCATTGCCACGAGTTGAGTAACGTAAGGCGCTGACTGCTTTTGCCCCTGGCAGAATATCCTCTCTTGTTTAAACACATTTGTATACAGTCCATACGCAGTAGTTGGAACATTGCTGGGTTTCCGCACTTGTTTGGTGTGAGGATGAATTAACAGGTTTGCGTGCTTGGGTAGCTCCAGTGTTGGTTGACCGATTTCTTATGAATTAGTATGGAAAACTGACGCTCTGGCCGGCCAGTAGGCCACTCAAAGTGAGTTGTAGTGCTCTGTGTTTGTCTGATTTTCTGTAATACTTGAGGTATTATTGCTGGCGGCGAAACGCTGCACGCATTGAGGCCTTCCCATGATAGACTTAGAGCCACCGCTGCCCAAGCTTGGGGTCTGGGACTGGTGACACGTAATGTCGGTAGCTGATTGTTGAATCGCTGGCTTAATAGGTCTATTAGCTGCATTCTAATTGCTTGATTATCTGTGCAAAAATTTCCGGTTGATCATCCACTCTGTCGGTGATGGTAGATGAGGCCGAGAGAGCCGCCTGCTAGTATATTTCTGGCTCGTGGAATGTGCACTGCTCTGACATGTAGATTTAGATCTTGTATTAAATCAACAGTTGAAAGCTTAGGTTCAAAAGGTTCATCGATCTTTCGTTGAGCCTTGCTTGTTTATGTAGAACGCCACTGTCAATTGTCTGTATGGATCATTAGGCGCATTTTGTAGAAATGTGCTCCAATGTGTGGTAGAATGGCGCTGATTACAGCTTTCATTTCTAGACTGTTTATATGGAGTTTGCATTCTTGCTGATTCCATAACCCTGATATCGTGTGGTTGGTGAGATGAGCTCCCCAACCTTGGAGTGCACGCTGCCTACATACAGATGGGTTTTGTATTCCTGCTCTGCTAAACAAATCCCTTCGCCCAGACATTCGATTTCTTGGTCCACCATAGTAGATGTGGTCTGAGATGTTTCGTAGACTGAATGGTTGTACATCGCTGAGATGTGCTGATGAGGACCTGTAGGGACGTAACTGTAATCTGCCTGTGACAGTCATGTCTTGGGCTGATGAGAGAAGACCTAGTAGGCTCTGCCATTGTCGAAAGTGGTAACGGAGAGAGTAGAGCTGGTGGAATGGTCTGTTGTATCTTGAGCCAACGGTCTTCTGGTACCATAATACGGTTATGATTTGTGATGAATCGAATACCTAGGAACTGTAGGTCTTGGCGATGGTACTCCAGGGTCCGACTTATGTAAGTTTACTAACCAACCTAGTTGTGTTAGTAGCTTTATGATGTAATTTAACTGTAGTTTGAGACGAGTGGATCTTGATCTACTTGTATCCCGTCGTCGAGGTAAAACGCGACTGGCGCGAGCTCCCTTTGGACGATGTAGAAATTTGATAATCGGGTTTCGCTATCCTCGTGGAATAGCCAGGGGGCTGATGATATTCAATGGGAGTACTTTCCACTGGTAATGTAGCCCTTCTAGAGTAAATCGTGAGGTATTTCCTGGAATCGGATGAATGGGGATGTGCAAGTAGGCATCCTGTAGATCTATGCTGCCCATGTAGTCCATAGGACTAATCATCTGGCTTAATTGAGGTAAATGTATCATGCGAAACTTCGTGGTTTTATGAGATAGTTCTTGCTGAAAAAGCTCATGTTGTAGATGAGTCTGTATTCCGCGGAGTTTTCTTGAACCAGGAAAACTGGGGAGTAGAAACCTGGTTCGACGCTTGTTTGATCTATTACTTCTATGGCCTGTTTGGATAGGAGTGATGAGACAGCCTCTTTATCTTTGGTAGTTGTTGGGCGCTTGTAACCTAACTTGGGGGTTTGATTGTCAGCGGAGGTTTGTCCTGGTGCAGAGGATACGAAACCGTTGAATAATGTTGAGACGAAGGATCTTGCAGTATTCCCCAGTTTTCCCAGTGTAGTTGGAGGCCCCACCCACTTGAGCTGGTTGTACTGGAACGGCTAAAGTGGAAGACTCCAGTCGTTCGGAACCTGTGTTTCAGCTGCCTATAATTGCGAACCTCTGGGTGTCCTGCCTCTTCCTGATCCTCCTCTATAGTTGCCATATGGGCTGACCTAAAAAGAATCTTTTACCTCTAGAGCTGGCTATCTTCCTGTCTCTTGCTCTTTGTAGTCCGTGAACTTAGATCTGCCTGAGTATCTTTGTGAAGTCTGGACGAATGACGCTGGCTAGTGTGTCCATCGATCTAATCATAAGGACTTCCTGGAATCCTTTAGAGACTTCCTTGGCGCACCTTGTCGATTTCTCCTCAAAGATGGATGTTGTCGACCACGGGCTGTATAAAGTGGGGCTGTAAAGTTCTCCCCAATTACAGGAGGCGAGGAGGCCTTGACGACGAAGCTAAGGTCAGTGCTGCTGAAACAGATGTAAGATGATCCGCTAAAACTGCTGATCTTTCTTTGCATAAGTAAGGCAGAATAAATCATTCTATCATCTTCCGTCGTGGAATCCCGAATCTAGTAATAAGAGTCTCATTGATCGCCCTAGATCTATTTAACCCAAAGAACATACCGCCTCGCCATGGTTTCTATATGAGTTTCAACTTTATGCGATCATCCATCTTGTAAATCTTGTTCTTTACATCGCTGATGATCTTATAGTTCTCATCGATGTCCTGGGCCTTGTAGAAGGAGTCCATGTTATGCGGAGAACTTCTTGGCTTGAAAGTTGGGTAGATGTGGTATCTGAACTTTCTCGTAGCTTTCTGGAAAGCTGCATCTAGATTCTGTGGCACTGCCGCACCGGGTCGATCGGGGTAGAGTGATTGCATCTGGATCATCTTCCTTCATCAAATACGCCTGAGCTGTATTGCCACTTTTAGATGGTGATGTGAGATCTAGGTTATTGACCATCCAATACCGTATCTCTGCATCAGAAAATATGATTCCTCCATCATCCTCAAACCATCATCATTAATAAATTGTAGATGCTCTTCGACTGCGCGGTAGCTGTCTGTATATCTGATGAGGTTTGTATGCATCTAGTTGACTTGTGCGCCTATGTGGAGATCTGATGGGTGATCGAATCTGGTGATGAACGGAGTGGAGATCGCCTATGGATGATCTTCTCGAGACTTGTGAGGTGAATGTTGATAGCTTCGCTGGGCTCTTCGGCAGTCCCCGATGTTCTTCTAGACGATGAAGATCTGGAATCATATGTCCTTCGCGAATGCCTTCGCTGCTTCATTTGGCGCCCGTCCGGGGATCGATGATATGACCTTCGCTGGCTAGGCTTCCGCGGATGTCTGATGGTCTGAGTCCATATCTAGAGATGAAATCGAAGATGGTGATGATCTCTCCGGCCACAAGGCCTTCGCTAAGGCTGTACATCTAGGTCCTTCGTCCAAGGTGGTGCGGACTTCCTTCGCTGGAAGGTGACATCGCCTTGGCTGCTACGCTGACGGGGTGCCTCTGGGGTGTGTCCACGCTTGGAGCCTTCGCTGGTTCGGACTTGCTTGGCGCAGTTTGTAGTGGTCCTCCATGATGTTCATAATCTGCCGCGATCATGTCTTCTGGGATGATCTAGACGAAGTCGCCGGGCGCCTTTTCTGCGATGGGGTTCACATCAATGACGCCTGACGCCGGTGTAGAGGCATCAGGCTGCATGGAGATCTCTGCAGAAGTCACAGTCGCTGACACCGTCGCTTCTTCTGCCGTAAGTCGGGATGATTATCGGCTGATCATCGAGAGCCCAACTCTGCTGCTGGAACGATCTCGCTGAGAAAGTTCTTGCTGTCTTCGTGAGATTTCCCTTTGAAGTCTGGCGCTGCCCTGCGTCCTCAATCATGCTGGAGATTCGACGATGAGGCCCTCTTAGACTTAGTCTGCAATGACGGGATGTCTGGGGAGGCCGGTCGCTTCTTCGAGGTAACGGATCATGCCCCATCGCCTTCTGCCGCAGGGGTCTCTAGCAGAACACCAGACGGGAGAGGGTCGATCGCTAGCAGCTGACTGGAAGGAATATCTGGACTCTCTGCCATGTTTTGCCCTTTGTTTGCGTTGATCTATCTGCAGCACGCCTTTAAGACGCAAAGATGATATTTATTAAATGCAGAATGAGATAAATTAATGCAGTAACTGCAACGCGAATTAAACGCACACGGGCGAGAACAACTAGGGCTTATTACATGTGGATCGGAGGCAGAAAACGTGATCTACAAATCGTATAGATTTTCATGAACGTAAAGTTAGCTGAACAATCACGAATACACGTGAATAAACAGTAGAAATAATGATAATTAATCAATACAAATAGTAAAGGATACTAGCTATACCTCTATAGTAACCTATGAGAGGTAAAAACTAAGAGATTATCAAAGGATATGTGTGTAAGGAGACACAAGGCGCTCTCACATCCTGCTCACTGGGCGAAGAAGGAGAGAGTGAAGCACATGGCCAGAGGGTGGCGACACCTTTTCCCGCCAGGGGAGACAAAGGGGAGCAACTCGTGGTGAGTACCAATTAGTGATTTTATTTTGAAGGGAGCTTCAAATAAGGAGATACAAGTGTTCCACTATGTTCGCAAGAAGAAGAAGACAAGCAAAAGAGCATGAGTCAGGATAAGGAAAAATAAATGATTTTATTGTGTACTGATATAATCAATACAGTGAGTAACCGAATGTTGTTTCATGCCAAAGCTATCATGACTTGAGCTCTATCATAGCAACCTTAAAATACTTGAAACCAGATCAGTTGTTGAGTGCTCAATGCAAACCATTCACTCCTTATTTCCACCATTGAGGATTCCAGGTAAGAGTTATACATCCCTAGCAAATATCAATTACTGAATTGTCTGGTACAGGCCATAATAATGTTGGAAAATAGCTGAGAGCCCCACGAAACTTAAAAAAACCAATCAATCGCGAGTGGGTGTCAGTGAATACCTTTGACTGAGATTACTACAGTATTCGTATTAATGAGTGAATATCATACAGGTGTTCAGTGGTGAAATCTTCCTCCTCCTGATCTTCCTCCTGTCTGGCTGTTCCATTAACTTCCCTGGCATTCTCCTCTGCTTCATCCTCTTCCCGTGACCAACATTTGTTCACAACAATTTTGGCATTGGGAGTCAGGCCACCTTCCATCTCCATCACAAAACCTGGAAATACAACAACAGTTTGAGACCACCCTTTGATCTATATCACAAAACCTGGAAATATAACAACAGTGTGAGACCACCCTCGATCTCCATCACAAAACCTGGAATTACAACAACAGTGTGAGACCACCCTTTGATCTATATCACAAAACCTGGAAATATAACAACAGTGTGAGACCACCCTCGATCTCCATCACAAAACCTGGAAATATAACAACGGTGTGAGACCACCCTTTGATCTATATCACAAAACCTGGAAATATAACAACAGTGTGAGACCACCCTCGATCTCCATCACAAAACCTGGAAATACAACAACGTGTGAGACCACCCTTTGATCTATATCACAAAACCTGGAAATATAACAACAGTGTGAGACCACCCTCGATCTCCATCACAAAACCTGGAAATATAACAACAGTGTGAGACCACCCTTTGATCTATATCACAAAACCTGGAAATATAACAACAGTGTGAGACCACCCTCGATCTCCATCACAAAACCTGGAAATACAACAACAGTGTGAGACCACCCTCGATCTCCATCACAAAACCTGGAAATATAACAACAGTATGAGACCACCCTCGATCTACATCACAAAACCTGGAAATATAACAATCTATAAATACAACTTTCATTTACATAACTCTGAGCTTTCTGAGTGTGTGATCAATTATACAAAACTGTGAGTCCAATGCTACATGCCTGAGAGTTGTTAATAGGTATGAAACAGGGAATTATGGGACTGGATCAAGGAACGCCCTGTACCAACCTTGAGGATCCCTCAGGGAAACAAACTGGCGAATCTTGGCCACATCGGTGGAGAGCTGTGACAGAAGGAAGCGTCGCTGTTGCTCTGTCTTGTTCAGTTTCGGGTCGCTCCATTGCTCCCCACATGTGACGAACACCAGCTGATCTCGCTGCAGACTCTGAAGGGTGAAGTGTTCCACGCCGGTCTCATCGAACATTCGGCGCGCAGCAAACGGCAGATCCAGAAATGACGTACAGTGATCCAGGAACTATCAACAGAAAGGGAGAGGATTGGATGTGGCTGTGATCAGTTTCACATAAAACCAACCAGATTGATGCAGTCAGAATGTGGAACCAACATCTTGACTGGGACTTACCATGAGAAACTCCAGCTCCCGGACGGTCAGGTCGCCAATGGTGACATCGATGTCCACGGAGTCAGCATGATTCACCGATGTGTCCTTCTTCCTGCTGCGTCCGCCATCCTTCTTAGGGGCCTCCTTCGTCACCTACAGCAAATGAGAGAATGAGTGAGTGAGAGAGAGAGAGGGTGGACATTTCGAGTTACCCAGGCTGTTTTCAAGCAATGTCCTGCTGCTGTCCTGCATGTTTCAATACAAACAGTGGTCACACTTAATGACATCATTACTTGAGTTGTTACGTCACCTCCTTAATGCACGTCACTGTCTCTTGTTAAAGGCATAGGTTTTGTCAACGAATCATACTTAAGTTTTGAGTAATACCAAAACCTACGGGGGAAAATACACGTCCATGGCTTACCGATGTCAAACTGGGCCCAACAATCTGTACCGCCAGTGTTTTATCTCTCTCGCCATTCTTCATCACCCACAGGCGCAGTGGAGCCACTGAAATCATCAACCCATAATTATCAACTTGGTCTGTCCTTGCTTCTTGTCAACCTTTGACCCATGAAGACATAAAGCACAGCAAAGTAATCAGAATTACAAACAAATGATACGAAGATACAGAGTATATGAGATAATATCATAGGATTATCATGCCTGTCACAAGATTCATAACATAAGGGTATCGTGACGTATCACAAGGTACATGACATATTGCAAGGTACGCAAGAAGGTGTATAACAATAGACGTAAGATAGGAATATTTTTGCATGTCACAAAGTTAATGGCTCCTATATCACAAGTTCATAAGACATGCACATCAAGACTGGCGTATTACAAGGAACACGAGTTAGGCGTATCACAAGGTACAAGAGATAGGCATATCACAAGGTTCGTGAGATAGGCATATCACAAGGTACAAGAGATAGGCGTATCACACAGTACATGAGATAGGCATATCACAAGGTACAAGAGATAGGCGTATCACACAGTACATGAGATAGGCGTATCACAAGGTACAAGAGATAGGCGTATCACACAGTACATGAGATAGGCGTATCACAAGGTTCATGAGATAGGCGTATCACAAGGTACAAGAGATAGGTGTATCACACAGTACATGAGATAGGCATATCACAAGGTACAAGAGATAGGCGTATTACAAGGAACACGAGTTAGGCGTATCACAAGGTACAAGAGATAGGCGTATCACAAGGTACAAGAGATAGGGGTATCACACAGTACATGAGATAGGCATATCACAAGGTACAAGAGATAGGCGTATCACAGGTACATGAGATAGGCGTATCACAAGGTACAAGAGATAGGCGTATCACACAGTACATGAGATAGGCGTATCACAAGGTTCATGAGATAGGCGTATCACAAGGTACAAGAGATAGGTGTATCACACAGTACATGAGATAGGCATATCACAAGGTACAAGAGATAGGTGTATCACACAGTACATGAGATAGGTGTATCACAAGGTACAAGAGATAGGCGTATCACACAGTACATGAGATAGGCGTATCACAAGGTTCATGAGATAGGCGTATCACAAGGTACAAGAGATAGGTGTATCACACAGTACATGAGATAGGCATATCACAAGGTACAAGAGATAGGCGTATCACACAGTACATGAGATAGGCATATCACAAGGTACAAGAGATAGGCGTATCACACAGTACATGAGATAGGCGTATCACAAGGTACAAGAGATAGGCGTATCACACAGTACATGAGATAGGCATATCACAAGGTTCATGAGATAGGCGTATCACAAGGTACAAGAGATAGGTGTATCACACAGTACATGAGATAGGCATATCACAAGGTACAAGAGATAGGCGTATTACAAGGAACACGAGTAAGGCGTATCACAAGGTACAAGAGATAGGCATATCACAAGGTACAAGAGATAGGCGTATCACACAGTACATGAGATAGGCATATCACAAGGTACAAGAGATAGGCGTATCACACAGTACATGCGATAGGCGCATCACAAGGTTCATGAGATAGGCGTATCACAAGGTACAAGAGATAGGTGTATCACACAGTACATGAGATAGGCATATCACAAGGTACAAGAGATAGGCGTATTACAAGGAACACGAGTAAGGCGTATCACAAGGTACAAGAGATAGGCATATCACAAGGTACAAGAGATAGGCGTATCACACAGTACATGAGATAGGCATATCACAAGGTTCATGAGATAGGCGTATCACAAGGTACAAGAGATAGGTGTATCACACAGTACATGAGATAGGCATATCACAAGGTACAAGAGATAGGCGTATTACAAGGAACACGAGTAAGGCGTATCACAAGGTTCATGAGATAGGCATATCACAAGGTACAAGAGATAGGCGTATCACACAGTACATGAGATAGGCATATCACAAGGTACAAGAGATAGGCGTATCACACAGTACATGCGATAGGCGCATCACAAGGTTCTTGACAACAAGTGAACAAGGTAACATTTCAGACGCCAAGCCTACAATCCCCCTGAACAGCTCTTACCTCCTGTTAGTCCGGACTTCTTGTCTGACTTGTGTAGTGGTGGGGCATGTGGCATCAGGTAGCCCTCCATCGGCCAGTCATACCTCTGTAAACATAGCACAGTCAAAGAATATCTTCAAGAATGTTGGCACTAGCTTCTATATCCTGCAAGTTCCAGCAGAAGTTTTGAGTGTTTTTTAGAGAACACATTGATTCATTTGAAAATTAGTGTCCGAGTGCATTTGGCTGGCAATTTGGAAGGTCATTTTGCTCAAACCTGGAATATTGGAATATTTTCATTTTCTTAAAGTTATTTTGGCCTCTGTGCAGGCTTAACCCCCTGGATGCCACAGGGACATATATGTCCTTCCCCTTCAACTCTCAATTTGAAGTCCAATAAAAATCAAAATATCCCACGCATTCAAATACACTTCACAGTTTCGAATTCTGCGGGTAATTTCCTGTTTCTTGATACCATTCACTATTATTTTAGACAAAGCTCAAGTGCTGAAAATGACCTTTCAAAATAGGCTTCATCGAAAATGTCGCCATTTTTGACACAGTACGAAATCGCGATTCACAGCGTTATTTGCTGTATGTTTTGAAATGTGAAAATCGGATAATTACTGGGAGTACTGAATTTCAAAAATAACATATTCATGATCACAGATATCAGTTTTACATGAAATCGCTAATTATAATTCTGAAACGTTGCTGATGAATCTAGAATCGGTTGGGATGTTTTCTAAAATGCACTTACACACGAACGTCCGATATAAGCTTTCCGCCATATTGATAGTGTTTACAAAATCACGCTTTCTCGCGAAGGCCGGTGTTGAGACGCCTATTACATCAATGTATATTTCATATTCAGCTTCGAAAAATGCATCACTGAATTCCCCATACATTTTAGAAACAAATTGCAACTGGTCTTTGTCACCAATACCAACTGTCCAGATAAAATGGGACGAAACATATTGGGTGTGAAAACGAACGCTGTGCTCGAAAGACTGCGCTGGTTCGAAATGTAAACAAAGACAAATTCCGATTTTACACTGCGTAGCATTTTCTGAAATTTTTCAACATTCATCCGTCTATTCATTGCTTGCAATGGCTCAATACCTTTGGAATATGCATGGAAAGAGTATCGTGAGTAAGAAATAGGAAATTATAAATAGATACAATGCAATGATTTGATAATTCATAAGAAATTGTCAAAGTTTCCGCGCAGCGCTGACGCCATGACTGACGCAAAACTCACGCAGAACAACAACTGTAATTATCAGCATTTCTGGCTTCTTCTCTTACTTACGGTGAAAACGATAAAAACATATAACAATACACAGATAGTCAGAATCATTCTGATTACTTACATGTCATATTTATGTACAAACAATCCCTGAATCAATGGAAGGGTCCTCGCAAAATCCTGTGTATCCTTGACAGCAAAGCCGCCATTTTGTAAGAAATAGGTCAACGATAGTGATGTCATACGTCAACATTGTTGTACATATTAGGCAATTTCTTTGAGGTGAAGGTCGGTTGAACAAGAGTAAACACAATCGTCCAATCCTTCCGATTACTCTGTCAGTATTATGATGTATGTTTTGCGGATAGTTCAGATACTTTTTTATGAAACTGACCTCAGTATCTACATTTAGCCTTGTCCAATTATATCATATCATACGTGCATATAGGATTTACGGTGTTTTATTCTTTGAAAGTTTTTGATTGTTTGAATCATATTTACATAAGAAATTGACACATTTAGTGCAGTACACCATATTCTAAGCCTTTACACAAGTGTTAGAAGATCAAACGTAGCCATAACTGCAATTACTTCAGTTCCTATGATGTACAATATTCAATGCATTTGAACTAATATTGCAGTTTCACATGAACAGGTTAATGAACGGCGATTTGATTAAACCTTATATGTAAAACTGATAATATTTAATGAACATGATTTATGTATGTTATGAAATGTATAATCACACACATTTAAAGGAATTAGCTTGTTCATTACACATTTTTGTGTCGTTTTATAGAGAAAACAATGATGTATATTGATTGGCCAGGTGCTCGTTTGTCGGAAACGTTTTATGATTCACTATCATTGTTTTCGATAATATAATCAATTCATATTCGATTTAAAAATATTGTGATGACAGGATATCAAACTCTAACTATATTTATACTGAAAAATTGTTTAAAAATATATAAACCATGTCATGTCTTAATTAATTTGGACAAATCTTACATCCATATTCTAATATTTAGTACGTACTAGTTCCATATAAAAAGCTACCTTTTTGCATCTTCCATTGTATACTTATGAAGAGAAATAGCTACATAATCATAAATAAAGAAAATTCTTATCCTAAACAAAATATTAGGGTGTTGTGAAATGTTATTTTTCATTTTTGTTAAATTGATGCCAAACAGGTGCGCGTGTTGCTCATGATAAGATACACTGTCAAACTGTCTAATTGTTGATATATTCAGGACACTATCTAAATGGAAAAAACAGTCATTTTATGTTTTGTCCAAAGAGTGTTAATTCTGGCAAAGAAGCCGAGTCCTTTCACACAATAAATGGAAATTAGGTGAGATATATACTAATCAGCATACCAATGTCGTCCTTTTCCAACGTCGCAAAATGCATAAAACAAGCAATGACGTCAACTAAAATGTTGTATTATGTTCAGCAATTTCATTACATTCGAAGATATGGCTAGTATTCTGGTAATAACGATGCACAATTAGTCAAAATACATCTACACAAACGGGAGAATATGGGAATCTAAGAACTAACTTATATATCGGATAGGGCCATTCAAATCGCTATTACGTGTTTTCACATGTAGTACGTTGTCATCTTTTCTTATAAACTGTGAAACTACCAAAGCGAATTCCGCTCACATTGGGGAACTTTGAATTGGAATAGTTTGGTTCACCGCTAACAAAAATAACGAAAATATAGCGTCCTAGATCCACAACAAATTCTCCCATGTGAACTGAGTGACATTGACGTAGTGTTAGATATAACAGAGTTATGCCCCCTTATACTCATACGTGTATGGCCTCTCTGTCGTTTTCTGACGTCATAGAAGAAAATCCATTTTTGACATTTATTGCAAGTCATTTTTAATGTTGAGCCGTGATAATGTTATGCATAAGCACATAAATCAAATTCATATACACTTATGTCGCTCAGATATCAGGCTGTATTTTCTTCGCTTCACTCTTTCGAAATATGCCAAAATAAAAGTTCAGAGCACAGTGCTTTTATCGGTCTGCGATAAAAAGCGGAGAAATTTACTGTTTTTTAACGCATAACAAAAATTTGGACAGCATTTAGCAAGGTCTATTTCTCAAACCGCCGAGGTTGTTTCACTTATATTTATACCAACGGATAGGAAATTTAATATTCTACATTTCTGTGTAATTTTATAGCCGTACGTAGATCCAGCACCATGCGAGCGCAATTCTCGCACAACGTTCACTTTTCAAAGCGTATGAAAATGTGCGCCTGAAAAAAAACTCCGCAGCCAGGGGGTTAAACAAATCCCCTGACAGTGACTTGACAGTGAGTTACCTCATTCAGCTCCCCGTCGGCTGTGATGGGCCAGGAATACGCCAGCTTGTGCCACTCGGAGTTGCCAGCCTGCGTGTACTTCCACTGGCCCAGGTTGTCAAACTTCTCCTGCTTCAGACCAAACCTGGCAAACAGTCAGTTACGGTGCTGATCAGTTGTGTAAGGAGTTAGGAGTGATATGTTATTTGTATCACAGCCTGGGAAGTAGTAATCCTAGCTGGGTAGTCTCCAGGGATGTTAGGTGAGGGTTACTTCATCTTGGGTGGTACAATGCACAGCACCCACACAGTGGAGACATCAGGTATTTTACCCAAGAACTCAAAGAAATACAAGTTAGGGGTTCTGGAGAATAATTTTATCCCAGATTGGGGTCTTACGTAACTTGGAACCCACAGAGACTGAGTGAGTATGGTTTAACGCCGCTTTTAGCAATATTCCAGCAATATCATGGCAGGGAAACCAGAACTGGGCTTCTCGCATTGTTCCCAAGTGGGGAATTGAACCTGGGTCCTCAGCTTGACAAGCAGACGCTTCAACAATATGCCTTTCCCACCCCCAGGGACCAGCATGAAGTACAGGGGACCTGTTTCACCTGGGACCCACAGAGAGACAAATATGAGATAGGGGAGCTATTCTATCTTAGGACCACAGTGTCCGAAGATGAAGATGCTGTTGATCTGAGACACCCACCTCTGACAGGATCCCTCCTTCCTGGACCTGGGTTCCGACACGATGAGATAAACACGGACTCCAGGCTTGCAGCCCTCGGGAGAATTCTCTGTGTACGACTCATCATCTCCGAACTTGTTGCCGAGATACGTCAGCACCTTGTCAGGATAGGCCTACAAATACAAGCATGGATATACCCAAATATGTCAATCATGTGACATGAAGCAGTTTATTGACTAAACAAGATTGAAGATTATTGATACTCAAACAAGTATACATAAGATCAAAGTCGTTCACAATTGGAGCTCGGATTAATGATGAATAATACCCTAGCCAATGTTATGACTGATACATAATCAGAAGTGTCATACTCTATTATGTTGTATCATACTGTGTCATATTCAGTCATACTGTGTCATATTCAGTCATACTGTGTCATGTGTCATATTCAGTCATACTGTGTCATATTCAGTCATACTGTGTCATGTGTCATATTCAGTCATACTGTGTCATATTCAGTCATACTGTGTCATATTCAGTCATACTGTGTCATGTGTCATATTCAGTCATACTGTGTCACATTCAGTCATACTGTGTCATATTCAGTCATACTGTGTCATGTGTCATATTCAGTCATACTGTGTCATATTCATCATACAGTCATACTCATACTGTGTCATATTCAGTCATACTGTGTCATGTGTCATATTCAGTCATACTGTGACATGTGTCATATTCAGTCATACTGTGTCACATTCAGTCATACTGTGTCATATTCAGTCATACTGTGTCATATTCAGTCATACTGAGTCATGTGTCATACTGTGTCACATTCAGTCATACTGTGTCACATTCAGTCATACCGTGTCATATTCAGTCACACTGTGTCATATTCAGTCATACTGTGTCATGTGTCATACTCAGTCACACTGTCATGTGTCATACTGTGTCATCATCAGTCATACTGTGTCATCATCAGTCATAATGTGTCATGTGTCATACTGTGTCACATTCAGTCATACTGTGTCATATGTTGTCACTGTGTTATGCTGTCACGTCATTTCATACTGTGTCATCACATGTTCAGTAATGTCATACTGGATCATGCTCTATAATGTCATGTCATACTGGATCATGCTCTGTAATGTCATACTGGATCATGCTCTGTAGTGTCATACTGGATCATGCTCTGTAATGGCATGCCATACTGGATCATACTTTGTAATGTCATGTCATACTGTGTCATGCTCTGTAATGTCACACTGGATCATGCTCTGTAATGTCATACTGGATCATGCTCTGTAATGTCATGTCATATTCTGGATCATGCTCTGTAATGTCATACTGGATCATGCTCTGTAATGTCATACTGGATCATGCTCTGTAATGTCATACTGGATCATGCTCTGTAATGTCATACTGGATCATGCTCTGTAATGTCATACTGGATCATGCTCTGTAATGTCATGTCATGCTCTGTAATGTCATACTGTGTCATGCTCTGTAATGTCATACTGGATCATGCTCTGTAATGTCATGTCATACTGGATCATGCTCTGTAATGTCATACTGGATCATGCTCTGTAATGTCATGTCATACTGCTCTGTAATGTCATACTGGATCATCATATGTAATGTCATACTGGATCATGCTCTGTAATGTCATACTGGATCATGCTCTGTAATGTCATACTGGATCATGTTCAGTAATGTCATGTCATACTGGATCATGCTCTGTAATGTCATACTGTGTCATGCTCTGTAATGTCATACATTGATCATGCTCTGTAATGTCATGTCATACTGGATCATGCTCTGTAATGTCATACTGGATCATGCTCTGTAATGTCATACTGGATCATGCTCTGTAATGTCATACTGGATCATGCTCTGTAATGTCATATCATGCTTGATCATACTCTGTAATGTCATACTGGATCATGCTCTGTAATGTCATACTCTGTAATGTCATACTGCATCATGCTCTGTAATGTCATACTGGATCATGCTCTGTAATGTCATACTGGATCATGTTCAGTAATGTCATGTCACACTGGATCATGCTCTGTAATGTCATACTGGATCATACTCTGTAACGTCATACTGGATCATACTCTGTAATGTCATACTGGATCATGCTCTGTAATGTCATACTGGATCATGTTCAGTAATGTCATGTCACACTGGATCATGCTCTGTAATGTCATGTCATATTGTGTCATGCTCTGTAATGTCATACTGGATCATGCTCTGTAATGTCATACTGGATCATGCTCTGTAATGTCATACTGGATCATGCTCTGTAATGTCATACTGGATCATGCTCTGTAATGTCATACTGGATCATGCTCTGTAATGTCATGTCATACTGTGTCATGCTCTGTAATGTCATACTGGATCATGCTCTGTAATGTCATGTCATACTGGATCATGCTCTGTAATGTCATACTGGATCATGCTCTGTAGTGTCATGTCATACTTTGTAATGCCATACTGGATCATCATATGTAATGTCATACTGGATCATGCTCTGTAATGTCATACTGGATCATGCTCAGTAATGTCATACTGGATCATGTTCAGTAATGTCATGTCATACCGGATCATGCTTTGTAAAGTCATACTGTGTCATGCTCTGCAATGTCATACTTGATCATGCTCTGTAATGTCATGTCATACTGGAACATGCTCTGTAATGTCATACTGGATCACGCTCTGTAGTGTCATACTGGATCATGCTCTGTAATGTCATACTGGATCATGCTCTGTAATGTCATGTCATGCTTGATCATACTCTGTAATGTCATACTGGATCATGCTCTGTAATGTCATACTCTGTAATGTCATACTGCATCATGCTCTGTAATGTCATACTGGATCATGCTCTGTAATGTCATACTGGATCATGTTCAGTAATGTCATGTCACACTGGATCATGCTCTGTAATGTCATACTGGATCATACTCTGTAATGTCATACTGGATCATACTCTCTAATGTCATACTGGATCATACTCTGTAATGTCATACTGGATCATGTTCAGTAATGTCATGTCACACTGGATCATGCTCTGTAATGTCATACTGTATCATGCTCTGTAATGTCATACTGGATCATACTCTGTAATGTCATACTGGATCATACTCTGTAATGTCATACTGGATCATACTCTGTAATGTCATACTGGATGATACTCTGTAATGTCATACTGGATCATGCTCTGTAATGTCATGTCATACTGTGTCATATCACATCATACTGTGTCCTGTTCTGTCATACTGTATCATGTCATTTCATACTGGGTCATGTTGTCCTACATCTAAACAGAAGAAACTGACCACAGATGCAATGGTGGCATCCGTCGTAAACTTCCACATCTGGTTGGGGTTCTGTGCCATTTTCTTCTGCAGAGTGACAACTTGTCCCTCGATCTCTGCATCTCGGTCAAAGAGACGTCCCTTCACTGACGTGTCCGACACCCCGAGACACAGCTGAGGCATGAACTTACAGATGATGTAGCCGGACTGTGGGAACAATCACAACAATCATTGTAGCATGTATTGTCATCGTGTTACTGTAAGTGAGGTGAGGTGAAATCGGGTTTTACGTCATGCTTGAGAATATTTCGCTCATATGACGACGTGCATGCGTGTGTAGGTGTATGTGCTGGCTGCTTGTACTAGCCCAGACTTAAGTTGGTTTTATAGTGCTAGCCCACTGAGATACCATGCCGCAGTGAAGCATGAATACCCCACTCAGACACATTATACTGACTCCGAGCCGACCAGTCCTTGTTGTACCCATTAATGCCGAGCGCCAGACAGGGAGCAACAAGTACCAAATTTTAACGTCTTTTGGTATGTAGCGGTCGGGGATCGAACCCGCGACCTTCCGCTCTCCGGGCGGACGCTCTAACCACTACACCACGGAGGCGGTCGTTACTGTAAGTACTCATTATATCTGTGTCAAAAAATGTAATTTTGGAATAAAATTGATATTTTATACTTATCCTGACTCATGCTCTTTTGCTTGTCTTCTTCTCTTGCTAACATAGTGGAACACTTGTATCTCCCTAATTGAAGCTCCCTTCAATTTAAAATCACTAATTAGTATTCACCACGAGTAGTACCTCCCTTCCACAAGCTGAACGAGGGCTTCACCTCTACCCATGTGCCTCACTCTCCCTCATATACTGAGCCCAACATTTGAATTTACAGGGAAATCCAAAGTGTTATGTGGGAGGATGGGAGGGCTGACCTCATGAGTCAGGATAAGTATAAAATATCAATTTTATTCCAAAAATTACATATTTTTCCTTATCCTGACTCATGCTCTTTTGCTTGTAGAATCCTACAGAACGGAGGTGGGAATATCTAATACTTTGGATTTTAATAATTAGTGATTTGAACTGTGATGATTGTAATAACCCTATGGGAACTTCATAAAGGCACTGAACTGATGAATTCCTGCTGCTAACTTATCAGCTGCCATATAAAGGTTATTACCATGTACTTATTATGATAAAGTATATATAACATTAATACAATGCTTAAGACTAATACACTTAAGCTTGTTAATATGCTAGTATAAACTCCTTAGAGTTTGTTAGCTAAAATACTTTAAGATATAAACATAGTACTAAGCTTAAGATATGATTAAACTTAAGCTAATTATATAATAGCAAACTCTTTAGAGTTTGTTAGTTAATATACTTATATGATATAGATATAATGCTGAGCTTAAGATATGAATAATCTTTAGCTACATATATAATAGCAAAAACTCTGTAGAGTTTGTTAGCTAATATATTTTATAATATGAGTATAGTACTGTGCTTAAGCTATAATTAACTTAAGCTACATATATAATAGCCAAACTCTGTAGAGTTTGTTAGCTAATATATTTTTATAATATTAGTATAGTACTGAGCTTAAGATATAATTAACTTAAGCTACATATATATAGCAAAACTCTGTAGGGTTTTGTTAGCTAATATATTTTTACAATATGAGTATAGTAGTGTGCTTAAGATATAATTAACTTAAGCTACATATATAATAGCAAAACCTCAGAGAGTTTGTTAGCTAATATATTTTACAATATGAGTATAGTAGTGTGCTTAAGATATAATGAACTTAAGCTACATATATAATAGCAAAACTCCGTAGAGTTTGTTAGCTAATATATTTTACAATATGAGTATAGTATTGTGCTTAAGATATAATTAACTTAAGCTACATATATAATAGCCAAAAAACTCTGTAGAGTTTATTAGCTAATATGTTTATAATGTAACCATAGTACTAGCTTAAGATAAGATTAGACTTAAGCTAAATGTATATAGCAAAATAAACTCCTTAGAGTTTATTAACTAATATACTTTTTTATGTTAAAAACATAGTACTGAGCTTAAGATATTTAAACTTAAGCTATATATATATAATAACAAAACTCTGTCGAAGTTTTGTTAGCTAATACCTTTATAATGTAAACATACTGCTTAAGATATGATGAAACTTAAGCTAATTGTATAATAGCGAAAACAACCCTTTAGAGTTTGTTAGCTAAAATACTTATATGATATAAACCTAGTATTGAGCTTATGAAGGAAAACTTAAGCTACATATATAATAGCAAGAACTCCGTAGAGTTTGTTAGCTAATACATGTTATAATGTAACCATAAAGCTTAAAATATGATGAAACTTAAGCGAAATATATAATAGCAAAAAACCCTTTTTTAGAGTTTTGATAGCTAATATACCTATATGATATAAACATAGTACTGCTTTTAAGATATGAATAAGCTTTGGTTACATATATAATAGCTAAAACTCTGTAGAGTTTGTTAGCTAATACATGTTATAATATAACCATATTGCTTAGAAATATGATGACACTTAAGCCAAATAGCAAAAAACTCTTTAGAGTTTGTTAGCTAATCTACTTATATGATATAAACATAGTACTAAGCTTAAGATATGAATAAGCTTAAGCTACCTATATAATAGCAAAACTCCTTAGAGTTTGTTAGCTAATATATTTTAATAATATGAGTATAGTACTATGCTTAAGGTATAATTAGCTTAAATTACCTATATAATAGTAAAACTCCGTAGAGTTTGTTAGCTTAATTAACTTAAGCTACGTATAAAATAGCCAAAAACTCTGTAGAGTTTGTTAGCTAATGCAATTATCATGTTACCATAGTATTACTCTTAAGATATGAATAACTTAAGGTAAATATATATAATAACAAACTCTGTAGAGTTGTTAACTTATATATTGTATGATGTAATAATCATAGTACTGTGATGATAAAAGGAACTTAAGTAAATTATATATAGCATGAAGCTATTTAGTATTGTTATAAGATAAGTAAAAATCTGTTAGATTGACTTATCTTCTCCGAGGAACTGTCAGCTGTTGTGCGAGGACCATGGGATCGAATTGGTGTATACCTGAGACGTCCTCGGTGGTGATATCTCTCAGATAATGGTTTGCAACCACCATATCGGATTTCCAGAAATAAACCCTCCATTATTTCAATCACATTTGTGTAGAACAATTGTAGAAGTTAGCGCTCTAATATCATGAGTATTAAGCTCATGGAGGGTCGGAATAGGTCCATCCGCATATGCACGTAGTATGACAGTTCTGATCCAAACGGAGATATAGTACATGAGACTTCACTCTGCGTAAGTTGATGATAGAGGAAATAATCTGTTGCATTTTTCCTCCTGTTTGGTTCGGTGGAGATAAATTTACAGTGCTCTTGCTGGCCATCGTGATAGAATCATCGTATCATGGGGTCCAAGTATGTCATCCAGGCGTATTCATAAACCTCACTTGTGAGGTGTTGGAGCACTATATTCATATCCCCAGGTTGGGCGTGAAACTTCCGTTTTATTCTCCAAACAGAAGCTTAGTAGGTTTACTAACCATCTAGTTGTGTTAGTCGCTTGATGAAATTCAGCTGTAGTCTGAAACGCTGTGGATTTAGATCCACTTGTATCTTCGCCTAGGTAATTCGCCGCTAAGTCCTTGACGATGTAGGTGCACAACCAGGTGTGTCTGTCCTCGCTGAACTTTATGTAAAATCGCCTGACTGCCGATCCTCGCCTTAACTTGACAGGGGAGGTCTCTAACTTGAAGAAGGCAGTCTAATCATGAATGTTCAGGTTAACTGGACTGTAATGAGGCTTGCTCGCTCACTGATATATAGTTGTCACTTGTGACGTAAGTCTTGAACTGTGAATTGAGATCGACCTCATGTAGGTCGTTGTCCCTCAAGCGTCCAATCAGAACAAGGCATTTTGATTCTGTATAATACCCGCCAGATGTCACCGTGTAGCGGAAAAACCCACCTTGAATAAATTCTTGTCGCCGCTGATATTAGCATAAACGCCGGTCTTCACCGTGAGCTTCCCGGTTATCCGGAGTGACCACGCATTTCGAGGGTTAATGGTAACCGCTACGAAACCTCCGCCCGAAATATCTCGCCTGTAATTTTATGCTGGGTAGGTTATTTTCCTGGTTGTCGGAAAGTAATTTCAGTTTTGAATATAATTCGACTTCCTTCTATATATGGGTACAAACAACTTGCAAGTTGTGAGCTTGTAGACTGTATACATGAATGTATCGCCATAATTGTAGAATTAACATTGAACTTGTTGTCCATATTTCTTCTCAGAAACTTTGACGATTAAGAGTTATACTCGCTGTAACAAGGCTGCTGTTCAATTTCGATATTGAATTGTCTGCAGATATGCGAATGGTCACGCATGTAGATAATCGTGATCGCCGTCCGGGATTGCATATTAGCAATTTATACGAATAGTTGATTTCTGTGAAGATCTATGAAATGTCGCTGACTAAATAATACAGCGACGCTCTGTGTTGTAAATAGCCTGAACAATTATCTTCGCAGAGGCTTATAGATCGCATCTGGCATACAGTTGATAATCAACTTATGCGACGCCTTGAACGGACTGACGAGTAGCTATATATGACGAAAGTGGCTAGTATATAGAAACCTTTGAGGAGACTTCCTCGGTGAACGCCGGAGACTTCACAAGTTCTCAAGGCATCCCTTCTAGATCTTCTGGGTGAAGTAGACTTGAGCCACTTTAGCCTTCGCCATCATCGGAAGGTATCGAAGTCAAAGCCCGATTAGTATATATATATATATATATATAAATATATATATATATGAGCTTTGCTTCATTAACAGCCTCTGTGTTTAACAGGATGTGGATCGGTGAAGCCGCTTGCCTAAGTAGGGTCAGATGGATCATCTTATCATTTTCAGAAGTCGGTTACTGAAGTCTGGTGATAAGTGTCTAATTGATCGCTCTAGATCTATTTAGGCCAGCTTAACATACGCCTCGCCATGGATTCAACAGAACCAATATACCATTGTAGTTCTTATACTTGATATCGATGATCAACTTGTCTATGGGTTGATCTTCTCGGAGACTTGTGAGGGGAACGTTGATAGTTTCGCGAAGCTCTTGTATAGTCCCTCGATGTCCTTCTAGATGATGATGATCTGGATTCAGGTGTCCTTTGCGCATGCCTTCGCTAAGCTTCCTCTGCGTCCGGTCCGGGGGAACGACGATATGACCTTCGCGAAGGCTTCCGTGATGTCTGATGGTCCGAGTCCACATCTAGGGATGAAACCGCATATGGTGATGATCTATCCTGCCTTCGCGAAGTCCTTCGCGAAGGCTGTACATCTAGGTCCTTCCCGCCTTCGCGAAGGCTGTACATCTAGGTCCTTCGTCAAGGTGGTCCGTGACTTCCTTCGCGAAGGTGACATCGTCCTGGCTGCTACGTTGACGGGGGTGCCTCTGGGGTGCTGTCTACGTTGGAGCCTTCGCGAAGGCTCGGTCCCTGCTTATGCAGTCTGTAGTGGTCCTCCATCATGGTCATAATTTGCCGCATCAGGTCCTCAGGGATGGTCTGCGACGAGGTCGTCGGTGCCTTATCTGCGGTGTTAATGGAGGGGTCCACAGGAAAATCGTCCGACATCAGTGTAGAGGCATCAGGCTGCATGGTGATCTCTGCTGATGTCGTTGTAGCTGTCACCGGTCGCTTCTTGTATGCGACGGGGATGATGATCAGCTGATCATCGTAGAGGTCCAGGTCATCGGCTGGAACAATCTCGCTGAGAAAGTCCTAGTAGACTTCGCTGATTTTCCTCAGAGGTCGACGCTGCCCTGGGTGTGCGACGCCTCGCGCTGAGTGTTGGTAATGATGGGACCCTCAGGACGCATCATCGAATATCAGCGCTGGTACATCAGGCTGCATGCTGATCTGTGCCGACATCGGTCAATCTTTTGATGTACATCAGGTATGATGATCGGCTGATCATCATACAGGCCCAAAACTGCGATGGGAACGATCTCGGCTGTTGAGATGTAGTAGAAAACCCTCTAGTCTTCTGCTGCGACGATGGGATGTCTGGGGAAGCAGGATGCTTCTTGGAGATGGCGGACTACGTCCCACACCTCTCCACCACTCTAGCGGAACACCACACGGGAGGGGAGTCGGCCAACAGCAGTAGACTGGCGAGGGGTTCCGTGTATCAGTCATACTAGACTCTGCATACGCACCTATCTGCTGTGCGTACAAACGCGAAAGTAAATATTAATAAAAGGTAGAATTGGATAAATTAGTACCGCGAACTGCAATGTGAATATAATGAACATGGCGCCGCATATCATATAAAAGGTGGATCAGCAGCAGCATACAAAACGTAATCTGCAATAGTACAGAATTTTCATCAACGTAATCCACTGAAACAAACACGGGCGTCCCGTGAATAAACTGTAGAAAACGACTAAATATCAATATATAATCGTTGAAGGATACTAGCTAAACCTCTATAGATGTCTATACGAGGTAACTAACTAAATATAATTCAAAGGATATAGTGTGTCGGAGACACAGGCGCTCTCACGCCCAGCTCACTGGGCTTAAGAAGGAGAGAGTGAGGCACATGGGTAGAGGGGGCTCCTCTCGCGCCCGCTTGTGGAAGGGAGGTAACTCGTGGTGAATACTAATTAGTGATTTTAAATTGAAGGGAGCTTCAATTAGGGAGATACAAGTGTTCCACTATGTTCGCAAGAAGAAGAAGACAAGCAAAAAGAGCATGAGTCAGGATAAGGAAAAAATTCAATCCCAGTTGAAGTTCCATCTTGTGCTATGTCTCACATTTCGACTGACTGACTGAGTTTGGTTTTACGCTGCTTTTAGCAATATTCCAGCTACATCACGGCGGGGGAACACCAGAAATGGGCTTCACACATTGTACCCATGTGGGGATTCGAACCCGGGTCTTCGGCGTGACGAGCCAACGCTTTAACCACTAGGCTACCCCACCACCCCTCTCACGTTTCGAGCTAAAGTTGACGACAATGTTTAGATTACATAAAAATAAACACAACCATCATCAAATATGTATTAAACAGAGAGGGATAGACTACATGAGGGCGAAATGCTACTCAGGAAGTTCTTCTGAAAATTGTAAGTGGAAAATTGATTTTGTAAACATTTTCAGAAACATACTATGATCAGTGTCATGAACAGCATGTTAACAGAAACACCAGCAGCATCCTGACCTTATGTAGCAGGTAGTAACCTCGTTCATCAACCTCGGCGCACTCCGTCATCCACTTGATCTTGTCTGGGTCCTGCATCATCAAATCAGCCATCGCAGACTCGTACATCACAGGGAAGCCAATCGTCGCATCCCACTGGCCGTGTCTGAATCACAGAGGAATACTACCTTCCTTAGAACTGTAGATACAATACTTATAACAAATTTAAACTTGGAATATACCTCTTTCCTACTACAGAAGCTACCAGACATAAAACAAGCGCTACACACATGTACTACCATACTTACCACTACATATACTACCACAAGTACTACAAGTATTACCCTGGAACATACTACTTTCCTTCCTACAGTTATCGTGGTGTTGACTTACTAGAAACTGAAACTAACCACCCATCCATGTATTCTCCCACACAGTGATGTTCCATTTCTGTCAGTATTTACAAACTCTGGAATTTTATTTTTTTTGTTGTTGTTTTTTAATACTGTACTGAGTTCATATTCCAGCTATGGGACCCGTGAAGGTCCGGGTTCGAATTGGTCTTCAGCAACCCATGCTTGTCATAAGAGGTGACTAATCGGATCGGGTGGTCAGGCTTGTTGACTTGGTCGACACATATCATCGTATCCCAATTGCGTAGAACGATGCTCATGATGTTGATCACTGGATTGTCTGGTCCAGACTTGGTTATTCATAGATGCCGCCATATAGCTGGAATATTGCTGAGTGCGGCGTTAACAACATACCAAAGCAACCAAATCCGGCTATGTGATTGCAGTATGTAAAAAAGTCAAGTCTGGACCAGACAATCCAGTGACTGACATCATGAGCTTCAATCTACACAATTAGGATACAATGACGACTATTCAAAACCCTGACCTTCAGAGGAATGGTCTACTTACTCGTCCATGGCCTGGGTGTCCTCCTGCATCAGCTGTTCACGCACAACGTGGGTGGCGCCTTCGACCTCCAGCTTGGTGGCCTTGTCAAAGAAAGCCTCCACACAGTAGGCTGCGGAGAGGATACAATAACTTGATAAATTATCTTGATACAATAGCTTGATACAATAACTTGTTCATGACGTACAAAATAGACAACAAAATATACAGTGAGGTCTGGTCTGGAAGTGAGAGGGACCCTGTCCATGTATACTAAACGGTTCATAGTTCAAGACAAGTGCCAAGATTCAAGCTATAGAGAAGATCCTTTAGTTTGACTCTTCTAGTTGGGTGTTTGTATTCCATTGTTAGCAGGGGACTCATGATATCAAACTTTGGTTTGACCTGCTGTAATCATGCTGACTTGGAGAATGTTCACTCACCTGTACATCGGAATTATTACACAAGCCATAGAGAAACTCAACATATTCCTTAAGTGCTTTAACGTGATGTGTCAGAGCAGGTACTGATGCTTTGAAGGCTTGAGAATGCTAAGGACCAAATCTGTCAGAGTTACTAAGGAAGAGTTTGGGCTGTTTGGGATGTACTCACTGAAGGAGCAGATGTAGGCCTCCCCGTACGACACCCACACCTCCTGTTCCGTCTCCAGGGACAACACGTTAGTGATCTCGCGGCCATACTTGTCATACAGCCTTTGGGCGACAGCATTCAGTTTTGGGTTGACTCCTCCTGACGACCAGTACCCTGTAGACAGCTCATCCAGCAACTGTAGGTACCAGAAGATGCACATAAACATTCATAAAATCCTTAAACACAGATCCCTGATACTATATGTACCAGCTGATCTGTACACACTTCAGTGAAACAATCCGTCAAGAGTTCATCCAGCAACTGCAGACATCAGGGTACTCAACCTTGAACAGTCTGCAGCTAGGGGGAAACAATACAGCTAGGTCATATGAGATTGTTCATCGTGTGAAACAATACAGCTAGGTCATATGAGATTGTTCATCGTGTGAAACAATACAGCAAGGTCATATGAGATTGTTCATCGTGGTGAAACAATACAGCAAGGTCATGTGAGATTGTTCATCGTGTGAAACAATACAGCAAGGTCATATGAGATTGTTCATCGTGTGAAACAATACAGCAAGGTCATATGAGTACTTTTGTACTCCCATGGATCCACCACTGGATATATCATTACTACTACACTCCCATGGATCCACCACTGGTTATATCATTACTACTGCACTCTGGATCCACCACTGGTTATATCATTACTACTGCACTCTCATGGATCCACCACTGGTTATATCATTACTACTGTACTCCCATGGATCCACCACTGGTTATATCATTACTACTGCACTCTCATGGATCCACCACTGGCTATATCATTACAACTGTACTCCCATGGATCCACCACTGGTTATATCATTACTACTGCACTCTCATGGATCCACCACTGGCTATATCATTACAACTGTACTCCCATGGATCCACCATTGGTTATATCATTACTACTACGCTCCCATGGATCCACCACTGGTTGTATCATTACTACTACGCTCCCATGGATCCACCACTGGTTATATCATTACTACTACTCTCCCATGGATCCACCACTGGATATATCATTACTACTGTACTCCCATGGATCCACCACTGGTTATATCATTACTACTGCGCTCCCATGGATCCACCACTGGTTATATCATTACTACTGCGCTCCCATGGATCCACCACTGGTTATATCATTACTACTGCACTCCCATGGATCCACCACTGGTTATATCATTACTACTGCACTCCCATGGATCCACCACTGGCTATATCATTACTACTGTACTCCCATGGATCCACCACTGGTTATATCATTACTACTACACTCCCATGGATCCACCACTGGATATATCATTACTACTGCACTCCCATGGATCCACCACTGGTTATATCATTACTACTGCACTCCCATGGATCCACCACTGGATATATCATTACTACTGCACTCCCATGGATCCACCACTGGTTATATCATTACTACTGCACTCCCATGGATCCACCACTGGATATATCATTACTACTACTCTCCCATGGATCCACCACTGGTTATATCATTACTACTACACTCCCATGGATCCACCACTGGTTATATCATATCATTACTACACTCCCATGGATCCACCACTGGATATATCATTACTACTACTCCCATGGATCCACCACTGGTTATATCATTACTACTACTACTGGCTCCATGGATCCACCACTGGTTATATCATTACTACTGCGCTCCCATGGATCCACCACTGGTTATATCATTACTACTACTCTCCCATGGATCCACCACTGGCTATATCATTACAACTGTACTCCCATGGATCCACCACTGGATATATCATTACTACTCCACTCCCATGGATCCACCACTGGATATATCATTACTACTGCACTCCCATGGATCCACCACTGGATATATCATTACTAAATTGAAGGCTCCCATGGATCCACCACTGGTTATATCATTACTACTGCACTCCCATGGATCCACCACTGGATATATCATTACTACTACTCTCCCATGGATCCACCACTGGTTATATCATTACTACTACACTCCCATGGATCCACCACTGGTTATATCATTACTACTGCACTCCCATGGATCCACCACTGGTTATATCATTACTACTGCACTCCCATGGATCCACCACTGGTTATATCATTACTACTGCACTCCCATGGATCCACCACTGGTTATATCATTACTACTGCGCTCCCATGGATCCACCACTGGTTATATCATTACTGCTACACTCCTATGGATCCACCACTGGTTATATCATTACTACTACACTCCCATGGATCCACCACTGGTTATATCATTACTACAACATTCCCATGGATCCACCACTGGTTATATCATTACTGCCCCTCTACCATGGATCCACCACTGGTTATATCATTACTACTGTACTCCCATGGATCCACCACTGGTTATATCATTACTACTGCACTCCCATGGATCCACCACTGGTTATATCATTACTACTACGCTCCCATGGATCCACCACTGGTTGTATCATTACTACTACTCCCATTGCTCCATGGATCCACCACTGGTTGTATCATTACTGCTACACTCCCATGGATCCACCACTGGTTATATCATTACTGCTGCACTCCCATGGATCCACCACTGGTTATATCATTACTACTACACTCCCATGGATCCACCACTGGTTATATCATTACTACTACATTTCCATGGATCCACCACTGGTTGTATCATTACTACTGCACTCCCATGGATCCACCACTGGTTATATCATTACTAATACACTCCCATGGATCCACCACTGGTTAAATCATTGCTACTACACTCCCATGGATCCACCACTGGATATATCATTACTACTGCACTCCCATGGATCCACCACTGGATATATAATTACTACTGCACTCCCATGGATCCACCACTGGTTATATCATTACTGCTGCACTCCCATGGATCTACCACTGGTTACATCATTACTACTCCAATGGTCAACCCAACTAATGCTACCAGTAATGGTAGACCTTGATAGGTTTTCAGATTCTGAGTTGAACTTACCCTGGCCATTAGTTTAGGAGGGTCGTGTCCAATCCCCTTCAGCGCACCTCTCAGGTTGAAGAAGAAGTTCTGGGCCCCTTCCGACATGCCGTTCTCATACACCTGTAACAAGACATGACGCCAATAAGCAGATGGAGATGGAAACACGAAAACTACATGAAGTCATCGTCTGAATGTTTGGAGCATCCACACTTAACACAGCAGGAAGAACATGAAGGTTATTTAATTTACAACAAGCCTCTGTGATCAGAGACACTAAAACTACATGAAGTCATCTTCTGAATGCTTGGAGCATCCACAGTTAACACAGCAGGAAGAACATGGAGGTTATTTAATGTACAACAAGCCTCTGTGATCAGAGACACTAAAACTACATGAAGTCATCGTCTGAATGTTTGGAGCATCCACACTTAACACAGCAGGAAGAACATGGAGGTTATTTAATGTACAACAAGCCTCTGTGATCAGAGACACTAAAACTACATGAAGTCATCGTCTGAATGCTTGGAGCATCTACAGTTAACGCAGCAGGAAGAACATGGAGGTTATTTAATGTACAACAAGCCTCTGTGATCAGAGACACTAAAACTACATGAAGTCATCGTCTGAATGCTTGGAGCATCCACAGTTAACGCAGCAGGAAGAACATGGAGGTTATTTAATGTACAACAAGCTTCTGTGATCAGAGACACTAAAACTACATGAAGTCATCTTCTGAATGCTTGGAGCATCCACACTTAACACAGCAGGAAGAACATGGAGGTTATTTAATGTACAACACCTCTGTGATCAGAGACACTGACCTTGAGTTTGAGTCCCTTGGTGCCGACAAGCCTGTCATCCACGTTCAGTTCCTGTATGTGCGACATCTTGTACATCGCTCCCATAGACTGTACCAACATATAATAGATCAGTGAACAGCTGTGCTCTGCTGAACATACTTTATGCAATCTGTCATTTCTCAGCAGAGATACGTAGTAACCAGAGTTACGTAGTGTCTTGAGTTACATAGTAACCACAGTTACACAGTGTCCAGAGTTACACAGCAACCAGAGTTACGTAGTGTCCTGAGTTACACAGCAACCAGAGTTACGTAGTGTCCTGAGTTACATAGTGTCCAGTGTTACACAGCAACCAGAGTTACGTAGCGTCCTGAGTTACGTAGTGTCCAGAGTTACACAGCAACCAGAGTTACGTAGTGTCCTGAGTTACACAGTGTCCAGAGTTACACAGCAACCAGAGTTACGTAGTATCCTGAGTTACGTAGCGTCCAGAGTTACACAGCAACCAGAATTATCCTGAGTTACGTAGCGTCCAGAGTTACACAGCAACCAGAACTACGTACTGTTCTTAATTACGTAGCGTCCAGAGTTACACAGCAACCAGAGTTACGTAGTGTCCAGAGTTACACAGCAACCAGAATTACATAGTGTCCAGAGTTACGTAGTGTCCAGAGTTATGTAGTGACCAAAGTACTGTAAGGTCCTGAGTAACAGAGTTACGCAGGATCTAAAGTACTGTAGTGTCCCGAGTCACACAATTCCTTACCCCCTCCTTCTCCCGCTCAGCCTCCAGGGCATCCAGCTTTACCTTCAGCCTCGACAGTGTTTTCGTCAGCTTGTCAATATCCTCATCAGCCTGGAGAAACCACACACATACAGTATTCAGTATCCCTACTGGAAATATTTCATTAATTTGGAAATATATTATTAGAATATTTTTTGTCACTCACAAAACACAATAACCTGATGGTCAGGTGAGCTAACAAATCACAATAACCTGAGGGTCAGGTGAGCTAACGAAACAATAACCTAAGGGTCAGGTGAGCTAACGAAACAATAACCTAAGGGTCAGGTGGGCTAACCAAACAATAACCTAAGGGTCAGGTGGGCTAACCAAACAATAACCTAAGGGTCAGGTGGGCTAACGAAACAATAACCTAAGGGTCAGGTGGGCTAACAAAACAATAACCTAAGGGTCAGGTGGGCTAACGAAACAATAACCTAAGGGTCAGGTGGGCTAACGAAACAATAACCTAAGGGTCAGGTGGGCTAACGAAACAATAACCTAAGGGTCAGGTGGGCTAACGAAACAATAACCTAAGGGTCAGGTGGGCTAATGAAACAATAACCTAAGGGTCAGGTGGGCTTGCAACAGTCAATAACATGAGGGTCAGGTGAGTTTGGTTTTACGCCGCTTTCAGCAATATTCCAGCAATATCACGATGGGGAACACCAGAAATGGGCTTCACACATTGTACCCATGTGAGGAATCAAACCCGGGTCTTCGGCATGACGAGCGAAAGCTTTAACCACTAGGCTACCCCACCGCCCCAGAGGGACAGGTTAGCTAACAAAACAATAACCTAATGATGGGGCCAGAACAAGCCCTGAAACGTTGTACTCGAGAATAAAAAGAAGATGTAACCCAGAAAAAATCTCTATGTTCATCAAATATCATCTTCTAAAATGCCAATCAAGCATCTAATAACCTAAGAGTCGGGTGACGTAGCAAAACACACAGTCGATGTTTGGGATGAGCCTTGACTGTATACTCACGCTATCCAAGGCTTCATAGATTTGATCAGTAGTGAGAGACAAGATAGAAGCAACTGTCACTTTGTGCTTGTCTTCGTCACTCATTGCGTAATTAATCTGGAATTGGAAGAAACACAATGTCTAACAAACATCATTACATGCACTGACATGACTTTCAATTACATCTTTATGAGGTTGAGGGAAATGGCCCACCTCTCACATCACGGACCATTTCTCACATCACGGCCCACCTCTCACGTCACTAACCACCTCTCACATCACAGCCCACTTCTCACACCACGGACCACCTCTCACGCCACGGACCACCTCTTCACGGACCACCTCTCACGGCCACGCCCACCTCTCACGTCACGCCCCACCTCTCCCATCATGGCACACCTCTCACATCACGGCCCACATCTCACACATCACGGCCCACATCTCACGTCACGGAACACCTCTAACGTCACGGATCACCTCTCACATCACGCACATCACGGACCACCTCTCACGCTGCCTACCTCTGTCTTGTACTTCTTCACCTCCTTCAGCCGAGACTTGACGATGTGCTTGATGCTGGCAATGAAGTCGGCGGTGCCAGTGGGGCTGAAGCCCTCCCCCAACGAGACCCAGAGTGGCCCCATGACAGCGGTCCCTCCCTGCTGGAGACAGTCATCCAGAATAGGGGCTGCACACAAAAAATGCTTCATTAGTGTAGGGTATACTGGCCACACAATATTGTGTCCAATGCACTCTTCATCAATACCGGGTTGGCATTTAGACACCTAACATTTTGAAAGGGCTTGAAACTGACTTGCTATTTGGTATAAAAATTGCACTGATTTTGTAAAACTGTGTTAGTTTACGCAAAATAAATGTAGTGCTTTGTGTCTAAAGTGAAGTGCTGTCTAAAATCAAACAGCACTCGTTCTGGAGTTTTAGCATAACTGTTGTATTCCACACAGATGCCATGTTTCTGACGTACTTGCAGACAGATCGGTTATCTCATTGCCCTCCCAGTCATACAGGATCCGAGCGTGACTTCGGAGGTCCAGCTTGGCCGTGCAGGCAACAAGGAACTGAAATGTACAACACAGAAACTAACCAATCTCTGCCACCACATACAGCATGCTGATGATCACCTACAGCATAGCTGACACCACATACAACACAGGAACAACATATCCGATAAGTCGCTTTACAGCATATCTGATATCATTTTATAGCATAAATAATACCACTTAACAGCAATGCTGAAACAACTTTATAGCATAACCGATATTACTTAACACCATACCTGATATCATGTTACAGCATAGCCAATACCACTTTATAGCACAGCCGATACCACTTTATAGCAAAGCCGATACCACTTTATAGCATACCCAATAACACTTTATAGCATTACCGATATCATTTTATAGCCCAGCTGATAACATTTTATAGCACAGCCGATACCACTTTATACCACAGCTGATAGTTACCACTTTACACCACAGCAGATACCATTGTACAGCACAGCCGATACCACTTTATAGCATAGCCGATACCACTTTACAGCACAGCCGATACCACTTTACAGCATAGCCAATACCACTTTACAGCACAGCCGATACTTTACAGCACAGCCAATACCACTTTATAGCACAGATGATACCACTTTATAGCATACCCGATACCACTTTACAGCATAGCCAATACCACTTTACAGCACAGCCAATACCATTTTATAGAAAAGGCGATACCACTTTACAGCACAGCCGATTCCACTGACAACATAGCCGATACCACTTTACAGTACAGCCGATACCACTTTATAGCACAGCTGATTCCACTGACAACATAGCTGATACCACTGACAACATAGCCGATACCACTGACAACATAGCCGATACCACTGACAACATAGCCGATACCACTGACAACATAGCCGATTCCACTGACAACATAGCTGATACCACTGACAACATAGCCGATACCACTGACAACACAGCCGATACCACTGACAACATAGCTGATACCACTGACAACATAGCCGACACCACTGACAACATAGCCGATACCACTGACAACATAGTGGACCCTACATCCACATTACTGTTACACAGGGTAGCTCACCTCCTCTGTGTTTGACAAGTTGGCCACTATCTCCATGGGTTCTTTACTCCGCCCGTTCCGATAAACCAGGATTCTCACTTTCTTCTGTTCAATCAGAGTCCTGTAAAACAAATTATTCCAAATACATGTACAATCATGTGTATCTGAGTTCATACCGAACAGACTGGCACTCATGGGTGTATTTGCAATAATAGCTTTAATCATATAGAGAAGATTAATCATACACTGAGTTAAATGTGAACATACTTCATTCTCCTGGACAGACATGATCGGGTCCTCTTCTTTCTGCCCTCCTCCGGGAGCATGATGCCGGACAGCGTCCACACGGCGCCCTCCCTCTGGATCAGATTCCGTTTGGTGGGGAGATGTGGATCCTTGTAGTTTTCCCCCATCGAGATGTAGACATCGGAATCAGGGAGGATGTCCCCCGCCTCAAACACCTCGATGCCATCCTCCAGGAAGATCCTCCGGGCAGCAAACGGCAGACCCAGCTTGACTGTGAGGAACTCCAACAGCTGTCAACACAGACAGTAACACTAATTCACTTGACATTAACATGAGGCATTTTATTTGCATTAGCAAGGACAATAGAGCTTCTGTTTAGGGCTGAGAAGCGTCACTCTGGTACATGGGTGGGATGTGTTTTGTGAAGGACCCAGACTCCCACTGGACCCATGGAAAGTTCTGTGAATATTGATTAATGACCAAAACATTGTTATACCTGCGCCCTGGTGGAATCACTTCCAAAACACATATAAGTGATGGGCATTGTCAGGTGAATATTAAGCTGTGTAACCAGCCATTTTGTTTATTCCCAACTCTTCAGGCTCACAGTGGGTACCTTGGTTAGTTTGGGCAAAATGGAGTCAGATATCTGGTTAACCTATGTTCTTACGATTTTTCTTGATTTTTCTTTCAGACATTTAGTGAACCTTAAAATGGTCATATGCTTTTTATAGTTGATTGATAAATACTTTTATCGACACTGAATCACTGACTAAAAGTATTTCTTACCATCTTGATGTTTGGTGCTGTAGCTCGGACAAAACTGTCCCTTGTTCCATTTTTGAATGCTACAACTCGTATAGTGTGTGGTTGGCGTCGGTAGAGACCTCTGGGTCGTTTCCCTGGACACAAAGAACACATTAGTTGCAACGTAAACACTGTAATATGCCAGTTCACATCAAACCACAACATGTATATCATGCCCCACAACAATTACCCCACTGCAGGTGGACATGGGCTTATTCATATGGTGCTCACACAGTAACAGACCAAGCTATTACCTCCGATGATGAAGTAACAAAATTAGATTTCTTGAAAAGTTCTACCCAGACATTTCAAAACCCATCAGTTGAAGCCATCCTTCCTATGATCATTCATCCCACCTCCATCCTTCCCACAATCACTGCCCCTAACACTCACCCGCACTGGGGATGCAGTCAAACCTGCTTCCCCAACCTGCTTTCTTGCCTGCAGCACACAGCCATGCCCTTGACAGATACTCAATCTCAACTTCCACACCCACACTGTCTCTGGGCTACAGCTCACCCCACCCCACTCACACCAACACCCACACCCTTTAGCTGAAGCAAAGGCAACCTACCTGATGATGGTCTGCCGGCGGTGTATCTGTACGAGCAGCGAGACGAGGCGCCTGACACTGGACGGCTGGAAGAGATGGAGACAAACATTTACAAGCTGCCACACTTGTTGAAGTAGGCACACACGTGGCAGCAGTGCAGGTTACTGTTGGGCACACTGAGTTAGCCAACTGAGCCAATGACAAGCTGCCTTTCATCAACAGTCAGTGAGGGGCAGAAGAAACTTCCCAGAGTTGGTGATCATGATAGGGTGCATTGGTCATACAAAATGATCAAACTTTGACACTTTACATGAAATATGTTGGAATTAAATGCCCCCTACCTGACTCTCCTGACCGGGGCGCTGGCAGGTCGGCGGAAGTACTTCACACTCTTCTCACGGGGTGTTTCTGGATCCCACAAGCTGGGATCAGCAATGAACTTGGCATCTATCTTTGGTTTTTCAGATCGTTGTTTGTTGCGCATATTGACAGCTGAAGCTGGACGTCTCCGTGATCGACTGTGGTACGTTGTGGTGCTGGGAGTTGGGGGAAACCGCTGGAGGTATGGCGAAGCTGGAACCCTGCAGGAGGTGGACATTATTATAATGTTTGTTACAAAACATGAAAGGTATCAGCATAGATTAATGGAAGTGATTCAGCGGCAGTGAAAATGACAACACCGAGCATAATGAGTACCCCATTGCAGCTACTGGTGACCTACTCTAACCTGTCCACCTGCTGGTGACCTACTCTAACCTGTCCACCTGCTGGTGACCTACTCTAACCTGTCCACCTGCAGGTGACCTACTCTAACCTCTCCACCTGCTGGTGACCCACTCTAACCTGTCCACCTGCTGGTGACCCACCTGTCCACCTGCTGGTGACCCACTCTAACCTGTCCACCTGCTGGTGACCCACTCTAACCTGTCCACCTGCTGGTGACCCACTCTAACCTGTCCACCTGCTGGTGACCCACTCTAACCTGTCCACCTGCTGGTGACCTACTCTAACCTGTCCACCTGCTGGTGACCTACTCTAACCTGCTGGTGACCTACTCTAACCTGTCCACCTGCTGGTGACCCACTCTAACCTGTCCACCTGCTGGTGACCTACTCTAACCTGTCCACCTGCTGGTGACCTCAACTGCTGGTGACCCACTCTAACCTGTCCACCTGCTGGTGACCCACTCTAACCTGTCCACCTGCTGGTGACCTACTCTAACCTGTCCACCTGCTGGTGACCTACTCTAACCTGTCCACCTGCTGGTGACCTAATCAGTTGGTTGGTTTGGTTAGTTGTTTAACGCCACACTCAGCAATATTCCAGCTATATGGCGACGGTTTGTAAATAATCGAATCTGGACCAGACAGTCCAGTGATCAACAACATGAGCATCGATCTACGCAATTGGGATACAATGACATGTTTGTCAACCAAGTCAGCAAGCCTGACCATCTGATCCAGTTAGTCGCCTTTTACGACAAGTATGGGTTGCTGACCACAATTTCTAAGCTGGATCTTCACAGGGAAACAAGCATGGGTGGCTGAAGACCAAGTCTAAGCTGAATCTTTATGGGTGGCCTAATCAACAATTCAAACAATAGCAACGATGAGTATTACTGACTCTCTGTCTTTCTTGACTTCAGACTTTGATTTCTTCATTTCCTCCAAGTACTGGGCTATGAGTAAGTCTTCATAGCTGATCAAGCCCGAGTTGTTAGGGTTATAGCTCATCACAGTCTTGTCCCGTGACGACATCCGGTTGACGTCCATGTCCCCACCCTTCGGCATTTCTGAAATACAAAGTCAACTTAATAGCTTCAAAACAAGCTGAAAGCTGAAACAGGGCTTAAAATCACTTTAAATATTATTGCATCTCCTTAGAGATGTATATGCACATGTGTTTGACTACTTGTACTAATGCTGGCTTTGTGCTGCTAAACCACTGAGATATGATGCTGCTGTTTAACCTCGCTGAGACACAGTATACCATCTCTGAGCCTGGGATTCATTCCCTTAAAGCTGAGTGTCAAACACTCTGTCCACTCCACTACAGAGTTGGAAAAATCTTTACAGTGGTCAGTAGGGGTGTCACGATACACCAATCTCAGATACGATACGATCCGTATCACGATTTTAAGGTCACGATACGATACGTATCGCGATACATAATTTTCATAGCATTACCTTACCGGCAACGTACGCGCTCACTGATTGGTCCATCAAAATAGTCTAGCCAATCACAAAAGCTGTTAGTTTCCAACCTATTTTTTAAGTAAAGCTAGCTACATCTATTTATCGGAGCGGTCTCGTATAATTTTACTATCAAGACTTTGAAGGAGACGGATATAGCATAAAAAATTGAATCGATAAAGTTTTATAATAGGAATCGATACACGCAAGCAGTAAAAATGTATCGATGCATCGATACATTCGCGTATCGCGACACCCCTAGTGGTCAGTAGAGCGTTTTCTTGTAAATGTCATCTCTCCAGCTAGAAGCAGGCATGGAAACCAAAGGTTCATGATGTTGAAAACATTAAGAGGTCATTAGCTTCATGTAGTACAGAGGCAACCCTCAAGGAACTCAGAACATCTTTATCAAGCTCCACTCCACTCTGCATTAAACCACAGAAATCTGTACACTACACATGTTAGATGGCTCTATGTTAACTGAAACTTTCATGTAAAGTGATTTCATACAACAAATATCCCCATGTAATTGCCTTTTGTTAAACGTTACAGCAGTACAAAGGCAGGTAATAATAACACATGATAGTAACACAGACTGAACAACACAAACCAGCACCAGTATTTACTTTTATAATGAACTGACAGATCGAAGGACCTGGTTTCAGGTAACAAACATGCTGTATGTTTTAGTCAAATGAGTCTAACGAACTACAGTAATAACAAGCTAAGACTACTGGTCCCTTTGACTGACTGACTGAGTTTGGTTTTACGCCGCTTTTAGCAATATTCCAGCAACATCACGGTGGGGCACACCAGAAATGGGCTTCACACATTGTGCCCATGTGGGGATTCGAACCCAGGTTTTCGGCGTGACGAGCCAACGCTTTAACCATTAGGCTACCCCACCGCCCCACTGGTCCCTTTGAATTCGTTATAACTAGGGCTGCGCGATATAAGCGGTTTACCAGTATTTACCGGTTCAGACATGAAAATGATACGCATTGCGATACGCTGATCGAAAACCGGTATTTTGACATGTATTGTGAAAACTTCTTAACACTCGGATATCTTCGGATATTTCATTTTTGCACACCGGAAGTCATGCGTTTGTTGTAAAATGGCGAATGTAATGGTGTGGTGATGAAGATGTTGTTGATTGTGGCAATTGTGCTGGGAATGATCGTTGTGAAAATTACATATAACTGGATTGTTAAGTTCGGTTTGAAGTTGTGTTCTTAATTTTTGTTCAAGTGTTTCGCAATGTTTTGGATCTGAATGTTTACTCATTAATAACCAGTGATCACAGATATGTCCTGTTGCTGTCTAAAATCACAGGTCTTTTTTTTTTGAGAGTGGTGAAACTGGTTCAAACCAGTAACCACTGTGTTGATGTTAAATTGTTCTTTTCCTTGTTTCATTTGTGCCAAATATTTTTTACAGTTTTATTTTGTCATGATTAAAAGTTTTTATTAAAGCTTTATCAAGTATAGTGATTTTGTTGTGTTTTTGCTTTAAAAATAAAGCATTAACTCGATTATAAGTAGTTTTTTTGTTAAAACAACCCGGTCTTGCAATATATTACAAAACATATCGCGATATATGCTTTCGCATCGCAATTTGAAAATTCTCTGCAATACCCACCCCTAGTTATAACCACAGTTTACTGTAAGGCCAAATAAAAAATATGTTGTGGTTCCGATTACACCTCTTAAAAATTTTGGGTTGGTTTGTCGGAATTTTCTTTTAGATATTTTTTTTAGAAGTAAAGCTTGCGGCCATCATATCGACTTTCTCTATCAGAATGACAGATATTTGTTGGTGCCAGGAAAAAAAATGGTATCTGAAAGCTTATTTTGTTCATTCCGCTTAAAAAAATCGGGTAGGCACTAGGAACATTCGGAACCACAACATTTTTTTTTAAGCCTAATGTTATGAGCAACGATCAACACCACTGAGGTAGAATATCAATCTCATCTGAGAGCATAAGCACCCAGTCCGTTACATTGCCTTGTATTGGAAAACGAGCTGAATTCGAATTTCTGGTTATTTTGACGATTGCATTGCTCGCACTATATCAGGGGTGTATGTGCACTAACGGGAACGCACAAGTAGTTTCTTCGGCAGGGTAGATGCCCAATCACTATCGTGAAATCCAGAAGTTAAGGTACCGTATATAAAAAGCAAACAAAAATTAATGGTATTTACCCGAGATTGTTAATACCACTTCAGATCAATTATCTCTATAACAAAAACATAGTAAGATCAGTCGTCTGCTAGTGACAGGCAATATATAATATAAATAGTAAGCCACGTGATCACAACACTCCCTCACAGTGCGGAGCGAAAAGTATGGCTCATCGTTGAAAACCCATACAAAATCCCCGGAAATGGTGAGCGGCAACAGTTTCGCCGATACGATGTCATAGGGATATGACAGCATAGAATGATAGGAATCTCCGAAGTTCTATCCCCCCAAATCCTCACTTGGCATGTTTTCGTTTTTCAATGTTGAATCAGAATAAGTAAGCCTTTATCAAAACGATCAGTTCCACAGAGAATATTCTCCTGGGAGAAATTATCTAACCTGTATATGAGTTCTATAGAACAAGATTATGTGGTAAATTGTTACTACAAGAACAGTGAGTGAGTTCTAGTTTTACGCCGCTTTTAGCAATATTCCAGCAATAGCAAGGCAGGGGACACCGGAAATGGGCTTCACACATTGTACACATGTGGGGAATCGAACCCGCTTCAAGAACAGAATTATCTAGAGATAGTATTCCAGACGAACCAGTTTTCAGGAGGATTGATCTCTCTGAAATCACACTTACATTTCCAAATTTTCACAGTGAAAAGGTCACACATACATTATCAAAACAAAGCATCATACAAATTGAACTTCATGTGACGACTAATGTGTAATGACATAAACAATCGTCTTTGTTATTATATTCGTGAAATGTGTGAGATGTAAGAGAAAAAACAAACTGTGCAAGGGGACACGTGGGTACATATCGAACTTTATAGTCAACATAGTCAAAGAAAACAGCTAGCTTTCAAACCAATTTTTAAGAAGGCCTATACGTTTTTCCCCAAACTTATCACAGTTGGAAATAAATTCATTTGTCACTATGATCAATATCAACTGTGTGTGAGCTGTTTTTATATTCATTTTTTAGTGACAGCAACAAAGGCTGCTAAATGTGGCATTGAAATGAAACATATTCTCGCGTCTGCATACATTCATGAATCAACAACATTAGGCCATCATTATGAGAATGATTGAAAACTTCAAATCAAAACGGGCACCTGCTTGTCCGTCGTGTAAAATCTTTTTTCTCCTACGCTTCATACAACTAAACTACTTAATTGTAATTTCAAAGATATGAATTCTTACTTGTCACAAATGTATGTCCACGATGTTGTATAACAGTGTCACTTGGCCATGCAAATATTATTATCTCCAAGAAAGTGTGAAAATCAACATTTTGCGGCCATATTGATATTTGCCGCTATCACCTAGGAGATGACGTCACGCACAGATTGTCGCTCGTAGGATGTTTTCTTCTGAACATACAATTCATTACAATACATAGTGGTTTTCATTTATTATTTTCATGAGAGGTATTAAATGAAATAGTTTAGATAATTAGTTATATTGATTACTTACGGAATACCCCGGAAATTACCGAGTGGGAGTACCTGCTCATCTCCGCCTCGATTTCATCTAGCATGTTAATGGCGGCCATTTGTAGCTGATGGTACACCTACAACCTTGGTTATAATTGGACATTTGGTTGCTGTTGCTGATTTTACACTTTGATAGTTCTTGCCCGTGGGTAAGTATATTCTTACTTTATCACATCTGCCAGGAACAGAGAGTGATAACGCCTAGGTTAAGTTATAAACTGCGCCGGCTTCTAGACACTCAAAAAAATCTTGTCAAGTCTGAGGTCAGGGGGGCGAGGTTTGACCAAATTATTTCAAATAATTAATCCCCAGTGTACTATATTTACAATTGAAATTCATAGATATCATGACAGCGATACCAGATGAACGATTTCCCTTCATTATGAGACAAAGCAAACCCTGTGTTGATGATAAGGCGATGACAATCGACGTCCATTTCGTTTGGTGCCATCAAAAGTAGGCGTGACCATTGACAGATCTTACAGCAGTGTATTGACGCTCCGATAACTGAGAGTCAGTGGAAGAAACGTCGATGCCAGAATATTACTATGTCATAAGAATCTACAGCAAATCAAAGTGTGTGAATAATTTGTCCTTTCGATGTTGAGATACTCATCACTTGAATAAAATATGCTTTGCAAGTTGGCAACATATTTAACAGCCACGAATTGAGGCTCTGCTTAAAACTGGATGTTTTATCAGGTACAGTTACTTACCATAGCAAAACCATTTCACAAATATGGAATTCTGTCATTTTATTCTTTATCTTTTTTCCATGGCCAGTCCCTTTGTCCTATATAGACCAGGATGCATATCCATTTGTGTCGAACCACAACAAATTTGATGTAAGACAAATTTGAAATGAGAGAAATGATCACATTTGCTGTCATTTACTTGAACGTGGTTTCCTGGGTTCTCTGTTAATAAGGGGATGTTGCCAAGTAGGATCAAATCAACTAAAACTAGATGTAATTTTGCACATCTTTTTAATATTATGTCATATCCTTCTTGTGTTATTAGATAACAACAACCCATTAATTCATGCATACGAGTTGGGTTAAGAGATGGTGTCTAAAGCAAGTAATATTACCTGTTTTCAACTTAATGCATGTAAAATAGGACACAAATGAATGGAAGCCTGCTTTTGCATTTTGCAGTTTATATCCAACATATCCAGGTAAACACAGTAGTTCCACAATAGATGAAAGACAAAACATTGTGCTCATACATGGCTTGATGCGACTGAACTACTCCTAGATGTGACTGCCAGTTTCGAAAAGTAATGCTTACATAGTTTATTAAATTTTCAACACACAACATGTTTAATTGACTTTGAAACACTTTCTTCACAATTCTTGGATGAAAATGATTCAATAATAATTAGAGTCCTTATATGTTGTCCTTACGTTGTTTCCCTGTTTTTCACGCATTTCTCTTTTCTGGCTTTCAACATGATTCACAATTCTCAGGGTTCTCCCTGAATATACCAATGACATTCTTTAAATTTTGAGGATTTGTAGTAGACAGGCGAAGTTTCTGATGTTTTTTGACAATGTTTTTTAAAAACATCATTTATGAGAACCTAGTATTACGAGAAACAGGTATATATCTAAGATGGTTTCTTTTTTTGTTTTTGCTTGCTTGCCATCCCGATTTCCATGTTTGCTTGAAAGTTGTTTGCATCACATGGGGTTTGCATCGAAAATGACCTCAGACCTCGCAGATATTCTTGAAATATATTGTGATAAAATTGTATGTCAACAACCTCAGAAATAAATTATGGGTTATGTCAAGATATTTGTTTCTGTGAGCAAATCTCAGTTGAGATTCTAATATGGAGGAAAAGTTTTGACTGTTTCATTCGTAATGTGTCAATAGGTGATATCATTATCAGCTAGTAATGATCCTTGTTAATGAGGACCCAGATAAGCTTTGTATTAGGGTAAAATATGCAAACTGAATCATAGTTACGCATATGCTTTGGAGTGAGTGACTGACTGAGTATGGTTTAACGCCACTTTTAGCAATGTTCCAGCAATATCATGGCGGATGACACCAGAAATGGGCTTCACTCATTTTACCTATGTGGGGAATCGAACCCTTGTCTTTGGCATGACGAGCGAACGCTTTAACCACAAGACTGCCCCACTGCTTTGGAGGAAAGCCATCATCTACATTAGACCTGTGAAGGTCCGTGTTAGAATATTGATCTTCAGTAAGCCATGCTTGTCGCAAGACGCGACTAACGGGATCGGGTAGTGGCACATGTCATCGGTTCCCAATTGCGCAGATCGATGCTCATGCTGTTGATCACTGGATTGTCTGGTCCAGACTCGATTATTTACAGACCACTGCCATATAGCTGGAATATTGCTGAGTGCGGTGTAAAACTAAACTCACTCACTCATCTACATTAATTTTCATTTGCGTAACTTATTTCATAAGAGCACAACATACTTACAAGAGAGTATCAACAAATGCAAATTGAAAGTATTCTGTAACAGCATGTTAAGCAGAATCAATTTTGGAACAGGTTGTGCATTGGCTCAGTAATACCGTGTAGAGTAGATCAAAATAGATGAATATATACTGAATACCCAAAGAAAACTTTCAATGCCTAAAGTGGATGATGTTCAGTAAATACTTGTGGCTTCAATCTTCATCAGGATCCTTGAGTTTCAATGTCATTGTTCAAGTGGCAATGCACATTTGGACTCACTTTCCATGATCTTAAGCTGTTCTTGTGTTAGTTAGGTGACTCGACCACAGGCCAGAGAGATGTGACGATTCATTATATCTTAATAATGCCCTGTTCACATGTTAAAAATTGCATACATGTGTATATATAATATACCCATGTGAGTTTTCTTGTCATGTGAACTTGTTAACTTGTGTGTATGTTTACACCAGGAGCAAATTTACGCTGAATCTGGAACAGGTGCAAATGTAAATTTATACAAGTCCAAGTTTGTAATGGATGTATAAGTTGTCTTTTAATGTTTATTTTGCCACCAGAGGATGACCTAATTAAGATGATTGTTGACATGCCCACACCGTACAGTTCAGCAGCTGTTACATTTTCTATAGTTGACATTGTTTATTACCAACTTCTATGTGGACATTCAGAACTACGTTGAAAGTGTTTTTGTTTTTTTGTTGGTTTCCAGTAAGTGAAAAATTGTGAACAGAATAAATCAAATACACATAATTTCATGGAAAGATTTCTGTAAGGCACCTATTATGGAAAATGACACTTTTATGTTTAAAGTCACAAACAGACACTATCTACACACCTTGGTTAATTTGCATGTAAATTATATCCAGTTACAAATTCACATTTTTGATGATTTTGGTTTTCGTATATGGACAAGTATAATAGGCTGCTCTTGCAGATCTGGAAATTGTTTACACTCCAGAGGAACAGATGGTCACATGACATGCAGATTATCTTGTCACGGCGGAGTAATGCTCAGTCATGGCTCTGTTAGAGTTTGACTGTGATTCTAGTTTTTTCGTGACTGATAAGTTTTGTGCTTTAAGCTATAAGCCTGATCATGCTAAACGAACACTGATGTCTAATATTGGAAGTGAAGTTTGTGACTCATAGGCTAATGTGCTTTCTTATGTCAAGCTTAACATTTACTTGCACAAGGAGCTGTGTTTTGATAAGTAGGTTTTGAAGATGACAAAGTTGATTTCATAACAGATGTAAAACTGGCTAGTAAACATTTCAATCAAATATCCAAGTTCACTTTTATTACTAGGGCCAAGGTTGACCCAGTGGTCATAGGTCCATCCCTTCACACTTGCCAGAAACATATTATCATGTGTTTGAATCCCATTCTCTCTAATGTTACTAAGTTTGTTGGTATTGCTTCAACTGAATGTGTATCATCATGGGCAATCTGTAACCTGAAGCACCAAACTTTCACTCGCTATATATTTTGTGCAAATTTCACAAAGGAGATGTGTACTGTTGTTTGCAGGTAGATGCTCCAATATGCCGGCCGTGAAAGGGGATGGTATGAGAGGACTGGCAGTCTTCATCTCGGACATCAGAAACTGTAAGTCAGAACCAGAACCTTCCTTCATCTGTTAGTTTGTTTGCTGTTGAACACTGCAGTGAAAATGTTCCAGCTATATGACGACTGTCTGTAGATGATCAAGTCTGGACCAGACAATCCAGTGATTGACATCATGTTATGATATGATGACATGCATCAACCTGACCTCCTGTTAATCAATCTATCCTGTTCTAACCCGGATCTTCACAGCACATGTTTCATTCCAGCAAAATGCCAAGATGCTGACAGTCATCTGTAGATAGAAGTGCAAGGCATAATCTAACACTTCACTTGTATTTACAGATGAATGTCAGCATCTTGGCATTTTGCTGAATGAAATATGCCAAGATGCTGACAGTCATCTTAAATACGAGTAAAGTGTTAGATTATGCCTTGCACTTCTATCTGGATTTGTATGTGGTCACTAATTACTCTTATGCCCTTGTCATTACCGTGTAGAAGTAACACTTTGGGGGTTGAGTCAGTGAGCCCAGGATCCTGCTTGTCTACAAACACTGCTGCAACAGTCAGCAACTTTAGCCACACGAGTCAAACCTCATCTTGTTCACAATAGAGGATAATGTGAACATCCATACATGTTTGGGTTCATAGGGTCAATCAGTTGCCTCCCCCTTTCAGTCAAACCACTGTAAGATTATCATCAGTGTCATGCTGTATCATGATCAAAGTACATGTCTACAGTATGAGAATGAAAGTCCATTTCTTTAATATTATGATCAAAGTTCAACCTCACATCAGGATGCATGTCAAGGGAGGTAACTTGTAACTTTGTGCCTCCAAGCAAATTGGAAACAAGCTGTGACAGGGGCCTCTTAATCAAAATAATGATGGGGTGATTTTTCAAATTTATGAGAGATATAATATACTGAACATCATTGAAAACGCACCAGTCTAAAATTGTCCATATTTTCATCAAGATGCATTTCAGCATGACAATGATCAATGAATATAACTAACATGAAGTCCAGTTGAAAAAAAGCTTCAGAAACAAATTCCTGTCCACAGTATGACTCTTAATTCCAAAATGCATCAACATGCAGCCATGCCATGAAAAAAACGCGAATTTCATTCTGAAATCATACTGACTGTGACATTAAAAGCAGGTGTATGAGAACCGATTCTCATTGCTTCACTAACGATTGTGAAACGAGGACAGAGATGCCGAGGTTAACACCTCACGAGAGAGAACGTGCACTATTCATGATTCAGGTTGGCACCAGCAGCAGGGATAATGCTTGACAACTTGGACTTGGCCACTCCACCATCATTAGGCTTCATAGACGACATCAGTAGACAGACAGCACCCGTGACCTTCAATGACCTTGGCAACAACGTGTTACGACGCTCCATCAGGATCACCATATTGACCTTGTCCATATCAGTGACTGAACACTGCCGACTGCCAGGACTGCTGCACTAGTTCAAGGTTGACGTTGGGGTCATAAGCGCTGACTCCATGCGACGCCGTCTACACTCTACAGGGCTCCATGCTCGACGTCCTTATGTTGGACCAATTTTGACTGACAGACACCGTAATGAGCGTATACAATGGGCTAGCAGGCATTTTCAGTAAAGGTTACAACAATGGCATGGTGTGGTAGTCACTGATGCGTCACGTCTTCATCTACGTAATGCTGATGGCCGATTACGTGTTTGGCGTAGACGTGGTGAACGTTATGCTGATGAGTGTGTGGTTCAGACAGACCTTTGGGGGTGGGAGTGTCATGGTCTGGGGTGGAATAAATTACAATCACAGGACTGCCTTCATGTCTGTCAAGGGAGAGTTAATGCCCTTTATTACTGTGAGCAGATTCTTCAGAATCACATGATATCTGTCTTCAATCACCACCAAGATGTCCATACTTTTCAACAGGACAACGCACGGGCACACACAAGACTTTCCATGCAGTATCTGGCCCAGCAACACATCCAGGTTATTCATTGGCTAGCAAAGTCGCCAGATGTATCCCCCCATGGAGCACTTGTTGGACGAAATTGGTCAAAATCTTTCGCGGCGACAACAGATGCGAAACATCCGGGGAACTTGAGGCTGCACTACTGCAAAAGTGGACTGTCATCTTCAAGAACTCTATTCGGACGCTTATTGACTCAATGAGGAGACGTTGAACTGCATGTGTCAATGCAAATGGCGGTCACACACGATTTTGACTTTTCAATTTGACCCCACGTGTGTTTGATCCTTTCTGACTGTGGAACATTTCAATGAATGAGCGTCTTTTCTGTGTTGTTGTGTTTGTCAATTGTCCATCTGTTATTATCCACTCAAAAAAATATCAATTCCTTACATGTGCTTTTAATAATCTGAACTATTATAAGTGGTGCGTTTTCAGTGATGTTCAGTATATAATATAATGATAATAACCTCCATTACACAGGTTAATAAGACTACACAGAGTGCTGTTTGTGTCTTCTTAGAAAGAAGCAGTGTTGTGAAATGCAGTAACAGCAGCTTGAGCTTGGCAATTCTGCGTCAGTAACCTGCATTATCAGAACACAATTAATTCTGTTTCGGCTAGATTTTTTTTTTAGAAATGATCTATCTCTGATCCCTCTCCAGCTGTCTGATATGGGGCCATGGTCTTAATTACAGTACAGAACCTATGAATATTGTCAATATTACTCTGTTTTCAGTAAGGTAACCCTTGCATGTCATCACTGTTGAGGCTGGTCAGAATGTATTGGGATAAGTTGCATCCCTTCATTGTCAGTAATATGATGTATATTCTGGGACGGACACCATTGGTCTTGCCCACCAAGTGTACTGCTCATTTTAGACTTCAGTATAATAAATCGATCTGGGAATAAAACAACCAGCAGCTGTAGATTTTCACTTGTTCTGCTGTTAAGCATTTGCTCGTCATGCAGAAGACCCGGGTTTGATTGACCACATGGGCACATGTGAAGACCATTTCTGGTGTCCCAGGCCTGATATTGTTGATTGTTGGAATATTGCTAAAAGTAGCATACAACTAAACTCAACTCACTCACTCACTCACTCACTCACATGTTTGATTTACATGGAATTGGGCAAATGATAAACAAAACACTTCATGATACATTTGGCAGTGAATTGTTTTACCAGTATGTTGCAACAGGATCAATACCCATACTATTATTACTAATCAATATAGAAACCATATCATTCACAGAAGGGGAGATGTAACATATGTGCTTTCCATGGTTGTTGGCAGGTTGTTGTCCATACTGTGATACTCAGCCTATCATGGTCTAACCGATACTGCAATACTCAGCCTATCATGGTCTAAATCCATTCTGCAATATTCAGTCTCTTATGGTCTAAACCATACTGCAATATTCAGCTTCTTATGGTCTAACCCATACTGCAATACCCAGGCTCTTATGGTCTAACCCATACTGCAATACTCAGCTTCTTATGGTCTAACCCATACCGCAATACTCAGCCTCTCATGGTCTAACCCATACCGCAATACTCAGCTTCTTATGGTCTAACCCATACCGCAATACTCAGCTTCTTATGGTCTAACCCATACTGCAATACTCAGCCTCTCATGGTCTAACCCATACTGCAATACTCAGCCTATCATGGTCTAACCCATACTGCAATACTCAGCTTCTTATGGTCTAATCCACACTGCAATACTCAGCCTCTCATGGTCTAACCCATACTGCAATATTCAGCTTCTTATGGTCTAACCCATACTGCAATACTCAGCCTCTCATGGTCTAACCCATACTGCAATACTCAGCCTATCATGGTCTAACCCATACTGCAATACTCAGCTTCTCATGGTCTAATCCATACTGCAATACTCAGCCTATCATGGTCTAATCCATGCTGCAATACTCAGCCTATCATGGTCTAACCCACACTGCAATACTCAGCCTATCATGGTCTAACCTATACTGCAATACTCAGCCTATCATGGTCTAACCCACACTGCAATACCCAGGCTCTCATGGTCTAATCCACACTGCAATACCCAGGCTCTCATGGTCTAATCCACACTGCAATACTCAGCCTATCATGGTCTAACCCATACTGCAATACTCAGCCTATCATGGTCTAACCCATACTGCAATACTCAGCCTATCATGGTCTAATCCATACTGCAATACCCAGGCTCTCATGGTCTAATCCATACTGCAATACTCAGCCTATCATGGTCTAATCCATACTGCAATACTCAGCCTATCATGGTCTAACCCATACTGCAATACTCAGCCTATCATGGTCTAACTCATACTGCAATACTCAGCCTATCATGGTCTAATCCGTGCTGTAATACCTAGGCTCTCATGATCTAATCCATGCTGTAATACCCAGGCTCTCATGGTCTAATCCATGCTGTAATACCCAGGCTCTCATGGTCTAATCCATGCTGTAATACCCAGGCTCTCATGATCTAATCTGTGCTGCAATACCCAGGCTCTCATGATCTAATCCATGCTGTAATACCCAGGCTCTCATGATCTAATCCATGCTGTAATACCCAGGCTCTCATGATCTAATCCATGCTGTAATACTCAGGCTCTCATGGTCTAATCCATGCTGTAATACCCAGGCTCTCATGATCTAATCCATGCTGTAATACCCAGGCTCTCATGATCTAATCCGTCTCATGGTCTAATCCATGCTGTAATACCAGGCTCTCATGATCTAATCCGTGCTGCAATACCCAGGCTCTCATGATCTAATCCATGCTGTAATACCAAGGCTCTCATGATCTAATCCATGCTGTAATACCTAGGCTCTCATGATCTAATTCATGCTGCAATACCCAGGCTCTCATGGTCTAATCTGTGCTGTAATACCCAGGCTCTCATGATCTAATCCATGCTGTAATACCCAGGCTCTCATGATCTAATCCATGCTCCATACCCAGGCTCTCATGGTCTAATCCATGCTGTAATACCCAGGCTCTCATGGTCTAATCCATGCTGTAATACCCAGGCTCTCATGGTCTAATCCATGCTGT